TAATAATACTAATAACTAGACTGGGGAAACAAGTTCAATTTCAGGCTCAAGGTGACAGATCTTCTGGGGTTTCTAGACAGACAGATGGACGGACGGATGGAAAGACAGACTGGACTGGATTTGGACTTGGACCTTGAGTGGACTCCGAGCTGGACTTGGACTTAGAGCTGGCCTGGTCTAGACTTGGACCTGGATTGGACTTGGGCCTGGACTGGACTTTACTTGGACCATGACTGAACTTAGACCGGGACTGGACTTGGACCTAGACCTGGACTGGACTTGGACCTGGATTTGGGCCTAGACATTGGACTGGACTTGGACCTGGATTGGACTGGCTTTGGACCTTGACTGGACTTGGACCTTGACTGGATTCAGACATGGAATTGGGCCTGGACTGGACTAAGACTGGCCTTGGACTGAACTTGGGCCTTGACTGGATTGAACCTGGGCTGGTCTTGGACTGGATTTAGACCTGGACTGCGCTTGGACCTGGACTGGCCTTGGAACCGGACTGGACATGGACCTGAACCTGGACTTTGACTGGACGTGGACCTGATCTGGACTTAGACCTGGACCTTGAATTGGACTTGGACCTGAAAATGGACTGCACTGGTATTTTTGTTTCAATATTTCTTCACTAATCTTGACTTTCTATAAGGCTATCATCAGAACGATTTTTCTCGAAATTTGAAAACGCCATAACTTCACAACCGAATTTGGATTACTGAGAAAATTCTAACTCATACGTTAAATTTGGAGACTTTTTATTCTGACCTACTTTTCGGACACCATATCTCAATAGTGGGTCAAAATACTTTCTGACGGAAGAAGGCTAACACTATTAGCACACTCTTTGTACCTGTATACAAAAATTTGAAGCAAATCATTTAATCATAGTGTTAGAATCTTAAAAATATGGAAAAGCTATAAATTTGACCTAAACTTTGACCTAGGGATTTTGGTGTCCTAATTTTAAAGCTAGGTGGCTTTTGAGGTCCCCTTCTTTTAAAGGCTTTCATTATATTAAGCTGTACTCAATCTATATCTCGTATTTTACACTTCGAAAAATCTTTTTTTCCAATTGACTTAACATGGGGCACCAAATTTAGCAATTTTTGAGCTTTCAAAACGCCATAACTTCCGAACCTGAAAACGGATCGAAATTTGATTTGCAGATTCAGATTTCTGGGAAAATTCTCTCGTTCATTCATAACTCATACGTTAAATTTGGAGAACTTATTATTTTGACCTACTTTTCCGACACCATATCTCGAAAGTGGGTCAAAATACTTTCTGACGGCAAAAGGCTAACACTATTAGCACACTCTTAACTACATGTATACACAATTTCGAAGAATATAATTAAGTGTAGTGTCAGAATCGCAAATATAAGGAAAAACATTGAATTTGACCTAGATTTTGGCCTAGATTTTTTCATTTAATTAAAGTAAGTCAATAAAATGACGAATGGTTTCGTTAGAAACCAGGATACTTGTTTTGACGAACGAAACAACAAAATCAACACAGACGTCTAGTTTTTTAAAAACCTTTTAGAAGCCTACTATGAATAAACAGAGGAAAATATTTACATGTTCTCTTGCCAAAACGAAAGTCATGAATAGTGGCAACAATGCCATTGTATAAACTTGAGAAATATTTGGTAAGTGGCTTAAAATCTGTAGAGAAGACTTCTTAAGCGAGGTTTTAGATAATGTCAGGTTGACCGAGCCACAGATTTAAATACTGTATAAATAAAAATAGGTAAAAAAAGTTAAATATGTCAAATTCTGAAACATGCGATTCCCACACTTCAAAACTGAGGTAAGATGATGATTTGAAAAGATTCCAAATCAAAAGAATTTTATTTGGTATTTCATTTTATAGACGTGTCGCAAAAAGCTCGCGCACGCATTGTTACACATTTTGTGGCGTAATCCAGAGGATCCTCGCTTTTAACATGATAGAATGTGACGTTTTTGAGAAAAATGTACACACATGAAAATCCTTTCGTCCTCCACATTTACCTCTATATCTCAAAACCTTTTAGACGAATAACTCTGATATCATATATATATTGTTAATGGGCTAGGAGCATCATAAAACACGAATCAATTGATATTTTAGGTGAAATAAATATACGTGTTGCTTTGCTTGAAAATAGGCGAATGGCGTAAATTAGCCCTATTTTAATGAATTTTGAAAACCTTTCGTCCTCCACTTTTCCACATACAACAGAAAATACATACTTTTGTGAACAAAATCAACTATTTATTAATAAACTAGAGTTTAGGAGCAAAATAATCATGTATGATTTATTAAAAATTGATCTCGTATTTTTTGTTTAATGTACACCTGAAAAGTTAAAGGTACCAAAAAATGAGCAAAAAAGGTCGCTGTCAACAGATTCTATTTTTCAGACTCTATGACGTCACAATATGGGACGCTTACTAAAATTCATCCTTTGAAATAAAACTTCCATCTACCTTTATCAAGACGAAAAGTAAGTATAATAGTCATATATTGTTTGAGTTATGAGCGTTTAAAGACGAAAAATAATTCAAAATGTAACGTGTCAACATGGGATATTTGCCAGATGTTTTGGTAAAAAACTCTTTTTTAAAAACGAACGCGCAAAAAATGTGAACGGAGTGTAGTTGATCTAAAATCTTCATCGAAACAGCTTTAAAATGATATATAACTTTAATTAGAATATTATCTTATAATCCGGGGAATCAAAGTTACATTCACGCGATACCCTTAAAAAACAAATGCGCCACCTTTTTTGCGACACGTCATAATAATAATGACCACATGCACCTATAGTTAGTTACTAAATAGTGGATGTTTAATAGCAAATAAATTTCGAAGAGTAATTTTATTTAATCATGGCGCACATATAAACGTCTTTTTTACTACACGAATACTCTCAGCTGGTACTCAAGATATCCATTTCGCTCAGTAGACTCTAAAAGTAAACCTTTTTAAATTGCAATGCCTTGCAACAAAGATTACATAGTGCTCAAAATACCTATTTTTCTTTCTTTGAATTGAAAATAAAAAGTAATCTGCACTTAAAGGCAGCATCAGATCTATGGGGGTGACACATTTCGAAGTAACATGAACAATTCACCTACCAATCTATTCCTTATGATCTAAAATACAATATCTCCCAAATGATTCACGATATATTTTAAATTAGTGAAGTTATAATGGATCCAAAGTGCAAAAATTTGTGATTTTTTTAAAAATATTCTAAGATTGAAACATTGTTTTGTTATGCTGCTCGCTAGATCTGATTCTCTCTTTAATAACTTTGAAAACATTCCATTCCCTATAATCAATGTTCGCCGTTTTTTTATTATTGATAATGACGAGAATTGTTTTGAGAAATGAAAACATTTTAGAAGAATTTGTGAATCATTATATACTTTGTTTTGAGAAAAGAGCTTCTTTTTATTTTATTAAAGAATGCTGTCAAATCCTTTTTTGAAAATAGAATATTATCTTTTAATCCGGGGAATCAAAGTTACATTCACACGAATACCCTTAAAAAACAAATGCCCCACCTTTTTGCGACACGTCTATGCACTATGCAATGTGGAAATCAATTGACTTCATTTCAATTGAAATTCAACTTCTGATGAACAGCTTTAAAGTCCCCGTCTAAAGTTTGAAAATATTTTTTTATCAATCATTTACTATTTGTCAGGACTTAAAAAGTGATTTTAAAGATTTTTGAACAAAACAAAATTTTTTCAAAAAAAGTTGTGAGCATTTCATTTCTCAAATATTCAAATTTCCCGCCATTTTTCAAAAAAAAGTTGAATTTCTTAATCATCAAATATTTCTTAATGCATTTCAAAAAAGATTATCTTTTTAACACCAATGCAAAGATTGAACAAAGGACACACTATTTCAATAATAAAATGCCATATTTAATGGGCCACTTCAATGTTTTAGCATATCAAAAATATTTTGAAACATTAGTGATGTCACTCAGGTACCAAAAACTTTTTGAAAAAATTTAAAATATGTTAGACTTTCATAAAAAACCAATGTTGATTGTCTAACCAGGTTAAAAGGAAGAATAAATTAATAGAACTAAAATTTTGAAATGCATTTTTCTCAGAACCATTTTCATGCACTGATAAGTTCATTTCTCGCTTATTTATGAACCGATTTTCTTATTCTTTTCGGCAAAAAACATGGGAGGATGAATGCTATACATTGGTATGAATTGTGGCTAATTAGAAGATATGAGTGACCTCTAAAAGTTGGTTTTAAATAAATTCACAAATTTTGGAACAAAAAGTCTATCAAAAACCACTTTTTGAAATTTAAAAAAAAAGTTTCACTTATCACACTTTGATAACATTGGGTAAGACTACAATATAAGCCAAAGTGGTTTAAACTTTATATGGGGCCTTTAACGAATTAATCGATCTCTGTAAGCAGGAATAAGAAAGCAATTCGATTCAAATTCGATTTTTGTGTTGAAACTTAAAAACGTGATATCATAGACAATCGCAGAGAAGTTGAGGAAATGTTTGCAAACAAAGAGTAATAGATGATTTGACTTGGATTTATAAATTATAGAACTCAGCAACTGGGAGATAATTTAATCAGCAACCATGACATCAAAATCGTGGATTTTTAAACCTTTTTTGTCAGTTATTTTGACATCGTTATTGGTTACGGTTGGCCTAAATTTCTTGCTCGCAAAGCAAATCTTTGAGAACATGCTGAGGGGAAGATTCAACTCATCACCCTTTGTACAAACTCCGACGCATTTATTAAATTCGACATCATTATTAAGTAATACTTTAAATAACGCAAATGGTTTAGAGGCCAAATCACCGACAGCTCGACCGAATCGATGTACTTCTTGTTTCCCGCAGTCTTCTTACATTTTCTCAAACCTTGACGTTTGTTCAACTGAGCATCCCCGGTCGTCTAACGTAAAACTTTTAATGCTTATCTTTACAATACATACGAATGCAATGAAGCGAAACGTATTGCGTAAAACATGGACTAGTATCGCAAAGAATAACACCTCGGAAGTGAGGTACGTGTTTCTGTTAGGGAAACACGATGACCCAAACTGGAATAATAAAATCGTAGAAGAAGCAAAACAGTATGGAGATATCATTATCAAGGATTTCAAGGACACCTACAGACATTTAACGTATAAGACAATATCTGGTTTTCAGTGGGCAGTTGGATTTTGCCCAAACGCTCAATACATTATGAAAACAGATGAAGATATGTGGGTCAACACACCAAAATTGCTACAAGATATAGACTCCTGGAAAATTAGTAAAGAAGTGATAGGATATTGTCATTCAACAGCTGCTCCAATTCGGGACAAGAAGTCAAAATGGTATGCGTCTCCATTAGAGTATCCAGAGAAACAATACCCAGGCTTCTGCTCAGGTACCGGCTACGTCACCACTATGAGCGTCGCGCAGGCCATTGTCGGTGTCTCACCACACATACCATACTTCTATCTTGAAGACGTCTATGTCGCCATTTGCATTAGGAAGTTAGGGTATCAACTTCGCAATGTAAAAGGCTTTTACAATAATAAAGTGCCATTTAAGCCATGTGAGTATCAAAGAATAATAACAAGACACCAGGTTACAATTTTAGAGTTGGAAGCTGCGTGGAGTGCAAACTGCTAGATACCGTTAATGCCTTTAAAGATGTTTTCAGATTGTCTGACTGTCTTGTATTGTGGTCATGTATGTGCTGATTTGCTTGAAAATAATTGCAAAATAAGTCATTAGGAAAATTGTCTGGACGTTTGATGCATTTGTTGCAAAAGATAAGAACAATGAGTCTATAAATATCATTTATCTTCAGTATATTAAGTTTTTGAAATAGAGGTGATGATGGTGCTTTATTATATTCACTGTTAGTAGCTAAACGGACACATCCTTTCTGCAACTTCAACATGATACCAATATGTGTCTTTCCTGCCCCAGCCCAAGCTGGGATGCAACATTGTAAATGTGAGTAAATAATTGAGTAGTAGATATTCATTAATGATTTAACGTTAAGTTTGTGTTTTATTCGAAATAGAGTACCTATGGTTTTTGAAATTTTTATTGCAATTTTACGAATATGCTCTTTCCAATTTAAATTTTGGTCAATTATAATATCAAGGTTTATTGAAAAACTCGAATAATGTTAGACTCTCTAATTTTGATTGAAACATTTTTCTGGTGCCCTGTTTTGAGACGTTGTCTTTGACCTATATATCAGATGCTGGCACAGTTTTGCCGGAAGTTTGCAAGAAGTAACTTTTGGCAATGCAGTATGTTAGAGTAACCTAGTAGGTGTAAGAAAATATAAGGTGATGGCCTTTAAAGTGGTAAAAACAATTTTCACGGCCGAATTGGACTTCAATTCCTGTGATTTCAGGGGGTACTATAAGACTATTTCATAACATAAAGGATATAGTTGCTATTGTTCTGCTTTCTACAGCACACATTACTAGTTCAAAGATGAATAATATCCTAAAGTTATAGGCCGATATCTGTATTAGTCTTAGAAATATTGCAATTAATAGGAAAAAAATATGCAATTTTAGTCATTTTTAAGTCTCACATATCTTATATTTGTAGCTTCCAGCAAAAGATGGCAGCTCAAATAGCTCAAAATTGTTTTCTAAAAACTAATTCAAGCTTTGTTTGATATTGTAATACAATTATAATAATGATAATGTACTATTTATGATTTTTAATATGACTTTATAGTACCCTACCCCTGGAAAGTGGGCGTGGTCAATGTTATCATTTTGCAGCATACAATTAAAAACTTTTATTGATAAAAAGCAAATCAATGCATTTTTAACATTTTCACTTGTTACTTGACATTGTAATTCATTCATTACTAAAATATAGGATTCTACATATTTTATATATACATTTTCAATTTTGTACAATGTATCATGATGAAATCTAATAGGCTGTTTCAATTGCCCAGCTTTTTCTCGGATCACCCTTACCTTTTGACAAAATGATCTACTATATGACCAATAGCCACAAAAAATAGCAGAACTGATCAACGTTTAAACCCCCCCCACCCCTATGTTTGTTTTGTATTGGGTCCGCCACAATGCAACAAGTCCATTTTCAGTGCTTACTATCACATGGAATATAAGTCACAATGTTTCCACAATATCTCGGCAATGAGATAGTGCCATTAAGAATATGTATGCCAAGATTCAAGATCATGGTGTAAATGCTTGCCGATCTATCGACTTTCAAAAATGAGGAAAGCTGTCTTGGGTGCCGTTTCAACTACTAGTAATTTTGAATTAAAACTGCTACTTATGAATTTTTTCTCAACAACTGTGATTTGGTTAGAGTCCAAACACAGGATATCAAGACATAGTGCTACCAAATTCTGGTATTGAAAATTTCAGAGCTCTAGATCAAGTATTCATATCTGCATGGACTCTTAAAAAGACCCAAAAGACACAAAATGCAGTCAGATATCGCGAAAAAAATGTGATAAAATGCACTATTTAGAACAATTTATCTCTTAAATTTTACTTTTATTTACCATAATTTCTGATTCTGTCTCTAGTTAGTAATACCAATAATACATATGAGTAGACTTAAGGTCATAGTAAGTGTAGTTACAGATTTATTAGCATCTAAAAATGGGAGAAGCAGTGTAGCAAGTGCAATTTTCACATATAATTCATATTATTAAATTGCAGCTTTCAGGATTTTCTTCTCTAAAACAAGAATTTGTGAGACCCCAAAAGACAGGATTCCCTATCACTGTACCACCATTTATATATGAGAGTAGTTTCAGGAGGTTATATCAAATAATCATTGAACCATTGACACTTTAAAATATGCAAAATACAGTCAGAAATGGTGAAATTGTGATTGTGCAATAATGTATGTATTCTTAACAATTTTTTAACTAAACTGTATTTTATTTAGAACTGAAACTTGAAGTGCTTACTAGGACACACTACCCTACCACGTGACCACGTTTAAAAGGCAAACAGGGTACAGCTAAGTTGCAAATGGAGGACGTGGGTTTAATTCCATATTTCTGAACGTAAAATACATTTTACATTTATTTCTAGTATTCTACCAGACATAGAATTGATTCATCAAGCAGTTTGTAGAATATTGTTGGCAAAAAACCACTATAGGCAAAGATAGATAGTAGTGGGCGCAGTGCAGCAAAACTCAATGCAATACACGATACATTTCAGTAAATCTATCAACGTACAGGGAGCATGTAAGTTTCCCTTCGAAAAGGTTACATTGATATATAAGAAAAAAAACAGTTAACTGTTATTTAAACTGCGTGTCATCGTTTTATATGTGGATACGTTTTCCAGTATGTTATTCAACTGTATTTGTGTAAATTAATTGTTTTTCTAAAATCTTAAGATGCAAAAACGTCGTCCCAGAAATGTATCTTTACTTTGCCGTAAGGCATAACATATTGTGAACCGTTTTTCCTCTTCTCACAAAGAGGATAATGTTTGTTTCGAGGTGTATCTTGTGTTGAGCGTTTAATGATTAAATGCAAAATCACTGGAGCAGATACCATCCAAAAACATCTGACATTCAACATGTCATATAGCTAGACTACATCGATCTGGTATTAATAGAGAAATACGATGTCATATCAGCGCTACAGCAAATCGTGAAGAACAAAATGCTCTCAAGTCGTGGCATGATGGTATTTTGAACAAAATATTTAAATGATCGTTTTTTGAGGACGGTAGTGAATTAGACCATTAAAAGGGGTTATATAAAAAGATTCTTTACGTGTAGTTCAGGCAATTTTAATTATTCTGAATGGCGGATAGTCATTAATCCTGATAGCGGATAGTCATTTATCATTAACGTGTTCATATTTAATTTCGTTATTTCATTTCAATTTGATACCCTAGTAACACGTATAATCTAGCGTTCTTTAATGACTAAAATGCATCCTAGTATACGACCTGAAAGCCCTGTCTAAATCTACAAAATAATGTTTACTTTATTTGGATTAAATAACAATTGATGTCACCTCAAAGCATCAACAGGCGGCCTTTTTAGCATTATTTTCACTGTTTGCAACGTAAATGTACATTCAATCGGGACATAGTATGTCTGTATAATCAGCTTACTCTCTCGCTCCCTGTACTATTGAGCAATTTACATTCCTTGTACCCTGTATTGATCAACACTTGCATCTGTGTACCGTGTACTATGACATATCAAATATTTTAAAATTTTAAACGATATTATTTACATTTTTTCTTCAACTATCATATAACTTGGAACATGGACTTCACTATTGCACCACTGAAGTTCAGCGAATAGCAATATTGACTCACTCCGAGCACCAAATGTATTAACCTTTTGACTAAGCAGTCGAAATACTCAAAAGCGACGTGGTCGAAAGCCAAAAAATTCGCGCATGCGCTATCGAGGTAGGGTAGTGTGTAGGAGTTACATCTAGTTATTATTTATTAAGTGAATTCAGCATATTTGTATCCATGAGTGGATATAATTGATATTTTTGAAAAAAAAATGTATCCCATGGGAAATCATCATCAGCGAAAAAATGTGAAAAACATAATTTGAGAAAAAATTTGAAAAAATAATTGAAAAAAATTGTGAAAAAATGTTGAAATTTTTAAAAAATATTTTTGAAAATAATTAAAAAATGTAAAGAGAATTTTTTTTTGAAAAAATTCGAAACCATCGAATATCACTTTTCAAACCATCGAATATCACTTTTTAAGACGTGATATTCGATAGTTTGAAAGTGATATTCGATGGTTTGTGAATTTTTTGCTAAAATATGATAACTTGATCCACAGATCAAATATATCTTCATGTGATATTCGATCTATATCCTTGCAACCATGGGATAATCACTGATATGCTTAAGACCAAAAAACCTATAAAGAATGTTATTATTGAATACTGAGAATACATTGTTTTTACATTATGTAGCTTTATTTCTACCTGAAAGTATTTTGGAACATATCTCTTGCTTAAATATTTCATGCAATGTTACTTTCAAAACTTTCTTAGAACAATTAGTCCATCCTATACTTTCACATGTTTTTCTCCATTTCGTTTTTAAAAAATTGTGGGAGCTTTAAACTCTAGAAGAGCTTAATTACCAATTATACCATGCACCCTCTTTGCCCTCCGTCGCATTTTTCTTAGGATGGCCAGGCATATTTCAAATTGAAGAGTAAAGTCAGTTAAAGTGATATATAGCTGTATATAACAACGTATCTTTCACTTGATACTGTGATGTCAAGCTTAAGCATTCAAACAGTGTATTTTGTCCCAAGATACAATAAAGTACTGATTTCATTTATTTATCAATTCAGATGCCTTGGAATTAAAGTAAACATTTGGTATATATTACCAATATTATTTTTACTTATTATTGGTGGTACAATGACCAGGTTTCCTTTAATGTCTTTGGTCTTACTGTGCAGTTTGTAAAAAGAAAATTCAGAAAGTTGCAGTCTTAGATGAAAAAATGGTGAAAATCATACTTCCTACAGCTTTTCCCATTTTCAGAAGCCAATAGATCAGTGTACTTCCACTTACTATGATGTTAAGTCTTCTCATATGTATTATTGGTGGTACTAACTGGAGGCAGAATCAAAAATTATGTCAAATAAAAGTAACATTTAAGAGGTAAATTGTTCTGAATAGTGCATCTTTCATATTTTTCACGATATCTGTTTTTTGTCCTTTTGGGTCTTTTTTAAAGTACATGCAGAAGTGAATATTTGATCTAGAGCTCTGAAACTTTCAATATCAGAACTTGGTAGCATTATGTCTTGGTATCTTATGTTTGGGGTCTAAAAAGTCACAGATGTTGAGAAAAATATTCATTAAGCAGGAGTTTCAGTTCAAAGTTACTTAAAACTGCACTTACGACAGCTTTCTCTATTTTTGAACGCAGATAGATCGGTAAGTATTAGTATTAGGACCTTATAACTGCTCATATTATGTAGTCTTTGTGGTACTCATTGCAAAGGTAATTTGGAAACACTGTGACTTACATTTCATGCGTTAGTGAACACTGAAAATGAAACAGCCTATTAGATTTCATCATGATACATTGTACAAAATTGAAAACGTATATATAAAATATGTAGAATCCTATATTTTAGTAATGAATGAATTACAATGTCAAGTAACAAGTGAAAATGTTAAAAATGCATTGATTTGCTTTTTATCAATAAAAGTTTTTAATTGTATGCTGCAAAATGATAACATTGACCACGCCCACTTTCCAGGGGTAGGGTACTATAAAGTCATATTAAAAATCATTAATAGTATATTATCATTATTATAATTGTATTACAATATTAAACAAAGCTTGAATTAGTTTTTAGAAAACAATTTTGAGCTATTTAAGCTGCCATCTTTTGCTGGAAGCTACAAATATAAGATATGTGAGACATAAAAATTACTAAAATTGCATATTTTTTTCCTATTAATTGCAATATTTCTGAGACTAATACAGATATCGGCCTATAACTTTAGGATATTATTCATGTTTGGACTAGTAATATGTGCTGTAGAAAGCAGAACAATAGCAACTATATCCTTTATGTTATGAATTAGTCTTATAGTACCCCCTGAAATCGCAGGAATTGAAGTCCAATTCGGCCGTGAAAATTGTTTTTACCACTTTAAAGGCCATCACCTTATATTTTCTTACACCTAGTAGGTTACTCTAACATACTGAATTGCCAAAAGTTACTTCTTGCAAACTTCCGGCAAAACTGTGCCAGCATCTGATATACTATGACTGCTGACCTATACCGGCGATCACTAGAGTGCTGCTAACTCGATAAAAGGCTGGCGCTGGCTAGAATTGTCTATGGTTCTAGCCAGGATAAAGATACCAGTTCTTCAACTCGACAATGGGAAGAACTGCTCTACCTTAGTGACTAATATGTCATGATATGACATCTAAAGAGTCAATAAAAGATATATATAAAGACTATAAAGTTGGTTTTAACAATGTTCAGTGAGAGTTTATTAGTGCAGAACCAATCATCTACACAATTTTGAATTCATTTTTGATAATATCAATTAAGGTATAAATATTTTTGTCAGAGCAATTAAATTAGATAGGATTCAACCATTTACTGTGCTCATATATGTAGCGTATTAGTTCTGTTCGTATCTGTAACTGGGGGTCATGTGGTGTCTAGAATTAGCTAAATCATTTCATCCGAATATTATAGTAATACTAATTGGCCATTATTTTTTGTTATGACAACATAATCTCAAAGATAGTCCATAAATCAATTTTGGAATGTGTTTTTGATCCTACCACCCCTATGAAAAAAATAAAAGCGCCCACCTGGGTCGCCTGGTCGCTTGTAAAATACAGGTAACCATATATAACCCCTCATACCGCCTAATTTACCTCGCCTATTTACATTTGCCTCAACATGATCAATGGCGTAGCCAGGATTTGGTGACCAGGGGTTCTATTTTTATGTTATCCAAAAATCCCCCCCCCCCTTCATCGGTGTACCTCACATAAAAGCTTTTTTGTATTTGTCATACATACAATTTGAACCCCTCAAAAAGTTTGGCAACCGTAACACCCCCATTGAGCGTTTTTCGTGAATCTTTTACTAAAAGATATTGAAATCTGGGGGCAAAATCATACATTTTAATATAACATTTGTTTAATGAAATCCAAATCAAGGGTTAGCATACATTGAGCTAACTTTTGTTAAGGGCAAATCCTAACATATCTTTAAGGAACATATGTTTTAACAATTTATTTTATTTTGAAATCCTCATTCCTAATTTATTCTTTAGAGTTCATTCAAAGATATTATGTCAAATTCTGAAACATGCAATTCCCACACTTTAATACTGAGATTAGATGAATTTTTGAAAAGATTCCAAATCAAAAGATTTTTATTTCATTTTGTAATAGAGGAGTGCTCGACCTCATGAGCTCCGTAAGCTATCAAATTAAACATTTCTTTTAAATTTCAATGCCTTGCAACAAAAAACACCTAGTGCTGAAAACACCTATTTGTTCTTTCTTTGAATTGAAAATAAAAAATAATCTGTACTTAATAACTTTGAAAACATTCCATTTTCTATCAACGTTCCGCTGTTTTTATTACTTATAACGAGAATCATGAACGTTTTGAGAAATGAAAACATTTCAGATGAATTTGTGAATAATTATAAACTTTAATTTGTTTTTGAGAAATGAACATTTTAATATTTTCTTAAGAATGCTGTCAAATCCTTTTTTGGACACACGATTTGAAACTTGTGCAAGGCTAATCCTCTCGTCTTTCTGGCAAATACACTCCCCTCCAAAGGTTTGGCAACCTTAGCTCCCTCATTGAACTATACTAGTACGTGTTAAAGACTCTTTATTTTTGAATTTTTATTTACATAACCTGCGAGGAAAATACTTATAATATTGATGGAACTGTAACTTGACTTCATTTCCAATGCCTCCAAAATTTCCGAATTTTTCCCCTGATTTCTATAGGTCGAAAATTGATGATAAATTTGATGAATTTTTGAAAATCGTCATTTGCATGTAAACCAATGGGCTCTATATTTAATAATTAGGAGATTAGATTCAACCGCAGGCCATCTGTAATTGGGTCTTTGAAGTTTAAAAATCTCGATAATCCGTTGGCGACTATCAGTGGGTCAGTTTTTTAGAAAATAAAAAGCGATTATCAGGAAGCAATGCATATTGCTACACCACGTGAATTTTTAAAATATTTTTTATAACGAACTTTTTCCCTTAACAGTGAAAATAAAATACTTATTCGAAATAATAAACTATCTAAACTAGCTAGACTTATTTGATATAATCATCCTTATGTCTTTGCTTTCCTCAGCAAAATATGACTGCTTCTGGCTTTTTTATTTGACAGAACTTTCCACTGCACGTAATGTGTGCACCTTTTTAGCTTACACTTGTATTTAGTACCAGAAACATCACCTAATTGCCTCCCTTAATCCATTTATTTGCTTTAGCAAACATATAAACATATATGATTAATGACATTAGCATGATCCACTAAAGTTTGATATTCGTGAAGATAGAGCATAAATACACTGAAACAATAACAATTTAAACTTAAAATAATCTCCGAGATGAACGTGCATTTGAAAAAGTTTTTTTCGCAATGGATTTATTTTTCCTTGAAAAATTGATGGATGAATACCCATTCGATCAAATGCTCGTGTTTATAAATGATACATATGCTTTAAATAATAACTCATTTCAAAATGTTTCTATTATCTAATATTTGCTCTTGGGGACTTATCAGCCCCTGGGACTTAGGAAGAATTTTTGTTTGAAATAAAACAAAACGGAGGCGCACAGATTTGAAAGAAAATGTATTTTCATCAGTATTAAGACAGTTGGTTTATTTCACCGGAGCAGCTTTTAAGTTGGAAAATAAATTGTGCGAAATAATTGATATTTCTTCGTTGCATAATGTCATGATGCTCCGGGGTCTTCCCAAAATTAAACAATCCCACCCCGTGCCTAGGGTTGCCAATCTTTTTGGAGAGAAGTGTAACTTTATTATTTTTTATCTACTGGTCATATAAATTGTTGGTATGTTTCTGGTAATTGCAATGAATTTTTCCACAAATATTTTTTGGGGGAAATCAAGACCGGGGGTTCGTCCGAACCCATCGAACCCCAGGTCCCTACGGCTATGACATGGGTTAGTCATCATTACTAATAGGATTTTAAACAAATATAATAAGTGATACAATATAATAACCATTGCTTGCTTTATACAAGACATTATACAAAATATATACAACATATTATTATGGGAGGGAAGTGGAATTTACTGGAAAACCCGAACATGCGCAATATTCATGCTTAATGAAATTCATGGAATAGTTGTCGATATCCTGTTGGACTTGTGCGATGCGTAGGTTTTTGTTATTAATTAATGTAAACTACCATACTGTTGACGATTGAATAAACATTGCAGCAAAGTTGTTTGAATAAAATAACCATTTCATAGTTTAATACAGAAATAAGGATATAATCGTGATCATTTTTATTGAATCTAGATCAACACGATTTATTTCCCAAAATCATTTGAATATGATTAAATGCAACAGAATAGACTAGAATGGAGCATATTATGATAGCCTGAATATAATGAAATAGAATAGAAAAATAAAGAATGAAATATAATAGAATATAATAAAAATAGAATAGAATAGAAAAGAAATAGAATAGAATAGAATAGAATAGAAAGGTCATCATATAATGAACCATTTCATTTTCATTTCCCAGGTTTACCGATATTTAGATTTAGCGACCCGGTAAATTCCGAACCCCAACATCCCAAAATATGATTTCGATTCACAAAGAAACAATTTCTTAGATTATGTTATACCCTCTATCCCACACACCATATAACATGATTCAAAACTACAAGACCGTGACATTTTATTCATACTATAGTCATACTATTATGCAGCCTATCTCCAACGGTACAGTACGGTATCGTGATTTCGGAGTGCGGATTGGGGGTGTAAAGAACACACTAAAATATATTTCCAATACACATCAAGATGGTGACTGGTCAGGCAAACGTTCAGTCTCAAAATCTATTAAGGTAGTAATTGTTTAACTGAATCATGGATCAGGAATTCATTTGTAAGATTGGCTTGGTTTGGTGTGCATATGTGGTTTAATATGAATATAGAATAACTGCATTGTATACTAATGATGCAATGCAATGCTTTGCATAAATGTTTAGTGAGATGGATATTAATAAAATATGTCCAGAATGAATTGCTTTGAGAGATATCTAAAATAGAAGGACAATGAATACGATCATACTAATCTAAAAGTGGCTATCATTTAATCACCAATATCCCATTCCCACTCGAATGTCGAGAAACGGTAATTGATTAATTACTTGCTTTCTTAACCACAAACATAAAATGTGTATTTTGAATCATACATATTAATTTTGGTAACGTTTTTGTCACCCATCTTTTATTCATATCAAGCTACCTTTTTTCAAGCATTAGACAGTGTTTTTGCACCAAAACATTGCACCCTGCAGATTTATTACTATTGGAGACCTTTGCATCCTATGGAAACCATCTGTTTTACATTTCCCAAGTTCTATATTATACACCTGGCGTCCACAAAAAAGTATAGTAAAAAAAAAAGTAAGAGTAACTCTCTTATGAAAAAAGTTTGGTAAAAAGCTTAACTTACTCTAAAATCCCGGGTCTAAAATAGGCCTGCAAACATGGTTCAACTGACACCTGAGCGGTGGAGCCAACAAAAAGTTCTAAAAAGCAAGTCTTATGTACTGTCTATAGAACCCCTATTCTTACTCTTGAAATGGATTCTAGCAATACTGTCCCACATGAATCTACTTGTTCAGACTCAATAAACTTGAGTTCTTCTGAAAAATGAGGATTTCAGCAAGGGTTGACTTTACATGGGGATACAATTGACTTCAAAGCTGCATATCAACAAATAGAAGTCTCATTGCTGATCAAGAGGCTCTTCGGATCCAATTTCTCAAAAGAGAGGTACCAACAATAAGTTACGGAAAATTATGCAAAAACTGTGAAGAACATAAATAATTAATGTTTTGAACAAAAGAAAACATTTACTGTGTCACTCCTGCTTGAATGCCAACTTTGCACAGTGCTGATTCTACCTCCTTTCATAATGGTCAAAATAGGCCAGTCATCCATGACAGTTACATAATGATTTGGGTACCATTTGATCGAAGACAAACTAGGCCTTCTACTGCTACCTTCGTATTTTAGAAAATTGCCCAGAATTCTAGAATCATGGCTTTGAAGTTAGGAATACTTTTTTGTATTACATTTTCTTTTTCTTTAATTCCCGGGTATTGACTTTCCCATGCTCTGTTAACCATTATTATAATAAAACATCAAAAAATATAAATGTGATAATTGATATACAATATCCACGTATATTTATTCTTTTTTTGAATATTCTGATAAAAAATTACATGGATAGGTATAGGTAAGTATTAAACAAGGCATTGTTTTGAAATCAAAAACACATTTCCCCAAATCTCGCGTGATTATGCAAATTATCTTGATGCGGAGCAATACTTTTTGTTTTGATTACTAACATTTGCTGCGCATTTGCAAAATCTCTCTCCATTTTGTCGTTTTGTACAGACACCCACATTAGTGTGGCAGTTCAGACACGGGTCAGATAAAGCTAAAAAACAAAAATGTCAAGGTTAATGTTTGTAACTAATTCAGTGCATCGTCGTTCTTTTTTTGTATACCATCACTTCCATCACTTTCATTCATTAGGGTTGAAATATTAGGGTCTTTTTTTAATTGAATCAGAATGATAAAAATAACTATAGCGACGTGTTCGGACATTGACATCGCAAATATGACTTTCCGTGATGATATAAATGTTTTCCTCACCTACAGAAGACTCGACTTTGAATTCATGAAAGTATTTACGACGCTTTGTGATCTTTGCTCCTAACGCCAATGCGTCCGAGTTAGCTTTCAGAATGAACGACTTGCCAGGTTTCAATGCCTCGCAACTTTTCTTTATTGTGCTATGGAACTTCCAACTCCTCTGAACATAGTAACACATCTTACCCACGTGGTACGTTGTGAAGGGTCTTGGACATCTACCTTATGATATAGTGAGTTTATATATCAATTCATCTCAGATTTAGCTTTTCTCAATTAGGATTATAAACATACTTATATGATGATACATAGCGGGTATGAGGCGGGTGAGGCAACTGTCTCAACAAATGTTAAAGAAATAAATTTATTTGGACGTTTCTAAAAATCCCGTGTCGCATGTCTGACTTTATTTTCTCGTCGCGTGTCCCGACTAGGCATATACAGGGTGTCTCAAAAAAATGTACCCAAAAGTATATCAAGAGCACAGATAAACCAATCAATATTTTCAGTCATTTTTTGCATGGTCCTGTAGCCAAAACATGAAAGTTTTCTCCCCAATACACTATTTTTATTTCAGTCTCGTCTTTTTGATGCTTTAAGCCTTTACCTTTTACACCACATAATTGATGTAACCTCATATTTCGATGACAGCCTGTATCCCTACTGCTGCATTTTTCATCATATTTGATAATAATTCCAGTGGAATGTTTTGTATTTCTCTTTGAATGTTGCCCTTAAATTGTTCTAGGTCTTCTTGCTTGGAATAAGCATTAAAACACTCCTTCAAATAGCCACAGAGAAAGATGTTTGAGGATGACGATGGCAGAGCAAACACAGAAAATCAGGTCAAGTATTGGCAAATAATTCAGGAGTTACCTTCCAGAGTTAGGTAGGCTAGCCTGGAGACCAAATGATATCCAAATGAAAACGTGGTGGTCTCAAATTGATACACACAACAAAAGCTGCACTAGAATCTCAACCAATGCAGTTTCTTGAACCTCTGACCTCTCTGTATAAGGGGGCTATTAGACATTGTGAGGGCCTCCCTATTCACCATATTTGACAGCGCATAGTTTTTTCTCTGAGGCTATTTGAAGGACCATTTTTATGCTAAACCCAAGCTAAGAGACCAAGAACAACTTAAGACCAGCATCCGAACAGAAATCAAAACATTCCATCAGAAAATATCAAATGTGATGAACGTAGTAGTAAGGATGCAGACTGTCATCGAAATATGAGGTTACATTGAATATGTGGTGTAAAAGGTAACGGGTTATAGCATTAAAAAGGCAAGACTGAATTAAAAACTGTGTACAGGGGAAAAAACTTTCATCTTTTATCTTCAAGACCATGCAAAAAATGTCTGAAAATATTGATTGGTTTGTCTATGGTGTTGATATACTTTTGGGTACATTTTTTTGAGACACCCTATATACCAAATTGCCAATGTCACATCCTCATTCCAAATAATCCCAATATATTTTTTATTCATAATGATATGTAACTTGCACAATAGACTTTGATATGAACCGTGTCTCCCTACTCTTGAAAGTCCATGTCCCACCATATAATCCCAATATATATTTTTTATTCATAATGATATGTAACTTGCACAATAGACTTTGATATGAACCGTGTCTGCCTACTCTTGAAAGTCCATGTCCCACCATATAATCCCAATATATATTTTTTATTCATAATGATATGTAACTTGCACAATATACTTTGATGTGAACCGTGTCTGCCTACTCTTGAAATTCCATGTCCCACCATATAATCCCAATATATATTTTTTATTCATAATGATATGTAACTTGCACAATATACTTTGATGTGAACCGTGTCTGGCTACTCTTGAAAGTCCATGTCCCACCATTTAATCCCAATATATTTTAATGTACGTGCCTTCTCTGACTGTGCCGAATGTAGAAAAAGCTTGAAATTGGAAAAAACTTCTTGTCTCCTTTCAATTACTTTATAATGTTGTATTTAATTCGTCCACTTTCCATTTTTCCATATTGAGATCTATTATATAGCCCTTAAAGATAGCCAATTCTGTTGGGAAACAATGAGTACACAATACACGGATTCGTAAAATGAATTTTTAAGTAAAATAGTTTCGATGAAAACAAACCATTTCTGTCTTCTTCAATCTGACATATCATGTATACTTTGTCAGAACATGGCTCTACCTGCCAGTAGAATAATTGTGGATCAGTATTCTTGAAGGCCCAGTTAGTCATTATGTAACACACATTATCCATCGTTGTTGGTTTTGTTGTTGTACTGGTAGTCGTCACATCTTCAAATATGATATTTACACTTTTACAATATACAGTAACTTAGTGTCATTTTACACTTAAACATAGCCTAAATTAACTATGTGTTGAATCAATTTGTAACCTTACTTTATACAGAACCTCCCAAAAAACATGAAAACACAAAACCAGTGAATACACTGACTCCCAAATCATTTCATTTAATTTACCACGAGGCCATGTGTCTTCTCTTTCCAATGGTATGTCACCTGTTCATATCTGATAATGGACCACTGATCTATTATTGTTTTTTCGCGCATGAGTGCCTAGTTTTGAAATATCCTCAGTCGACTGATCCTATTGTGCAATTGGGTAAATCATTATGTAATTGGGACTGGGGACTGGTCCAAGAGTTACATAACACAGTTTTCAAATTTAGATTCACTAAGAAAAAAGATTTAACCAGTATCCTTGATGGTTCAGTTATAACGTTACAAACATATGGAAAAAGAAGTTACATATTAACAGTTAGTAAAGTCACAACCATTGCAAATATTCGTCATCTTATGTAGGATAACTTATAAAAGATTATATTCCATACCCCTCCACATGGCCACCATTTCTCTACAAACAGAGATTGGTTCGTCTCTACATGTCACAAATACCTCTTTGAATTATCTGTGGGTTATGGCGGAGAGCAGCAAACTCATTGGTGATTCTCTGTCAATTGTTCTGAAACGTGGTCCAGAGCAGATTTCGACCCGTTTTGCAAAAGTAATGATTATTCAGTGGTCTGTGGTCATGTATGAATAACTGAACATACCATTGGAAAGAGGAGACAAATGACTTCATGGTCATGGTATTAAAATAAATGAAATTGGTGTAATCATCACTGGTTTTGTGGCTTTACAATGTTTCGTTTTTTGGGACGCACTGTATTACAATTTAAAGGTTGCTGGAATGATTATTTTTAATCGATTATTTCAATTTCAGAACCTCTTTTATAACTTACAAGGAGGAGTCATCCTTGGTCATGAAAACATATTCCAGCTCTTAATTATAATAGACTATATTTCATATTGCTACTACAAAGAAAATAATGAAACAGCTCTTGATATTCATGCAGCATTTGACTCAGTGCAGTGCATTTATTTGTTAAGTAAGCTAGTCAGGTATGGTTTTGGACAAAATATCTGTCGGTTAACCTCTTGAATACCCAGAATGACAGATATATCTGTCACAGAATTTTTCACTAAAACTGCTCTAACTTTGGCAATTTTTATCCAATCTTCACAAAATATGTTTAGAATGTAGGTAATGGGTCTATGTTTACTATTCCTATGAAATCAAATATCAAACATTGTGTTTTTAGATGTAAATATCAAGAAAACTAGCAGAAAAAGACAAATGCCCTGGTTTTAAACCCTTTTTAGAGGCTGGTATTCAAGAGGTTAATCAAATATTACGTAGAGCAGAGTTATTTTCTGAAACAGGTAGCCTTTCGGTGGTAACTCTCTCCAGACACTGTCGAGAGTATTATCGTTATCAGCTGATCATTTGCAAACGTAGTTTTTTAATTCTCATTTTTACATTGGCTTAAAATATGATCGGTACAAAACCGCTCATTTGTACTTGTGCTGTTGTGATAACATAATGAAGATCACATAAATCAAAATAGTTTGAGATATTGGGGATTTTGCTCAGTGTTTAGGTCAAACAAATCAAGTTTGTATGTAAAACATACCGTACCGTCACAATCTTCCGTCTCACTTTCAAGAACATCCCCGGTATAGCTTTGGTAAATTGGTCCATCGCCTGATAGGTAACCATATTCTGGGAAGAACCCAGATCGCAATCTATATCGCTCTCTACTCTGACACTTACTCCACTCTCCCCAGTGAATCCAGTCTAATGATAATAACGAGATAGTTTGAGGTGGTATTAACTTTACAGAAAAAATATGACGCATGACAGTAATTATACATTTCCAGGTTTGCTAAGAACCCTTCTGGCTCAAATATTCATATATTCCAATTTTTGGCACTCTTGCTTAATATTACTAAATATGAGTTTCTACATTTTCTCTGACTCAGTATATCAATTATGAACAACTTTGTGTATGTTTACCCATAACAGTGTTTGCGATCCATTCCATGTGGTAGGCCAAAGGTGTATGTGTGTGGTTCTTATGCTCTTTCGTACAGCCTGATAACTCTATGAGGCTATTCACACCAAGAACCACTGCGGGTTGTGGAGGTATGTAAGCCATCTCTGATTTTTTCAGGTCACACATCAATGCACTTCCACTGTATCCCTTGTAAAAAGAGACAGTTTATATATCCAAAGACTTTCAGATGTCTCTCCAAACTGAGTGCCCCACTTTTAAAGATTAATGAGTAAACACATTTTTGTTTACAGATTGGTTTATTAATCACCAAAAATATTTTTAAATAACTTCAAACACTATTCCTTTAAAAAAAAGATCTACGAATTTGACATCTTTCCAGATATCTTCTCATTCTCCTATCCTGCTTCGGGAAAAATTGAGACATAAGGCAAATGGCCTTAAAATTCCACGGCTTTCGTGTTTGTCAATGAAAAGATGTAGTGTAGTAGTAAATTATAAATGTTCTGAGTCCGTTCATTTGATAAGGAAAACGACGGAGTCAACTATAAATGAAATTCCTACCTCACAAAGTGGTCTCTGGCCTTTCATACTTTCTGATCTGATGAAAGGTCTAATATCGTTTTCGGGTCGTAATTCCATCATCACTTTGATTATGCGGCCTTTATTAGAGCGCACTAAATTGACATCTGTAAAACATAATTTCTTCATATTGCGAATCATTTAGTATTGCGATATTAAAAGTGGCAATAAATACATGTCTGTGGAATGTAAGATTTATACTTTTTACGAAGTTACAGTTGACTTCTCATGTCTCATTTTGTCTATTCAGTATTTACCGTATACGTACACTATTTGACGCAAAATATATGTTTTCGTAAGCACTATACATATATGTATATGTATATGCTACCGATTTACCGTTGTAACAATGAGCTAGAGGAAATCTTACGCTCATAGAGTAAAGAGTCAATTCACGTTATTAGTCTTCAGACATAGTTATTATTTAACATAGAAAGTGCATACTTAGTCCCCAACCAGTTGTAAAACAACCAGCATTGGAAGCCCAGCCTTGGTGACTCAGTGAACAAATACCACTGGAGGCTTCCATACATGTTTTACAAGGCAATAAGCTGGGCTGGACGTATGTGTTGTTCATAAACTTTAATTTTGTGCTTAGTTTAACAAGCGCAATATCATTTTTGTGCTCTTGATTTCCCTCATAATATTTGTCGTGTACAACAATATGTTCGACATCTCTAGTCTGTTCTGTTTTGCTGTTACGATTTAACTTCCATTCACCCGCTGTTATTTTCCATCTATTCATATCGCATCTGTAAGTATATAGTCTTTGATTATTTTCTTTGGGGAACTACAATACTTTCAACTGATATACAAAATCGGAGGAGTGGGTAGTTATCTGACAAATCTTTTTTTCATATCGTTTCAACATGTACCCCCCTATCACACCAAACTAGTTCTTACCCGTTCTTGCCAGTCCTACGAAAACGTCGTAAAACGGGCTCAATCTGGCTGTGGTCGGGAAAAATGTCTGAAATAATTAGCTTCTTCGTTCTTAAAGTCCCCGATAAATCGGGCTACGTATACCGCCGTGTTTACATTAGGGGATTAGAAGAGTTTATTTTTTAATTTAGGTATGCAAGCTACGTATATCAATATTAGGCCTTCATTCATGTACTCGTGTGCATGTAATCAGCATGCCCTTCAATATTATGTAAACCAGGCTATTCAAGTACTGTATAATGTACACTATTTATGTGTGTACTACATACATACAATACAATTCCCTGGGAAACAAAACACAAATACTTTTTATATGTTCAAAATGAGCCATTTGATTGATGCAAACACTAAATAGCTTCATAAATAACATCTACAAAGTATATCTAATAGTAATTTTTAATTTCAATGGTGAAACTTCCCTGGTTACGATTATATGGGAAATCATCACGAGACGAAGATCGTTCGCCTTCCTGGCTTACCTCTGAATCGTGTACCCGGTAATCTCTTTATATAGTTTAGCGAGAGCGGTGCGCCTGCGCAGTTTTAAACTTTGGCGCACACTTTAAACAGTCTTCAATACGTCCATCTCGTTCGCAGTTCGTTCAGGTCGCACCACGTCGGTGTGCAACGTAGTAGAACGCGTCCCTTAGTCTAGAAGGTCAACATGACCTGATTACAGAACGGTATGGTCGCCATCGAATTTTGAATCGATTCAAAATTCTAAAATCACATTCCCGTCTGAGAACGTTCATAAAGTTCGTAAATAGACCTTAGAAAGTTGCAGCTACGTTCATTCCGTTCGCACACAGTTTAAAACCAGTTTTGAAGAACGCAGTGGCAACTTGTTTGGTGTGATAGCTATATTTTTGCTAACTCGTTCATAAGCAGTGTTAAATACGTTCTTAATCAGTTTAAACCCGTTTGCAATTAGTTCTACCTCGTTCTCAACACGTCCTCAGACAGTTCAACTCGTTGTTAAAACGTCCCTAATAGAATTGAAGTACGACGGTTCGGTTTGTAGAACGTCCAGCTCGTCGTTAGTACGGTGTCACTCGTTCTAATTGTAGAACGTGACGACCACGAGAACATTTTGAGCATTGTCTACGTTCTAGAGGACCAACCCATTCGAGTAGGTTCGATGAAGTTTGTAAATAGATCCCAAACGGTTCTTAGTAGGTCCAGTCCGTTCTTACACAGTTGAAGCCCGTTTTCGAGAACGTAGTGAGAACTAGTTTGGTGTGATAGTAGGGTACAGTAAAAATGATTACATAAGTTAATCCAGCAAACACATGTCATTGTAAATTCCAACTTCTCATTTAGAAATTAAACTTCGTAACATACGTGAGCCTTTTCTCTTTTTTGTTCCAGCATTCAAGGCTTTTGTCAGTGATGCAATGAGCCGCTGTAACAACCCATATGTTGCTTAAAATCACACCTCCGCAGTTATGCTCCCATTTGGTTCCACCTGCTTTCTTGAACTTTAAAGAAACTACCCATGATAACATTTCTCTCTGATATACTCTAACATTGGAACCCGTAGCTTTCACATATGCACTTGGTAATGGCCCACTCTTGTATATTTTGTCATATTCCTTCGTTTTATCGACAACTTGTAATAAAAGATGCAGATTGCATTAAATTTGTTTCTTAGGTATACCAATGATATGAGTTAAGATGTTGAGTTTTACCTTAAAAGGTGGGAATGTCAGTTTTGATGAACGACTGGTTGACGACAAAGTATTTAAACCATCAAGGCGAAACATCCTTATCATAAGGTCATAAGAAGGTTATCATCCGAAGGTTAGATTTTTAAAGATGACTCTGCCTTCCAATGGTATATTGTTACTTGACGACATCCAGGCTCATTCTTTTTGCTTTGAGAAGCGCACTTTGAGACTGTACTTTCTCGACTGATTGTACAATTTGAAAAAAACAATATACCTTTACAGCACTCTTTGTGCTCAATATGTGTACCACCCAATACGCTGCATAGTGAGGGTTCTAACGTATGGCCGTTTTTCCCAAAACAAAGCCTTTTTCTATGGGCTATGTTGCAAATTGTATTGTCGCATGGAGTCCAGTCTCCCCATTCTCCCCACCTCACCACGCCTTTGTCTGACCAAAGAATTACTACTAGTTTCAATTCAATTTCAATTTATTCCTTAACAATATAGTTTATTATACAAGATACACTCCCCTCCATAACTTGTATTGTATTTTCAAAGATTCATCAGATTTATCATCAATTTTCGACTTATTGTAATTGAGGAAAAAATTGAGAAAATTTGGAGGTATTGGAAATAAAGTCAAGTTACGTTTCCATCAATAGTATAAGTATTTTCTTCGCAGGTTAAGTAAATAAAAATTCAAAGATAAAGAGGCTTTAACACGTAGTTCAATGGGGGAGCTAAGGTTGCCAAACTTATGGAGGGGAGTGTACATGTAAAAATAATTAACTGGTGACATCATTTAAGTTTGAGATGGTATGAAGAAACAGTGGAATTTGAAACTATTTTCTCCCTGACCAAACCCTTTACTTGAATCATTCCAAGACCGCTATTTAACAAGTTAAAGACATGCTGTCACTTGTACTTATTCCATCCTAATTTTGTTTTTTATTCCATCCTAATTTTGTTTGCATAAATTATTAGTTTTCAAAATATAACTCAAACGATATCTTCCAAATAAACAAATAATAGATTCCAAAATGGCTAACGTTTATAGTTTTACCAAATTAAACCTCACATATTAGACTACGGCCCACTCTGATAATTGTAACTCCTTCCTTACATGAAAGGTTACACATTCCAACCTATTTCAAACCATCTGTATGATGATACTAGACACTTTCTGGGTAGTTGGACTTTCTATAGGGGTGGCAGACGGCCCTCAGACCAATTTAAACTCCTACCCCCAAAAAACCATGGGGGTACTTTAATACCACCCAATAAAAAGAATACTAATGCATGTCAGATATTAATTGTTTTATATTGGGTAGGGCATGTTATGGTTAGTAAGTGCCAGAAATTTCCAATCTCTAACTGATATGGTTACCATAGAAACAGTATCTATATCTTGAAATATTCTCAATTTGACCCCCTCCCAAATGTGTTCTTTTGATCTCAAAGTGAAATATTTGCAAATCTGTTTGGATTTTATGACTGCTACTTTGTCAAAAATTGTATCAATATGTATATTTTAACATTTAAACACTGAAAAGTGTTCATGATGATCCTATAAATCAATAATATTTATCAAATATAGTCACACATAGCTGCTTTTAGGGAAAAGTGGGCGTGGCACTTTTTGGTACGTGTGTACTTGTTGCAGCATTAAATGAAAAATACATATTATACTAACAACAATTGACATTTAATTAGCATCTACTTATGTTATGTAACATTGTAATATGTTCATTATCATTATTAGACACTTTAAATATTTTATATCAGTGTTATCCTGACCCTTCCCTTTATCCCTACACCCTTCAAGGTGGGCATTACAAATCGTGTCAAGTTAACATTTCTGTTTGATTTATTTTTACCATAGACAAGGTACAGAAGCTTTACCATGAGTACTGACCTTATTAGGTGCTAAACTGATGAATGGATAGGTAGATGGCAGCACTTGTGCTGGTTGGACTACACGCTAGCATCTACCATAGACACATATTGATTTACCATATTTGTTATTTTGGATTAAAGTAAAACTGCTTTCGCATCAAACTCAATGAGATTCAGATTGTGTTTGAAACTAGATGATCTTCAGATTTTGTGTGAACCTTAAATTGTATTTCCCTCAGATATATTGTATTTCCCCGTATTTAAAACTTCATATTAATTAAACCTCATATATAATGCACACGATTTTAAATACGAATCAAAACTATGAATAAGTGATATCCATGTTTATAACGAAAGCATGAATTTGAAAGAAACAAACATTCTACTCATATGGTATAAAGATATTACCAGTTGTGTCCATTTTAGATTTGATTGAAGAACTTGAATTAGAGGCAATTTTGAAATTACAATATATTAAAAGAGGCTCTGTTGCTTAGATGGGAGAATCAATTAGCTGCATTGTTCAGTTTATGACAAAACTGATGTTTAGTGTTACTTTCATGAACACCCATCCTGTAAAATAGCATTTGGAATCTAGTAGTTTGTATATAGATGAATTAGATAAGGCATTGTCGAGGGAAAATATCCAACAAGATCCAACTTAGAGTTTGCTTTTTCTTATTAAGTTCCATTACAACTTTTGGTCCTTTCCCTTTGGCACTAGTGCTTATATATTTACTAGTTTGCTCATGAAATTAGGCATACTTTAACTTGAAACAATTTGTAACACTCAATTTTTGGGGTTTGGAGATCGAAGTAATAATGATGAAAAACAAGCAACTTTAAAATATTTATGTTTTACCCAAATTTTTAAAGATTTTTGTTAGCCTTTGTTTTGTCTGTTTTATTCTCAAATAAATCATGGTCATCAATTCTATTGTGACATAATCATCATTTACCAATTTTAAAATTAAATATTACTAGTTAGAGAATGTGTTCAGGGTATTGGAATTATCCCGAGGCCAATATAATATATCTGGCCTAGGGTCGTTGGTCCCGAGGGAAGATATTTTCTATTGGCCAAAGGCCTTAGGTCCTGAGGGAAGATATATTATATTTATATATATATTTATCCCATATCAATCTTTCTTATCTGGTTCACATTGTTCAATTGGCCAGAGTTAGAAAGAATTCAACCATATGAATGTATTCATGTCTCATTTTGTTTTCTTGGCCTTAGGAGGATACCCCTGTTTTTTAAGTATTCATCCACATATTCTCGAATCATTGAAAGTATGCTACTTCCCTCATTGCTAATCATACACAAATGATGATAATGACTTAGTGGCCAGGTGTAATATATCTGCCCTCTCAGGCCGGGACATTAGCTATATCTGCCCGCTGATAAAAATATAAGTATTTATAAACCTGCTATATGTATCTGAAACATGTCCAAGTATGGGACAAATGTATCTACTTTTTTTGATTTCATACACTAAACAGATTTGTTTAGGAATTATTTGAAGTATTTCAAAAACATATACCGAACCACTATTTAAGGAATCATTGAAAATACAGCATATCAGAAACATGTGTAAATTGTTTATCTTGCAATTATTTTGCTAAATACTAATAGAAATTATACTGTACCTTCCAGAGAATAGCTTTTTTGTTAACTATGAGCCAATGAATGAATGGATGCATTTTATTATAACTGCAAAATGATGCTCTATGCAATTCATACGAAAAATTAATTTTGCCATATTAGAATCAAGCATAATCTTTAATCCATTGGATAGATCATGCATTGCCTGATGTTGAGGTATTGATAAAAGAATCAGCAAGGGTCTGACAAAATATATTTTAGTGTTATGTATTAGGCAAAATATTAGGAAGGGTATAAATGGTCTCTAATCTTTCTAGTTTTGAGTATTACGTCTCCTTGCTTTGATTCAAACTATCCTCAGTCACTATTTGTAACCCCTCCCTCCTTCCCCATTTAGGCCATGAATATGAAGATGATTTAGAGGTTATGTGAAGGATACTAGGGAAGGGTTAATAGCCAGAGTTATATAAGTTCATTTAAGTTTAATCATAAATGTTATGCAATTCACACTAGCATCAAATATCATACCAAAAGGATTGAACTGTTCATTACTTTTCAATTGCAGTAAACATGGTAAAATGGTTCTAAATATTGAAGCCTGTTGAACAAGCATATTAATTAATTGTAACTCATAGCTCTAGATGACTCGAACTTATCCATTCATATTCTAGGAACAAGTCAATGAATAAGTAAGACTTGACTCTTGACAGTCTTAAAAGACCGAGGACCCTATAAGACTTAAACTAAAAGTTAATTTGACCATTGATGACCTATGATAGGGAAGGGTCAGGATAACACTTATATAAAATATTTAAAGTGTCTAATAATGATAATGAACATATTACAATGTTACACAACATTAGTAGATGCTAATTAAATGTCAATTATTGTTAGTGTAATCTGCATTTTTCATTTAATGCTGAAACAAGCGCACAAGTACCAAAAAGTGCCACGCCCACTTTTCCCTGAAAGCAGCTATGTGTGACTATATTTGATAAATATTATTGATTTATAGGATCATTATATCAACTTTTAAGTGTTTTAGTGTTAATATAGACATAATATTACAAATTTTGACAAAGTAGCAGCCATAAAATCCAAACAGATTTTGAAATATTTCACTTTGAGAACAAAGGGACACATTTGGGAGGGGGTCAAATTGAGAATATTTCGAGATATAAATACTGTTTCTATGGTAACCATATAAGTTAGAGATTGAAAATTTCTGGCACTTATTAACCATAACATGCTCTACCCAATATAAAACAATGAATATCTGACATGCATTAGTATTCTTTTTATAGGGTGGTATTAAAGTACCCCCATGGTTTTTGGGGGTATGGGTATAAATTGGTCTGAGGGCCGTCTGCCACCCCTATAGAAAGTCCAACTACCCAGAAAGTGTCCAGTATAATCATACAGATGGTTTGAAATAGGTTGGAATGTGTAACCTTTCATGTAAGGAAGGTTGCATTTCTAGAGCACTTCTACAGAATGGGTTACAGTCTATATTGTAAATTATAGTAGTCAAATTGCTTAACTGAAAATGCTCAAGTAGCCAGAAGGTTATTATGTCGTATTATCCTGATATGAATACTAATGAATGACGTTTTCATCACAAAATTCACAGTTTTTTAAATATTTTTTTAAACAAAATAATCGAAATAATAGTGAGTGGGGAGGGATTACTCGAGTCTCTAGCTTACAGCTAGACGTAACTTCATTGATTTCGTATGTACTCTAGAAAAGGTGCTACACGCACCTACACGCACCTAGTACTCATTTTTTTAAAATTTTATAAATATTTTTAAGAATATTAATTATATTTAGGATGAAGCGTTGCTTGTCTGGATTTAGATATTTCAAAATTTCATTTCGGAGTTTGACACGCTTCCGGTTCTGGACGTGAATAAAATGGAGGAAACTTTGAAATTATTCTCACTTAAAGAAATCAAATATAACAATTGATTCAGACGGGGATGTGGGCTGATGTTCTTCAAATCTATACATTATATTTCATATTATTATGCCATGTTTACTGTGCGTGTAACACAATGATTTACAATATTCATAGTACCAAGGCAGCTCTATCTTCTACTCAAAGCCGGAATATAGAGAAGGCTTTGGACCGAAGTAAGGGAGGGAGATGTTTTTTCTATAGATAACCCCCTCCCCCCTCCCATTCAAATAGGAATATTACCTAGTAATGCTAGCAATGTCTCAACCCTTTGACTTAGTTCATTCACCTCGCTATTAATTCTGATTTTAAAGCCTCCCTGGCACAAACTGGTTTTCTGTAGAATTTTACTTTTGATAATGTTCAACTTCGGAACAATATCGGTATTCTGGCACGTATTGGCAGTTGCCATGGAAACAATATCTGCAATAAGAAATAGATACAAACTATTCAATGTGAAGACCAGCTACAGTATATAATATAAACTTCGTCGAAAAACTTCAAACCTTATATTACCTCAAGTTAATTTACTTCGGAGACTAATGTAATTTAAAAGAAATCTAATTCAGGGCAATTCTGAAGGTTCCCATGAAAATCTGTCAAACATCCCAAATCAATAATGATACGTATATAATGGCGTAACTAAAGCTACGTTGTTGAATCTTGTGTTTAGTGAATTAGAAACAAGGCAATGACAAAATGTCACCACCTAGTTGCTCACAATATTATTAGTTCAATCTGAAGTCAGTTTTGAATTTCTGAGAACTTTTGGGTGATTTTGAAAAAAAACAAATTGGTCAATTTGAAGCAAGTTGAAAAATACCTTTTTTGACCCTGAGACTGAGAAGATCGTTGAAGGTGAAATCTCAAATAAAAAGTCAGATTTGAGCTTCTTCGAACTTGTTGTTACGCGGTATATGGCATACATTCATGGTTGCGCGGTATTTGTGATACGGGTGAATATGCCATACTCACCTGCGGTATATGGCATATTCCACAGGTGAGTATGCGATATGCCGAAGTGATTATGCGATACATTGATTGCAGTGAATACCCGATACTCACCTGCGGAATATGTCATACTCACTTGCGGAATATGCTATATCGCAGGTGAATATGACATATACCGCAGGTGAAAACGTGATACAGAAAGTCTTGATTTGATTGGTTGCGAGAATCGACTCTAAATGTAAAACTACGCTGTATTACCACTATAGTTAGTGCGTCGAGTACTAATATATGAATCCTGGATTGATTGAGTAAGTTCATTACGCGAGATTCGTGACTGATACTTCTGCTAAGTTAATATATTCGATACACAGTACTGTTGATTCAGTAATCATTACAATAATTAATAACGTTTTACTATTTCGTTCAATCGATGCAATCAATCGATTGAATATTGCGTACTTCCGTATCACGTTCTCATTGGTTAGTTTGTATGCCATATACCGCAGGTGAATCTGTCATACACCGCAAGTGAATATGCCATATTCGTTGCGGAATATGACATATTTTTGTATCGTGTTTACCGCGTAACACTTGTAGATAATTGAAAAAAGAAAATAAACCTTTTTGACCTTGAGAAGGTCAAATATTTTTTTGACCCTCGGAATGTCAAATCTATAGTCAGATTTAAACTTTTGAGAACTTGAAGATGATTTTGAAAGATAAATTGGTCAATTTGAAGCAAGTTGAAAGAGACCCTTTGACCTTTTTCGACCTTGATAAGGTCAATGAAGGTCAAATCTCAAATACAGTCGGATTTGAACTTGATAACTGATAACTTGAACTTTGAACTGATAACGTGTAGATGATTTTGAAAAAGTTGAAGCAAGTTGAAAAAATACCTTTTTTACCTTTGTTAACTTTCTTTGACCTTGAAAAGGTCATTGAAGGTCAAATCTTAAATAATATAAGTCAGATTTGAACTTGTGAAAACTTGTAAGTGATTTTGAAAAAATTCAAGTCAGTCTTAGAAACAGTATTTGTTAAGTTTTTGGTGGTGACATAATGAATTGTAGACAATTCAGTGTTGTTGAAAAGCTTGGAGAAAGAATGGGTATCGATATGGCGAACTTTTTGAACACACGTTTCTCTTAAACCAGTCATCAAAAATTTCTTAAAATCTTACAAATTGTCAATTTAATGGCCATCTTTTGAATGGTAACAATATAATTTGAAATAGATATACATACTTACATCTATATTGTTTTAAAAACACATCAAACACTTGTTGTGTTCTTGGTATCATGTTTCCAGAGTGAAATAAAACATCTTTCCGAACCTCATTGGAACAAAACGACATAAACACAACATGTTTAGGTCTCTCAATATTGTACAGGGTGATCATTAAGTTCTGGGAATTGGTCTGCCATTTCAAGATTTCTCAACCATTTGAGTTGAAATTTTCAGCAGGTGTACATTGTATAATTCTAAATTGACAAGCAATGTTTCATATACATATCACATCTACAATTTATTTTATTGCAATTACAAAAAAAGTAAAAGTGGTTCGCGGGTCAGCAAATTTTGACTGATGTTAATTTGAAAATTTCCTGCCAAACATATTCATCTTGCCTAGATGGTTGCTTCAAACTACCTAGGTTATGGGCTAGCCCTTAAATTGCGGTATGGAGGTAGAATTTTGGAGACCATGTTAGTTACATCCTAATTTGTAATTCTCACCACAATTTGGCAATAATTAAGCAAAATTTTACAGCGTTTAGGAAAAAATCAATATTTATACCCCCCGCATGACAAAAGTAGGGGGTACAAAGAAAATAATTAATAACTTTACAAAAACATTATGAATAACCACAATTTTTTCAGAATATATACACATATATGCCATTGATAACTGGTAAAAAATTGGTGACTATAGGTATGATGGTTGCTATGGAAACAGAATTTGATTGTCAAAATTTGCTAATTTGTGTCTATTTTTGGCGGGCTAGTTAACAAAAAAATCCTATGCTAGCCAGTTATGCTGCAAAAATAGCATTGTTTTAAGGTTTAGAAAATTGCATATATATGTCCTGCATGCATTAAAATTTGAATGATGATTGTGGCTCAATTAGAAATATTTAAAAAAAAAATTTCTATGACCCACCCCCTCTAAATAATCAAAAGTGGGCGTGGCATTTAACTGAATGATCAAGCCTACTTAACAGTAGATAACTTCAATTGTATAGCCAGTATTATCACAATTTCAACAGAAGGTATGATTCTTGTATCAGTTAACATTTTCTATGACTTTTCTATCCCTCCTCAATATTTGTAACCCCTCCCCCTCCTCCACCACCCCTCCCGCAGGACAAAAGTAGGGGATACATTGAAAATGATTAATAACTTTACAACAATGCAGCAAATAACCACCAATTTATCAGACAGAATAAATGTATATGTCATCAGTAATTTGAAATAATTCTTGGTGATGATGGTTCTATAGAAACAGGATTTGGTTGTTGTGAATTTGTGTAGATTGGGTGGGGGGGGGGCTAGTTTATGAAGAATCATATCCTAGTAAATTATGCTGCAAAATACCATTGTTTTAAGGTTTAGGAACTGTGTCATTTATATATTAAAACTGAAATAATGATAGGATGTCATTCACAAATAAATTTTTTGATGAGATTATAATAATAGGTGACATTAACAAACTTTGATTTAGCGGCAGAAAAGAAGGTCTATAATATTGCCCGATCCTTTAATGTTTCACTGCAATGCTTTCATTAGATTGGGGACATTCCATACCCTTTTGTGCTGTGGGAAAATATATGAGATTAAGGGTTCGAGGACATTCTTATAGAATCTTAGATATTTGCAGTTCAATTGATGGTAGTGGAAAACACTTCAACAAGGCCTTCAGAGTTCATAAAGTCAGGAATGAGGAATTGGAATCCTTGTTGATTTCAAAATTCCATGAATCTGGAGAGTATTCAGCTTACTTATCGTATGATCTGTAAAATGAAGCCCTCTGATTGGTCAGTTCTTGTTCTGTTCTAATCTGTATTGCTACCTACTGAGATTGTCCTTATTGATCATCTCCTTAGCAATACAGAAAATATTGGTACGGAGGGGATAATCTCAGTAGCAATACAGAATATTTCATAGGAATTACCTTCTGAGTAAAATGAATTGGCCTAAGACCACAAGATAAAAATATTATGTATTGTCACTCGACTTTGTCTCTTTCCAACACAGAATTTCTCGAACAGAATATATACTGTATTGCATTTCAAATCATTCAATAACTTATATTACTGCTACTTCAACTAAAGCCTTAGTTGATATTGAAAACAATGAGTTATCACAAAGTACCAAACATTTAAGAATGACATGAAGAATGGAAAGTTTGGAAAGACTGTCCAATACTGAGTTACATATCAGAACATGATTGATATATCACTGTACTTTGAAACACCAGAGAATGGAACATCAGCCAGTTGACGAAATGTGTTTGGAAAATTGGCTACTTGGTAAAAGGACATGTTGCCACAAACACTTTCACTGTTTTGTAAGTTGTGACACACCCTTCTCCCTGGATAACTGCAATTTGCTTTTTGCTAAGCACCATAGAATCTGTCCTCATGGACTTTCCATGATTCCATGGCTCTCCATGAGTTTTTATTACAAACTGAATGGTGTTTCTTCATCTTGATTTGGGCGCATCAAATGATTTAGTATTGATCCTAATACGGGCATTTAACAAATTCTTAAGAAGCAATAGCTCCTAACACTGGGTGGATTTTTTGACTTGAGTAAGTGCTGGAAGTCCTGATGATATGCATAGGAGTCTTGATTCTGTGATATCAAATGGCTTGATAAACACCACCAATCTGCACTCATGGTACATTAATAGTACCATACAGTGCCATTCTATTATGGTGGTGTACAGTGTCCATGGTACTGTACAATACTATTTTAGTCTGGTACCATATATTACCATACCATACAGTACCATAGCCCAAACAGTACCATAACATACTGTTGGAGATACACAACTTTATGTAATTTTACGGTACTGTTGCCTGTGAAGCTGTCAAATGGACGTTAACTGTTATCTTCATCATTGATCATCATAAACAACATGTTTGTGACTGAATCTTTTTAATACCAATAAGGAACTTTGCGTGCCTGTTGATTGTTGGTTGTATTGTTGAGGTTTTGATTTTGACACCATTGTACATACCCCGTGACCTCCTTTTATGGTACATCCCCCCATCATCTTGCTAAGATTTGACACCAGGAAATATTGTATCTACACTAAGCAATGTCAGAAGATACATTATATGGTAGCAGGCATGGTTCTGATGATCAGAAGTGATGAAGAGATGTATTATTTTGGTTTATATCACAACCCAATGAGGTGTGTATTAATGATTAACTTTCCTGTTATCTCAAAATCTGCTTGGAACTATACCATAGGATTGCTATGGGAATTCCTCAAAGAGAAAATTGTAGGGAATAAGGAATGGGTACCATTTACACGATTTGAGAAATTATTGGCATACATTAAACCTATTTTAAAACAGCATATATATAATCATAATCAATGATTCCTAGCCCTCTGAAGTTTGAAAAATAAAAAACCTGGGTGTTAATCCATAGATAATCCTTGAAAAGAGAAATATCTTTTGGGGATAATATGGTGCAGTTTTATAGTCAATAAAATGGTTAAAGTGTATTGATGTTTTTAACCCGATTCATTCTACAAACAACATGCGGTCCTTTGTTTGACAATCGAATCCTTTTTCCATAGCAACCATCAAACCTATAATCACCATAATCTTTTTCCAGTTACTTATGACATATACATGTGTAATTTTTAGTATGTTAAGACGAGGGGAGTGGCATAAATATTTGGGGATGAACAAAATGATAAAAAGTTAACTGATGCCTACATTGTATAGAAATGTTGAACTATTAAGTAGGTTTGATCATACAGTTAAATGTCTCGCTCACTTTGGATTATAAAGAAGGATGGGTCATAGTGGAATCTAAAAAATCTAATTGAAACCCAATCATCATTTCATTTTAATGCATGCATGTTTTCTAAACCTTAAAACAATGCTAATTTTGCAGCAGAATTCGCTAGCATAGTATTCTTTGTGAATCAGCCCCCCTCCCAATATCTTCACAAGTTGTGACGATCAAATCCTGTTTAGAAACTATCATACCTATAATTACCAAGAATTTTTTCAATTACTGATGACATATACATTTATCCTGTCTGAAAAATTGATGGTTATTCGCTGCATTGTTGTAAAGTTATTAATCATTTTCAAGGTATCCCCTACTTTTGTCACGCAGGAGGGGTGGTGGTGACGAAGGAGGGGTTATAAATATTGAGGGGGATGAACAAAATCATATAAACTGTTAACTGATACCAGAATCCTACATTCTGTTGAAATTGTGATAATACAGGCTATATAATTGAAGTTATCTACTGTTAAGTAGGCTTGATCATTCACTTAAATGCCACGCCCACTTTGGATTATTTAGAGGGGGTGGGTCATAGAAAAAAAAATTAAAAATATTTCTGATTGAGACTCAATCATCATTCCAATTTTAATGCATGCAGGACATATATATGCAATTTTCTAAACCTTAAATCAATGCTATTTTTGCAGCATAACTTGCTTACATAGCATTTTTTCGTTAACGAGCCCCCCAAAATAGACACAAATTAGCAAATTTTGACAATCACATTCTGTTTCCATAGCAACCATCATACCTATAGTCACCAATTTTTTACCAGTTATTAATGACATATATGTGCATATATTCTGAAAAAATGTGGTTATTCATAATGTTTTTGTAAAGTTATTAATTATTTTCTATGTACCCCCTACTTTTGTCATGTGGGGGGTATAAATATTGATTTTTTCCTAAACGCTGTAAAATTTTGCTTAATTATTGCCAAATTGTGGTGAGAATTACAAATTAGGATGTAACGAGCATGGTCTCCAAAATTCTACCTCCATACCGCAAATTAAGAGCTAGCCCATCACCTATACCTGTACTAGAGGCAGAACAGTACTCTTGAAGTCATTTATTCAGAAGTATTCTTCATTGCTGAGGGGATCTTCATTTCATTTATGATTGTTTCCATTAGCCTGGACGCACATGCGTTGCTGTTGCGTTGTCCATAAAGATATGTTCCAGTCCTCCCTTTGGTATCCTTTGAAGATTTGCTCAAGCCGTTGAAATCAGTCCCTTATTGGAATCAAACTTATGGCCTCTCATATAATGCTTTAGCACCCAAAATGTAGTGAAGCTTAATGGTGCTTTATCTGGTGAATATTGTCTGGTGAATATGGGGCAGTAATAACTTGTGTGAACCCTAATTCTTCAAGAGTAGTATGGGCAGCTTGAGTAATGGGAAGGAGCATAGTCATAATGGAAGATAACTCCCCGCTATTTTTAGTCACGATTGTTACTTTGAGATGCTGATGAATGATAAAAAATAAGCAAAGTACACTCTTATATAACAATAAAGATGTTACTTTAGAAACTTAAGTTAGAAGTAGTTGAAAATATAAAAAATCAGAGAAATATGTCCACCAAATAGATATTTATTAACTATACTTTTGGATCAAACAAAATTTGAATTCATTTTTATTTTACTTGACCCGCTACGCCATTTATCATGTTGCTATAGTAACAATAATTATCCATTGTGAAATCAGAAGACAATGAGACTGTTTTATCCAACCAAAAATTACATTCCCCATTTACCTTGAAAATTTCTAGTAAATTGGTTGAAAAATAATGAAATGACAGATAAATTCCCAGAACTTAGTGATCACCCTGTACTTGTACAAAGGAAATTTTGGTTCATTTTAAAAAAGTATCTTGTTAATGAAATAAAAGGTTTTTCTTGATTTTTATCTATTTTGGGGGGATTTTGTTTTAATTTTTTGAATACTTTTTTAAAATGAACCAAAAATTCCTTTGTATAACTTTAATATTGAGAGGTCTAAAAACTTGTTGTATATGCTATTTTGTTCCAACAAGATTCGGAAAGACATTTTATTTCATTCTCAAGAATTGGTAGAGAGGAGCAAAAACAGTTGCACTAAAAAAACAAAATGTTAACAAAAACGGTTAAAATATTTCTAAATAATTTTCGCATTAAATTGTTGTCAATCAGTCAACATTACATAAAATACCATGTTTTTTTACAGAATGTTTTCAATGATTGGTTTAAGAGAAAAACATTGTTAAATTCAGTTCTCCATATCGATTCCTATCCTTTGAAAATTGTATTTTGAATGATTTTTCTTCAAATATCAGCATTTCTGGGGTTATTTACTGAAATATGTCAAAAAGATACTTTTGTGAATGCATAAGAAAATAACATGGGCAGGTATATCAATGTTTTTAAATGTTTTTTAACTATCTTCCTAAACACAAAAAAGCTGTAGTTTACTCACCCAAGCATACCAATGTCACGAACCCTGATAGGAATAAAGTCAGCAGAGTGGCTTGGTTCATGTTTGAATGTAACTCTATGTCCGTTTGTTCGTATTTTCAGTGATGTTTTACATATAGGGAGGAGGATGAACTGAATAATGAACCGAACGTGCAAAAATGCATGCTTAATCGTGGAGATTCAACAAATAATTGTTAACATATTCTGTTGGACTCGTGCTGAGCGTAGGTTTTAATCAATTGTGTAGAAATCCTATTGTTGACGATTGAATCGACAATGCGATACATTTATTTCAATAGTATAATAATTTTATAGCCAAGTTTTTATATAGAAATTACTGCAATCATGCTCATTTTATTGAATTTGTTTTAACGACTTCAATAAAAAACTATGATAAGGTCACAACGATAATCATACCATTAAACCAAATTATAATTACGAAAGGACATCACGCTTTTCAAGAGTGATTGTCTAGCTACAAGCTTTTTTGAGCAGGGTTGAAATGACTACATAGCGTGAGTTAAAGAGACAATAGGAAGCGCGACTAAACTATGAGCACTCTTCATAACATATTTTTCGCATATCTTCGACGTAAGGTAAGGAAATAATTTCTGTTACCAACCTCCTTCCCCTTTGGTGCACCATATATTAGATGGGGCCTTTTTATACGCCCCATCTACTTTATATCTCTGTTAACATCAACCTTCTTCTTCCAGTTCAGGGAACTGTAAGCATTACTTCTTTGGTAATCTTTTATGAGGTTAGACTCCCATATTCCCATATTCAAAGACGTTAGTCTGTTAATAAGTGTACAGATATAAAATATGGAACAGTTTTGACTTAGATAAAATAGAATTAGAGCATCTAGATGATTACATCCAAGATATATCTACTATCTAGACAAGAGCCAAGTCCTTTATCCTTTTACAAAAGTATTTTTCAATGAGCACTATTGGCCATTTGTATTTCACATGGACTGGTGTAGTTTTAACATTGCTAGATTCAAATGTTTGGTTTCGTGCTTTTCACTCCCCTTTCACGTGGTAAATAAAGAAACGGGTGATGTTAATTTTAGACATAATTCTATGAACAGCCATATTGCAAACATTATTTTTATTACAAATCGTTTTTAGTGTCAGGTAAAATTGTCATCACTTATTATTTCAATAATAGATTGAATATACTAACATTTTACAGTCAGTATCAGAAACATTTTTATGAGTAATAATATTTTATGTTCCACCAATTGTTTTTCAATTTCAATAAAGCCCATGTGACTAGATCTAACATGTATTTCATTCTAATCTGCCATCACATTCTCTCGCCAGGAGCTCTACTGGGAGTCCGACAATAAAGTTATCTAAGATGATGAAAGTCATAGGGGTTTTGGCTGTATGCTTTATTGTTGTCGTTGTACCACCACCTTGCGATGGGGAGTACGTCGAATCTGACTATTCCAACTATTATGACGAAATTGCCCAGGCAACCTGCACAGCCATGAACTCGGCAGGTGGATGGACTTTCGCTGTTCGCAGGTATTGTCACAGCACTGACCAAAGAACGTGTGACATCATTTGCAGAGATCCTAACTTGAAAAAGCAAGATTCACAAGTTGCTGAAAGAAAGTAGGTACTCTAATTAAGATCATTAAATCCTGATAAGTCAGTTTTCCAAAGGTCATCTTCCAATTTAAATTGAGATAGAGAAATTATAGTAATATATATATTCCAGTCTTGCAGCCTGTAATGTTACAAAAATTCATGATTCATAATCATGATGGAATTCTCTGTAGTGTTTCATATAGAGCAACAGACATATTACCATTCTAGTATCTATACTTAAAACTTCCAAACTTAAAGTTCTGCCCCGTTTGTCAGTTAATATCAAATGAAAATGGGTTCCTTAATTGATACTGAGATTTAACAAGATGAAATATGTGCCAAAAGATGTTTTGGGGTAAAAATGTGTTTTTACAGAAAACATTTAAATTTAAAAAAAATGAGAGAACTTTTATTTTAGTAAATACAATCTGGTGAACAATGGAAAAGTGAAAATAAACCAATTTTGATAGATTTTTGTGATTTTGGGAAGGTTTTATAGATTTCTCTTGTGGTTGGCATATAGTAAAATGAATTTAGACTAGAATCAGTGCATTGAAAATATAATGACATATTTTTGACGAGCAGGTAAGTCATGTTTATTAATTGAAAGGTAAATGATTTCTTAATTGATTCTGAGATTTAACAAGAAGAAATAGGTGTCAAAATGTGTTTGGGGGTAAAAATGTGTTTAGATTACGGAAAAATTTAAACATTCATTTCTTTTAGAAATTTTATTTTAGTAAATACAATTTGGCTGAGTATAAAAAAGTGAAGATGAACCATTTTGATCGATTTGGGGAATTTTGGGAAACTTTTCGATATTTCGCTTGTAGGTGACATAATATATATATAGTGAAATAAATAGTCAATGTACTATTTTTTGGCATTACTAACAGAGACAATATTTAGTTTTACTACTCGAATTAGCATTTCACCAAGAAAACAATATGTTTTAATTCAAATTTATTCTGTACAAAATTCTGTCATATTCCAGTTATAGTATTCACATATTCATAGAAGTTAAGAATATTAATAAATAATAATTATAGGATATCCTATGATTTTGAGGAATATCATTTTTATCTACGAGGTGATATTGATATCTGCACGAGAGAGCGAAGCGAACGAGTGCATATCAATATCACCGAGTAGATTAAAATGATATTCTGAAAAAATCATAGGATGTTCTTATTATCCTACAGTTACAAGGAGTGTACTAAATGTATAATATCATTGCAAAATGAATTCCATGCCAAATAGAGTCAATTTGGCGGGAAATCAACAAGCGGAGTATATCGTCACAATATCCTCCGCATATTGGGTTTTCCGGAGTATATCGTCACGATATCCTCCGCCCGGAGTATATCGTCACGATATCCTCCGGATATTCATTTTGCCAATAAATATCAAATTTATTTTTTAATGTTATTATACATTTAGTACACTAAGTGTAGGATAATATAGAATATCTTTCTCTCACATCTCTCACAACTAAGAACAAGTTCCTCTTTAGCAGCAGAATATAATTGTGAGAGAATGCTGCATGCCAAATAGATACTGATGTTATATCACGTTTGAATTTGGTAAAAATAGTCTCGATGATCTTTGCTTTTCATTGACATTATGTCATTTATATCATCTTGTCTTACACCCAATGATGGATATTTTTGGTACTATCGAAAATTATACTGGTTTGTGTGTACTAGTATATCAGAAATGTATTGTGCCATTTTAACCTTGTGACGCGTACCTTCCTCATTGTTGAAAATATATTATATGATTTATCAGTTATCTGTATGTAGAGATCCTGTTTGGATGTTATGCATCAATTGTCTTTTCAAAGTTCTTTGTCTTGTGTTCAACTGTTTCTTTTGAGCTTTCTATAACGTTTGACCTTCTTTTGGATTTAGTATAGAAACTGCATACTGTTTTCTCTGTGATATACCCTGAACCACTGACTAACAAGTCTATTTTGATAGAGAGATGCAGATTGTGAGTGGTGATAATTGGTTCTAGACAATACTAGTTCAATAAAGTCAATCAAACTAGAAGAAGTACAATTATCACAACACTGGATTGGCTGCCAGAGCTCCAACCTGGTACAATGACAAGTTAACCACAACTTTTTATGTGGTGATCAACACTGATTGCAATTGTTTGAACTAGTTAAGGGATGAAGAATGTTATTTTAATTAATTGTCTAATCAGCGCCTTTTGACACCTCGTTCACTATGTTAAATCTCACAAATCTTTTGTTATTATATTTTGATACGGGTCTCTTGCCGGCTGTTAAAATATAAGTACTTTCACTTTCTAGAGGCTTTTATCATCATCTGATTCTAGTCTAAAGTACTTTATCATGTTTATCGTATCTATTTGAAATAACTATATTGATATTATCATGTACATATTTCTGTATCAACATAAGTGTAGAGAAATGTGTAAAATATTTTGTTCTAATGCCATGTGGTATTTTTGTTCCAGTATGGCATGCCTGAACTCACTCCATGTATACCAGAACAGACCTCGTTTTGCCCATGGAGCGGGATTCGAAAAGTTGGGATTGAAGATTTATCGATACAATTCCTGCAGTCGCGCATCTTGTGGCCCAAACTATTGCTGTTGTAGATCCTGGTAGATCAGTGATTCATAGATACTATAATTAATTAGAAACAGAGTGTCATCATAGTGTCAATTATTTGGCAAATATCAAAAGGAAATAAAGACTCACTCTCTCACTATCCAATTAATAGTTTGTTATACCCTTGTAAAAGATGGCTCTCTTATTGCGTCGAAGTATTGACATGTTCAGACATAGGACATTTCTTTCTAGACATTTTACCCTTTAGACGTTTCACTCTTAGATTATTGTTCATCCCTTAGACTTTTCACCTTCTGGATGTTTCTTCTTAGACATTTCATCCCCTGGATATTTCATCTGATAGACTTTTCACCCCTAGACGTTTCACCCCGAGACATTTCACCCCTTGGAATTAAAAGGTTATATCCCTTGACATTTCACCCTCAATATATTACCATTATCTTAACTGATATCCTGAGTATAAATAGTATATATTATGCCACACATTTTGTCAACACGGGTTGGCCACTCAAAATTGATTTATGCAGATGATACATCAATCTTCCTTCCTTATTCTAAGAAAAGTCCTAAATACTCTCTCTCAAAATTTGCAAATTGACCTAAATACAATTAAAACCCAAGTCGATACCTAGCAAGGAGATTTAAGGCATCAAAAAGTGGTGACCTGACTTTTACACCACCCTTAACAAATACTCTAAAATCTTGTTAATGAACCTATACTTTATTTGGAAGATGACCCCATTTATTAAACTGTTAGTCAAAATTAAAACCTCTGTCGATAGGATCTCCGTTTTAAATTATTTTTCTTCAATATCGATACAGGAAAAACCCCGGCCCTATGACTCGTGATTCAAAAGCTCGCCTAATTTCAAAATGGCCGCCATTTTTGTCTCGCGAAATCCCCTTTTAGACCATTTGCTTTAAAACCTCTGTCAATGGGATTCCCGTTATTTTTGTTCAGCATCCATACAGAAAACCTCCCTATGTATGTATCATTTATTTGCGTCTAAAATAAGACAGTTACATATTATACAATAATTATATAAAATGAAATAAAGAAAGTAAATTGAAAGAACATCATTTCAATTTAATTATGTATTGTGAACTGTCCTACATGGTTTAGATCATTGATACTCTGGCTCTATGCATGGAATATATTTCAAGTGATATGGAGCAGAGTGAGTCGATGCTCTCTAAGCTTGAGCTCAGCCCTAAAACAAAGTCCATCTTTCCAACAAATGACCTACGGCCTTCACTCTACAAAATTGTGAGTAGAGTCTGCCGTTCATAGGTAATTATATCACATTGTAGTATAAAATGTTCAGTAGTGTCTCTTGAATTGCAGCACAATGGGCAAACCTCATTCTCAAAAGGATAAGACCCTGCTTGGAGGTTAAACATAAGTTTGCACTGTTTTTTGAAAATAGGTCTCAGTTTACACAACAGCCATCATATATTTGGCTGCACGTATGAGATGGATAATGTACAAGAATAAAATGATAAGGAACTATACCAAGAACTCATCATTCTAATGCTATTTCCTTCGTTACAGTATAAAGCATTTCTTACAATGCGTTTAAAACCTGATTTAGAGAGATATTCCCCAGACTGTATCATGCTCATGGATGCAAAAGTGTACCGTTGAAATGTTCAACAAATGATGGAAAGTGGAGAGTTATACCGTTCATTCCCCCCTATAAGCCACAGCAATCTATGTATCAAGACTGTTTTGTAAATATTATTCATTGGTAACACTATTATACTCCAGAAGAACATCATCCTCGAGAAATCTATCTGTCTTCTGATAGAAAGCCATCCAAGACCTGAAGCTGCTATGAGGTTCGGCGAACTTTTGGGAAGTGACTGAATTCTTCTTCCGATTTCACGGTGTGATATTTCCATTTGCTCTATTCCTTGACTACTATATTACCTGGAAACCGTACAGTAGCTTACTCATTGAGAAAGTCCAATATAACTTACTGGCCATTAATGGGCAAAGTCGTCCTGTTAAAGAGCCAAGCCCCAATAACGAAAATATTTCTGTTTTGATTTGCATATCGTTTGCTTTACAAAGTCGTTGTGGTTCCCAAGGAATATCCCGACGTGCAGCTCCCTTGTTTTTGTTGAATTGCACTGGGGCCAAGTAAAGCGGTATCTTTGCCGTCGTTGGGTCTGCCGAAAATAAGAAGCGAGCATTTCCCTGGGTGGAAAGTAATTCGCCAGTATGAGCTGTAATTCCACACGATGCTTTATAGTCTGTTCATACTTTGCATGCGTGATAGGTCATCTGCGTACGCAACTACTGAGACATCAGTGCCACCTATACGTACTCCACATTGCTCACCCACAATATCATACAAGAGATCTGCGAGGTAGAATTTTGTAGACAATCATCGACATCACCCCTCCCTGATGGACACCTTGTTCGACATTAAAACTGCTAGAACATTCACCGTGAGATAAAAGTGATAGATCATCTGCGTACGCAACTACTGAGACATCAGTGCCGCCTATACGTACTCCACATTGCTCACCCACAATATCATACAAGAGATCTGCGAGGTAGAATTTTGTAGACAATCATTGACATCACCCCTCCCTGATGGACACCTTGTTCGACATTAAAACTGCTAGAACATTCACCGTGAGATAAAAGTGATAGATCATCTGCGTACGCAACTACTGAGACGTCAGTGCCACCTATACGTACTCCACATTGCTCACCCACAATATCATACAAGAGATCTGCGAGGTAGAATTTTGTAGACAATCATCGACATCACCCCTCCCTGATGGACACCTTGTTCGACATTAAAACTGCTAGAACATTCACCGTGAGATAAAAGTGATAGATCATCTGCGTACGCAACTACTGAGACATCAGTGCCACCTATACGTACTCCACATTGCTCACCCACAATATCATACAAGAGATCTGCGAGGTAGAATTTGGTAGACAATCATCGACATCCCCCCTCCCTGATGGACACCTTGTTCGACATTAAACTGCCAGAACATTCACCGTCATATAAAATTGAACAGTTAGTTTTGTAGGACGTGTACATCATTCTCCAGAACTTTCCATTCATTCCGCATCTGTAAAGTTTTAAAGAAATCCATCAATCCACATTGAATTGAAGGCTTTGCGCACGTCCAATAGAGAACAATATACCGTAGAACAATTGTCCTTACAGTGGGATTAGCTTTCTGTAATAAACTCCTGTTTCAAAAGCTCGCCTTTCATAGTTGTATGAAATAATTTTGTTCTGCAAACAATTATATCAGTTTTTTTTTATTTTCAGCCATTTTAGTTATCATTTTAATTTCGATTTAATTCCTCACTTAAGTTGGGTTAAAAGTGCAGATCTTAACTGTTTTTCGAAAAAACGTTTATGTAACTTAAGTGAGGAATTAAATCGACGATTCTGTTGTCTTCTGAACTATTTGTTCGCAAATATGTACATTTTCTAAAACATATGATACTGATACACGTTTGTGTTAAAAATGTCGTGGGAATTCTGCCTACAACGTGTGAAATAAGGAAAAAAGAAAAATCGTACCTTCGACGTTCCGACATTTTGTTACCAAAACGCACCGTTTCGGTAACCAGCGTAATCGAGTCGATCACCAGTGAATGAACTTTATTGGAAATATTCTATATTTGTTACACATCGATAGAGTTTTCAGAATATGGTACGGCATACATGGCATATGGCATATGGTCCTTGCGGGTTACAATTTTATAGCTTTTTGTCATTTTTACTTTATACGAGTAATTACCAGTGTACAATTAACTTACATTTTATGTTGTTAGTACCTCAGTTGAAATACTCGATTTTGATTGGTCAACGAGCGGTGAATAATTTTAACTGTACACCGCGCAATGCATTGCCGGTGAATAATATTCCCAGCATTCCACTAAAATGACGTCATTATCAGACGATAAAATGGCCGCCGCTAGCACTAGCCGTTTCAAAAATGTTGAAGATGAGGATATTATTAGTCTCTTAGAGAGTAAAGACAGTCAAAATACGAAGAAAAATCTAAAACTTTGTACAAAGCTTTTAGTGGACTTCGCCCAGGAGAGTAATTTGACTCCATTGAGTGAACTTACTGCCGTGGCAGATGTAGATCTCGCCGAGAGTCTGGATCCAACTTCAAGTCAACTTCAAGGGTCAGAAATCTAAGATATTCTTCGGACTAACAAAACAATTATAGACCTCTCCATCCGGTTTACTGTCAAAATTATATCCCTCGACTGTAAACCTCGACCTACGGTCTCGGTTTACAGTCTCGGGATATAATTTTGGCAGTAAACCTCTGGAGAGGTCAATAATTGTATATTGTATTCCTCATTTCTGAGCATGTGAACGCTCCTGTTTACATACCGCTATATCACGGATGTCATAAAACAAGATGTTACTCTCTCTCGTCGGGGATGTGGGATGCCACTGAGAACAGATTGCAACAATGTTATTGTGAGGTTCCAAAACTTAGGCGTTGCTCAACTGTTGTCGTCGAGAATACGGGATGCCACAAGAGGGGAAGAAACCCCAGGGTTCAAAGATGACATACGCTTATAATGTAAATCTGTATTGAGATGACATCGTCGCTGATTGGTTTAGCGAGTCGATCGTTGATTGGTTTAAAACTAGGTCAATTTGAAAACTTTGAAAACCAAGATGGAGGGTAAACAAATATACGTACTTCCGGGAAAGGAGGTGCGCGAAGGAGGAAATCGTATGTCATCAATTGAATCATGGGGTTTTCCCTCCTCTTGGATGCCACTGAGAACAGATTGCAACAATGTCATTATGAGGGTTATTTCATATACAGATCAGAGACGTTGCTCAAATGTTGAAATGATTTGAAATTCAAAACAATGACTTTGTCTTAGCAATTCATTTGTGTAAACATCAATAATATCTTTCAAATGTTATGTTATGTTATTTTATGTTATTTATTTATTTCCAATACTAAGTAAGATTAAAAACATACATTTTCAAGTGGGTGACACCCCATTGGGCATAATACACTCGAGTAGTGTGTCCATGCTTCGGATTCGACGTCACTTACAAGTTCCCCTCCATAAGTTTGGCAACCTTAGCTCCCCCATTGAACTACGTGTTAAAGCCTCTTTACGTTTAAATTTGAATTTAAAAATTCAATGTTCAATGGAGTAGACTCATGTGTCCACTGGGCACAGATCTTCACTCAAGAGGTGTTTATGACCGTTTACTGTACTGAAATCACTCGCTGGGAATTCACTATATACAAAATTGGAATTTGTGTATCCTGCCACCCCTGCAAAATAATGAACTTGCCCACTTGGTCTCTTGAAGTCACTGTAAGTGTATATAAGGGCCTGTTTGCATAGATTAGATCCATTCTACGGAGACAACATCATCAGGTAAGATTTTTTTTCATTAATTGATAAATAATATTTTTCTTCTTCGTGTTTGAGAATTTTAGATGTTTGCATGCATGTTCATTTGTTTCTTAATTTTATCATTTGGAACAGATAACTGATTGTATCAAATGTTGAATTTAATTTTATTTCATTGAGTTATTTTTTCTTTTGTTAACTTCATTTTGTCATCCTACGGAATATTAATATTAATGTTTCCAACTATTTACATATGATAATAAAATACTGTATTTTAACTTCTGTTGATTTTGTCTTTCTAACTTGTATTCCCTGACGACTATTTACTATTTAGTTATTTGCATAATAATAATAATAATAATAAAATTATTTGCATAATAAATTTTATTGGGAATCATTTGAAATGATCACATATAATAAGTATACTCTAAATATAAGAACTGCAAATGTTGCGTTGTCTAAATGTGTTGTTATTGGGAAAACGTTGTTTCTGACAAGTCAGTAAATATATTTGAATATGCCCCATTACATCAACATCGGAAATTCTTGCCAAGAGGCTTCATTATCGACCGGTCGCAACGCAGATTTGCAAGCGCACCACAAACGCAGCGCAAGTTTTTGCGAATGGCACACAGATTTTGTACCATTTTAATTGGTCCCAACGCAATGGTCGCGCAAATTAACAGGTTTTTAAACTCAGCTGAATTTACCTTAGTGTGTCAATCCAGAAAATTGTTATTGGTTGCGTAAACATATTTTTCTAATGTGCTTGAATATGTGTTATGGCATGTGGTGTGTTTAATTTGAATGTTATAATTAAATCCAAATTCTAATCGCAAATGTCGCCTTCTGTGAAATGGTCATTAAGTATGGAATTTATTTTGTATCAAAATTGGACGAGACACAACCCATGTCAAAAGTCGAAACATACGATGCGACACTCGAACAATATGATTCAGTCCCTCACATCCATTGAAAATTGATGAATACGTCCCGTCGTCTTCCACTGCGCCCTTCGTTTCTATGCATTGCAATGATCGGTTTTATTCTCTTGATGTAGAAATAATTCCAAGAGGCAGCAAGACAAGTGACAAATTGAATGAAGAGTAACCTTTTCTTTACATATATGTTTCATGACTTGCCGATGACAGCATCTGAAAGAAGTTTATACCTTCAGTTGATCTTTTCGGTTTGTTTACAAAAACTATTAAGGAAGTAGTCTTGCTCCAAGAATGTGTAGACTTGCTACGTGGAAATAAAATTAGATAACATTAATCATCAACACTATAATATTCAATGTTTCCGATTAAAAACGTCAGAATTCGCTATTTTTATTGATTCGTGGCAACTACACTTGGTCAGTATCAAAGTTCAACGATATTATCCACCGCTAAGGTAAGGTTATGGGGATTTCGGTTTCATGACCACTACTCTTTGCATTCGTTCGACTTCACCTCATAAAAAGAGCTTCGTTTTATACATGTAACTTTTATAACTAGACTCCACGCGCAGGGTAGGCGTCCACACTCGATATATTCGTATTACATCGTGCGTGGACGCCTACCGTGAACAATTAATGATATAATATTCCAGAGTTTCCGTCTGATATAGTGACGTCAACTTTAAAGTAGTTAAATTCAATGAAGACTATCCAGAAATCGACACTTCGCCGCTAAAACGAGAGACGCTGTACATACATTTAGAATAATGCAATGCACCAACAGGAAGGCATTTTTTGCTTTGTATGGAACAAATTTGAAGAAAATGATTCAGTGTGAGACTCACAATTCTTGATATTCATACACTGGGTAGATTTAAAATCCAAATTTAACGGTTTTGCGGCCGAGTAGTTGGACCGGCCAAACTGCCCTAATTCATGTCACCATACTAGTCAATGGGCAAAAGGGCAAACGCCTGACTTTTTATCTCGAGTTATGGATTTACGTGGCCTCACTGGCCTATCTGAGGTTCTAAACCTATGTCTAAGCTACATTTTGACACTAAACTCAATAGGGGCCAATCATCTACTTTTTGAAATAATTGGTCAATTGTGACACTACCCCCTCTCTCTGCCGACAGTAATTGAAATTCATAAAAATGAAGGCAAAATTAATACGCCACTTGATTCGAAATTTTCCTTCAGATAACCCAAATAAACTCATTTTCAGAAGAAATGGCATGTTGTCATTGCAAAAAGATGACAACTGTGCCTACATACTAGCTTACTGACTCGTCATGATCACAATTGTGTTGGGACTACATTCACTTTTGAAAACTACTTTTTTCTATTCAGCGCAAGTGACGTATTAGGGCATTTGGGCCACCCCCATGTCCCCATGTATGTGAGCTTGAACTCAATGCGTGTGTAAAATTGACACGTTTGTTCGAAATTTACTTTAATCTGTGTGTATTTCTTTCAGTATTCTATTTCATTCTGTGTTTCATTCTGGATTTCATTCTGTGTTTTCATTAACTGCTACTAGTACAACACATTCCGTGTGACATTTGAACATTGCTTTGGATTTTTGCAAAGTGATTCGAGGCAAGTGTAACTCATAGTGTGACACTTGATAGTAGTAGAGCAAAGTAGGGTCAAAAGAATGTCGCTGTTTTAGCAAAGGTTCTAATGTACCATTGGAAAGCTTAGAGTGTCAGCTTTAAGGATCTAAACTGATTTTGGATGTTTGCTTGTTGCAAAGTTAAAAAGTTGACCCTTTCATCACCAAGGGGTAAAATTATGAAATCAATCTCAATTACTAAATCCCCAAATTTTTATCAAGCACTTCACATTTGTAATTCAAGTGTCTATAACTACAGAATTAATGTTCCAAGAAACATTCTAGTGTAAAATTATAATGGATGACCTCATGATGTTATGTTAACATTTTGTCTTTAAAGACATCACCCAAAAATGTGTAAAAATAATTTTCTGATAATCTTGATGATTCATACCTCAACTGGCCGCCTACCAATTAATATTATTATTTATGTCACGTTGCTGTCATGTGATACTATGACGTTACCCAATTAGAAAGAACAACATGTAACAATGCGGTTGGTGGCTCAATTTGCTTGTATTAATTTTTCACAAATAATAAATTACATGTATACATATATTTTACAACATACATGTGTATAGTCAAATACAAAAACAATATTATGTAATATTATATAATATGGGGCTAAAAACACCCATCGCAAAGCGAGCCCCATCCATATAGCACCAAACTTCAAACGATTACACAAACAATTTGATATAGATCAAATGCAATAATAAGTGTTTGGATTTTAGGAATTTGGTTTAATTTTATTCAAAAATGACCCTTTTTAGATGAATGGGTTAATTCGACTCTGATACCACCAAAGCTCAATAATCACATTGGATTAATATTTCTGAAACTTTTCCCTTTTTTAAAGCTGACACTCTCAGCTTTCCAATGGTGTAGTGGAACGAACCGTGTATGAAATCACACGGATTGTGTATACTCTGCTAAACGTTATTCTGTGTGTTAGGGATACATGGAGCTTTCACATAAGGTTTTAACACCACACAAGAGAGCCCATGTGACTACAGATCTAACGTGTTTCATTCTAATCTGCTAACATATTTTCACCAGGAGCTCCGGATCCAGGTATTTAGATTGATATAGACTAAAAGACATATTGAAAGTCCGACAATCTCGACTTGAAGATGATGAAGATTGTAGGAATATTGGTTGTATGCTTTATTACTGACGTTGTACCTGCCGAATCTGATTATTCCAACTATTACGACGAAATTGCCCAAGCATCATGCACAGCCATGAACTCGGCAGGTGGATGGATGTACGCTGTTCGCAGGGATTGTTATGGCGATGGCTATAGAACGTGTGAAGTCATATGCCAAAATCCTCACATGAAAAAGTATGATCCGCAAGTGGCCCAAAGAAGGTAGGTGCTCTTGTGAAGATCACTAAAGCCTGATAAGTGATTAGTATCTACCTATTATTTAAAGATAAAATGTTAATATTAATGTATATCTTAGCCTCTAAAATGTTAACGTTATTTAATTATAATCAAATTCTCTTGATTTTTGTAATGTTCTGTGGAGCAAACATATGCCTATATTTGGTAATCCACGTCTTCGAGATTCTGGGAAATCATGCTTTCAGTCAAGGCATATCGTCCCGTATCATCCAAAATGCAACTTAGTTCTCTCTATTTAATTGTCAGAATTTCATCTTTTATTTAAAGAAATAGTCAATTCAGCCTTATTTGCATTTGCTTATTTTTAGTATCGCATGTCTAACTAAGAAATATCATTAATAACATGATATACGCTGGCAAATGAAATCGGTTTCAATAGGACAACTTTTGTCATATGTCGACGTTTTTGCGAATGTAAACAAAGGAGGTTGGGCCCCATTCCATCTTCTATCGTCAGAGATGTATTTTTTGTCTATAGAAAGAAGAATCAATTCCCTTGACCATGTGCTATACAGTATCGACGTCCGAACTTGCTATGAACCATACTTTTCATTCCTGTAGGATAAGGTCTTGACTTTTCAAAATATAATTATGTTTTACTTGTACGGACCAATATAAACGACAGGGTGTTGAGTATAAATGTACGAGGAAAAAGGTGTAATTTGTTCTCTAGAAAAACACTAAGATTTAGTAGAGAAAATCCATGGGGGACATAGAATTACTCGTTTACGTACAAGTTCTCTTAATTGCTCATAGTTGAACGTATGCACAATGTTCCTAATTCACACATAGCTTGGCAAGGTGTGTCTTACACAGAAAAATGGCTGAAATTGAAAAATAATTTATAAAGTCATGACAAATAGTAGATCAAGTAAAAAACATATTTTCAAACTTTACATGGGGACTTTAAGATGAACAAAAAATCAAAATATTGAAAAGAATCTGTGATAAGATGGTTCTTAAAATATGGCTCTTTAAATATACCTATGGTATAATTGTATAAGAAATGTTTACCATATTTTGTTTTGTTGCCATGTGGTATTTTTGTTCTAGAATGATATGCATCAACTCACTCCGTGTATATGAGAACAGACCTCAGTTTGCCCATGGAACTGGATATGGAAAGTTGGGATTGAAAACTTACCGATACAATACCTGCATACGCAAAGGTTGTGGCCCAAACTATTGCTGTTGTAGAACCTTTTAGACATGGTTGATCATGGATTCCAATTAGAAACGATGTGTAGAGGATCATCACAGTATCAATTATTTGTCAAATATCAATAGGAGATTTGAGCCTCTCAATGCGCAAATAATAGTTTGTTATACATTTGTAAAATATGGCTCTATGTAATTGCGTAGGTATTTGAAAGAGAGTGAACGTGAACTCCAATGCGCACGCAGAAAAATGACGTTAGATACTAGTAGTAAGGGGGATTGGCCGATTTTATTATGGCAATCGAGGTCTTAACGATTATAAATTATGACAAACCAACTTTTATATTCACTGGTCTTTAATAAAACTTAGTTATATGTTTCTAGCTATTTTTACCATTTGCATTCGTTTGACTTCGCTTCTAGAAGAGAGCTTCGTCTTCAGTATATAACTAGCTAGACTTTACACGTAAGGTAAGCTATTTTGAAAGTACAATCTTAGAACAAAATGTGCACAAATAAACAGAAAAATGAACACAATAAATCTTCTAAACACGCCATTTTGCAAAGGTTATAGAACTTGATCTGGTAACACAAAATTCGAAGCCCTCGTTTACGTACAGCTGAACAAAACGCGAAGCTTTACAGAATTGCTTAAACGCCAACGCAGGCGTGAACACACACGTCCATGTTCAAGTTTTGACGTGTAGCCTCTTTAATATGACTTGGCGTGTTCGGCCATACAGGACACAGGGCTACAAGTCTGGGTCTGTTTGGTGGGGGTTCTGTCTGTTGGTTAGATCTGTCGTCAGATAGGCCTGTCGGTTAGACAGGTCTATCTCATTATGCCAGGGTGGTTTGTACCAATATTCCTTATTTTCTATACCCTTTGCATTCGTTTGACTTCACTTCTTAAAAGAGAGCTTCGTCTTAGTTTAACTAGATTCCACACGCAGGGTATATTTTCTAGCAACGGTGTATTACTAATTTCAGATAAACAAACTCACATTTCTTGTAATAGCAGCTGATCTATTTTTCTTTCATTAGCTATTTGTATTTCAAATGGCATTGCTGGATTTAAATGCTTTGTTCATGCTATTTCTTTTCATTTCTACAGTCGATCTGTTGCACGTATGTTATGACATTTAACAAACATTAGTTATGAATATAAATAATTATTTGAACAGACATGTAATAAACATTATTTATATTATGAAATGAACAATTACAAATCATTTTAGTATTCTAGTATCACGGTTGGAACATCTATCATTTGCTTATTATTTGAATCAACTAATTAATGAACTGAATAAATGAACATTTAACTTTCAGTATGAGAAACGATATTTATTCAATTTTTTATAATGAGTTTTAATCTGGGCAAAGTGACAATACTTCATGGTCATTCTAGTTAAGCGAGGAGCTCCGGGTATTTAGGTCAATATAGAGTATACATATTGAGAGTCCGACAATACAATACGGTTACCTCGACTCGAAAATGATGAAGATAATAGGACTATTGGCCGTATGCTTTATTGGTGTCGTTGAACCGTGGTGTCCACCTTGCAAACGAATTGCCCAAGCCACTTGTACAGACATGAACACATCGGGTGGGTCTACTTATGCTGTTCGCAGGCATTGTCACGGCGATGACCATAGAACGTGTGATACCATATGCAAAAATTTGAATAACCAAGATGCACAAGTGGCTAAAAGAAAGTAGGTACTAATTAAGATCATTAAAGCCTGATAAGTCAGTTTTCCAAAGGTCAACTGCTAATTTAATTGAGATAAAGAACTTATATATATTCCAGTCTTGCAGCCTGTAATGTTACAAAAATTGGAAAACTTAATCATGGTGGAATTCTCTGGAGTGTTCGATATAGGGCAAATAACATATTACTATTCTAGTACCTATACGCGACATTGAGATTCCAAACTTCAAGTTCTGCCCCGTTTGTCAGTTCTTTTGTCAAATGAAAAACTCAATTTAGCATTATTGGCAGATGCAGATGCAGATGGTTATTTTCTGTGAAGTATGTGTAACAAGGAAATATCATTGAAAACAATCCACAAATTAATCAATTAAATAATAGCAAAGATAAAAATCCAATTTTAGAAAAAGAATTAATTGCATTTTGAACATTTTGGACTGTAAATGGAAAACATAATTGTTCCACATTTCCAAGTCGTAGATAAAATGTAAACACTACTATATACACTACTGGTTGCTGCATTGTATAGTCGAGAAAATTAAATGAAGGATATAGACTTGTAACTAGTAATGCGAGTAGAAATAATGATCTTGATTCACGTTATGATTAAAATTCAAAGTTCAGTCAAAGTGATATCATATACATGTAAAATTGCACTTAAAAATGTGGTTTTTCTGATAATTTTTCTAATGGAACTTTCTAATACCCTGCCATGTTATCTGACTCGAATTAGCCACCTGGTGGTGAAACTGGTAACTGCCTACTCGCATCTAGGTTATTGAGAAGCTTAATCCAAAATTAAATGGTTGTATTTTTGGCTCGCCTGGTACCACGCTGGGTACTTCATCATTTCTATCTTAACTTATCAAATACAGTAATTATGATATTATCATGTCTATATTCACGGGGGATAAGCAAAACGAGGGCGAAGCCACGGACTGCGACTCGCGTAACTTTACACCGCAGCCCAGCGCCAAAATGGAGGGACATCCGGCAGTGCCTTCTGCTTCTTCCGACAAAATAGAGAAATCCAGGTATTTTAAATGCTATCGTAGTGTCTAATCGGTGACCAAAATATTACTCTGTATCTACTGTTGGTCTGTAGATAAGAAAATAAGCAGTTGTCCAGATCAAGCTAAAACAGTAGCAAAGTTCTGATTTTACCTGTAAAATATGTGCATATTATTTAATTTACTATACATTTGAAAGGAGTTTTAACACGTTTCTGATATCTAAAGGTTAGTTGAGGCTCCGAGTATAATTCGTGAAAATGATTTGATAATAGAATGTGTTCATGAGGAGAAAATTAGATTCAAACTGCGCATTCATAGTGGACGCAGTCCAGTAAACAAAGCTATTTCAACAACGCAACACAGCCTCCATTGATATTCTAAGCAACGCAGTCCAGCTGCGAACACGAAATAAATAAGATAGTGTAAACTATATTCCTACGCTATTATTGTTTCAGGAAAAGAAAGTCAGCATCCTGATTATCATTCAAAGTTACGTTGATTAACATATATCTATTACCTGAATCAATGTCCCAAATTGCTATATTGTATCGTTTAAGACCTAGAAATATGGCAATTCAATAGCGTATTTGGCAGAACAGTCGAGCGCAAGATGACAACGTAATATGTTTATTACAAACCAATTTGTGGATAGGGTTAAATATATAGATAATTGGATAGTGGTGAGACTTTTTATAAGAAGTAGAAATGCGAAACAATTAACTTTTTGATGATGCAATAAAAGCTGTTGGGGAAGGGTACATTAACTAGTATTTAAGATATCAGGAAAATATCAAATAATTGGAGAGTTGGTGAGTTAATGTAATTTTGGATGATCTTTCCAACAGTCCATCAATTGCTAGCTACCATAACTTCGTGATTTCAGCTGTATTTGACAGCTTGTATATATTTGCAGAATGGATTGAGACACGATGTAGGTCTATTAAAATAGCCCTTTATATTCAATTTTGTCCAAAGTTGCTCCATTTCGGCCACACCTGTACACACATTGTGCTATCTACCTTTGGCTGTGATTGCGTTCAGCTTCAGATATAAAGCAACACTGAGTCGCGGACTGCGTTGGGCAGATGGATGGACTGCGACTATTATAAATTCCAATTTTCTATGTAATTGTACGTTTTCCGCTTACCAAATATCACACGAAGATGTAACCAACAACAGAACATGAATAATTATATTAATTCGATGTCATTTCTGATTCCTTTGTTTAAATCGGTATATTAGGGACAAATATTGACAAAATTACATTTTTTTGTGGCAGATTTCGAATTCATTTGTGTTCATGCTAAACTATTGGACAGCCGAGCACCAAGAATGCCATTGCAGGTGGAGTATGAATATGTTGATCACCGACTGGAACATACTAGCTATTCTGTAGAATATCCAAACCAATAATCTACCCCAAATCCTAACATGCCTTCCAAATTAAGTTTGGACTTACCGCCATTGTTCAGCTATAATGCGTTGTAACCTCGTTTTGAATTACGCGAGTCGCAGTCCGTGGCTTCGCCCTCGTTTTGCTTATCCCCCGTGATATTATGGTATGAAAAATGTGTAAAATATTTTGTTCTGTTGCTCTGTGGTATATCTTTCCAGCATGTTATGCTTCAACTCACTCCACGTATATCAGAACAGACCTCGGTTTCCCGATGGAGCTGGATTCGAAAAGTTGGGATTGAAGATTTACCGATACAATACCTGCAGTCGCGCAGCTTGTGGCCCAAACTATTGCTGTTGTAGAGCATAGATACTAAGTAGAAACGTACAGTGTGCTGAGTGTCATCAAAGTGTCAATTATTTGTCAAATATCGACAGGAAATAAAACTCTCTTTGACTCTCATGCAATTAATAGCTTGTTATACACTGTAAGGGTGGCTCCATGTTATTACATCTAATGCCTTAGACACATTTGATCTAGGCAACGGCTGCGGCTGTAGCTTCATATCGATTTTGTGAAGCTACGACCTCCACACGGCCGCCGAAGAGCAAATGTTAGGAGGTATATTAAGGATGCAATATGGTTTGACGTGTTCAGCTATAGGGCTGCCGGCATGTCATATGAAAAGTGTTTCAGGTAACATCAGCTCATAATCTGGATGGATTCGATGAATTAAACCTAGAAATGTTGAATTTTGCTTTATTTAGAAAATATTAGACAAACGACATACACAAAAAGAAATATTATCACTTTTCTCGAAGAGCAATCATATTACGAGATGACATATTGATCCCAATATTGTTCTACTACTAACTAGGCCTACAATATTTCAACTGGCGCAGTGCATGGCAAAATATGTTAGGTCATCTCGTATTTTTTTTAACTGATACGTCCCTTATACCTATTTATTACAGGTCGTGTAGACCAGTGTTGCCCGATTTATAGCAAAAACATTGACTTTTGCACGTTGGTGATGATGCGCCTTTTTTGATAGATCTCATATCTTAGAAGGACATCAGTTCAAAAAAATACGAGATGACCTAACATATTTTGCCACCCACCACACAAATGCTCCTGCTACACACCGTTTTTGGGTATATTCTCTTCAACGACATTGTGTATCAAGGAGCACAGTGCAGGCTAGTGTAGCATTCCTCCACGTTAGAGTTGGGAGGGTGTCCTGCAACCAATCAGAACATTTTATATCACATTCTCCTTCAGTTGGTATTCTTAAGATCTCTCTTTTCACCTCTGATTCAGACCTACCGATCCTGAAGGAAATCAGCCTGTGCACTGTCCTTAAGTCGTAGCCCGGTAGTGTCGCGACTGTTCATTTAGTAACCTAGTGACTGCTTACATAGCACCAGAGCCCTCCGGTTTCAATCTCTTTCTTGTGATCATATCTCATAATTTCAACTCAAAGAACCGAACCAAAGCACCAGAACAATGCAGATTACCCCTCAATTGGATTATATTGAATATACATTGGATTGGATTGAACACACTTACTAAATGGTCCCATTCCTAATTTTTTAAATTTCGTGTTGGCTTACAATTACACACTAAGGTCAACTTCGTAAAATTTAGAAAATAACAAAAGTTTGGTCTGTTTTTGATTGTAATACTCTTTTTAACGTATCAAAGCAGCAATTATTGGTAAGTTTTTGCTAAATTACAAGTTGGGTCCATATCAATATATAACATTGAAATATAGATAACTTATATAAGGTCGAGTTTTGGACGATCCTTTCAATCGATCAAAATTATTTTAGGCCTAAAATATTTTTCAGTTTCTGTCCGACAGTCAAATGCCTCAATCGAATCATTTAGTCTACTTACTCATATTTACATGACTAATTTTTTTTAAGTCAAATGTGTGCCTATAGTTAGACTGTATCCTTCGTCTGAATAAATTCAGACTGTAAGTCACCTTATCCCGTGCCAGGACTATAGTCCTGCGAACGTCTTATTCTTTAGCCTGTACGATTACAACTTGGGAGAATTATCTACGCCCCTTACATTTAAGATACCTACTTCAATAGATTCCTGGGTATTTTAGCATTCTTTTCGTGTAGACTATATCCTCTAGTCTGAATTTTTTTTGAAATTTGGAATGAAAATATTCAGACTATAGCCCACATATGTTAAAATTTGGGATTGAAAAATATTTGTTTATATTGGAAGTGTCATTCAAAATGGCCGACTGGGTAAATTAATTTGCATACTTGTTACTTCCCTTAGCTTTATTTCCATTTGACAATATGCTGTGTTACTTTTCATAGCATTTAATTGTACCTTACTACTTAATTGAATTGTTATAATGCTTATTTTTGGGAAGGGAAGTTTCCTAAAATTGATAATTGTGTGCCTGAAATTTCCTGTTTTTTCCCACAGGAGGGACATGATGATCAATAGACTGAATTCTCAGGAAATTCAGTCTATTGGATATAGACTACTTTTCGTGTAGTTGAATCCACAATTGTTTGGGTATATCGGCAGAACATTTTTCTTTTTCATCGAGAGATATTCCATCACTTTCGGAGATGGCGGTTGGATTTAAAAGGGGATTCCCCGTTTGACTGACCCGGAAGTGGGCCGGATAACCAATAAATGGAAGAATTTGATGGTTGAAATAAGTTAAATATTACACGCAAATTTTGCGATCAAAAACGAAAATTTCTTTGTTCTGCCAATAGACCCACACAATTGTGGATTCAACTACACGAAAAGAATGCTAAAATACCAAGGAATCTATTGAGATAGGTATCTTAAGTGTAAGAAGCGTAGAAAATTCTCCCATGTTGTAATCGTACAGGCAAAAGAATAAGACGTTCGCAAGACTAGAACGTAGAGATAGTCTTGGAACGAGATAATAAGTCACCTATTGTAAAAGCGAATGTACTATTTTTTTCAAGGCCTGAGTTCGTCGCTAACATGCTAAATATAAGAGTTAGCTGACGTTTGGGAGTCTGACTTACCTTCTAAAGGTTAGAACCTGAATCTTAATGAAACCATATCACCTTTGTTCCGTCAACCATGGAGCATTTGCCACAACATCCAAGAGGTAAATCATTGACTGTGAAAATGAATGATTTCCTTGTAAGTTCTGGAAGTTTCAATACGAAAAATTACCGAACATATGTGAAAACCGAATATTTGTTCGTTGTTTTCACGATTTACAGGTTCGTTTGTTCTCCAATGTTTTGGTCTAAATTATAAAGCATCACCAACAGGTCTTACTCTATTAATCGACTAATTCAGCAGACGGCTCATATTTCTACGTAGCATTTCTTTCAGACCAATAGTGGGAGTGCAGATCACGCAGTTTCGTTCGTTGCGTACTTCACTTGAAATTGGTAATTTTAAATATTGGCTACTTCACTTAGCTTGGCGGATGTAGAACATTGCTTAATATTCTTTTAATTTTCACACCAGACATGCTTGGTTGACACGTCAACAAAGTAAAGTTCAAGGGTCAATGTGTTATTTCGTGATAACTACAACGCCTTCCCGGAAGTCAACATCGATGAAAAATGAAAAAGTCGGAAAAGCATTTACACTAATTTCTATCAAATGCTGTGTTTATGCATCATCATCGACGCAACAAAGGTGATATGGTTTCATTAAGATTCGGGTTCTAATCTTTAGAAGGTAAGTCAGACTCCCAAACGTCAGCTAACTCTTATATTTAGCATGTTAGCGACGAACTAAGGCCATGAAAAAATAGTAATGTGGTTGGTTAAGTCCATATATAGAGGACATAGGGGTAATCTCGGACACAGGGCATTGTTGGACAATTTTCAATAATTCTTTGTTTTATATGGTTTCTTTATTGAAACTTTATATTAGACACATCATATTATCGATGTGGTGCTATATATTGTAAAAGTTCTAACAATGCCCCAGATTTTCCCCTGATAACAAGGGTTTGTCCGGGAATGCCCTCTCCTCTAATGTGGTATTGTATAAATGTTGTCTATGTCTATGTCAATAATCTGCAAAAGGCTAATAAGCCCATACAATTCAGATATATAATTTAACAGTGATAGAATTTGAATAGAATATGATTTAAAACCTTATAACATTTTAAAAAGATCTATGGTTTACAACTCATTTTAAAATTGAAAGGAACCTTCCTGGTTGGCCCCTGTACCCCTTAGTATGTATCCAACAGACCGAATATAATATTCGGTCTTTTATGATTGATACCCTTCGCATGGAAATCGCGGCGATATTTTGTGCACATAAATTTTTCGTTTATTACAGGAATGTTCACCTTGAAAATTGGTGAATATGTTGAAGAGACGTTTTACTAGAAGCAAAAATATTTGTATAAGGCAGGTACAAGTTTATATAAAATAATGAAATGTTCAGACTCACCAAAACTTCAGGATGTGTTAATAAGTAAGTGCTGATACAAATTAATTGATAAGTTACAGTATAAGTCGCATTTTTTCTTGAATTCTAACATTTGATGTCCCAAACTCCCCCAAACTGCAGAAAAGTATACACCGTAAATCACATTTACCAAGGTTTCATGCCAGCGTATGCATAATGCATTTGTCACTAGTTTGAGCTGAAATTTCGCTTATATGAAGTAAGGGCCCAGGTTATCTTTCTCAAGAGCACATGCTCATGATTGTTCACTTGATCACATCCTGCAATTTGATTGGACGTCATATAATGAGGAATCCCCGAATATGATAGAATATGAAAGAATTGTCGGAGCTTCTCACTTCTTCTGATAGGAATCCAATTTACTGTTTTCCACCATTTTGAATGTCATGTGATGGGTCCAAGTAAGGTTTGTAGGACCATGCAGGGAAAGTTAGGGGAATCCCCTGATACATAGTAACACTAAATAATTATGGGAGCTACCCCCTAAATATGTATCGCTTTCATTTTAGAGAGCTATGAAATTTCTGTTCTGAAAATAAAATGCTAACAACATATACACAAGTATATTTGGGGTTTGAACCATGCAAATACAATGTTTTTAGAAAAGAATATATTTAGATAAAACAAGTTTTTGATACAGGGTTGCCAGTTTAGTAAACGGGGCAAATAGCTTTTAATGCTTGATACAGATAAAATGAGAACAGAGAACATAGGCTAAGGTCGATAGAAATAATCTTAAATAAAGATGGCATGGTAATCGATATGTGTTTATTTATAATTTCCCAAAAAGATAATACTTTATTGCTGGTGCTGCCATCTTTATATCGACCTAAAACCTGTGTTAGAGAAGGGCCCAAACTTTATTTGGTACTTGATGATCCGGAAGTAACAGTTTAGTGGAGGGGCATTTTTTATTTGGTACTTAATTAGTGAATGCATTGTAATATTAATTAATTAATATTGTAATACCTATTTCAGTTTGGAGTACTTCTTGAATACTTTTGAGAATTGACTACTATGCAAACTGTAAAAAAGAATCACCAACAGACAACCATTCTGAGATAACCCCAATTTAATATCTTGAACCTGATATTGCAGGGCCTGCAAATGATTTATTTTTAAATATCTTGATGAATTCCTTTTTCAGTAAAAATACCCGCCCCTCCCTAAGGTGGGCCCAGAAAACATTTAAGGGCCCAAATTTTGGATTTTTTCCCAAATTTTGAATTTGGGCCCCCCTCCCCTTGTTGGCTTCTGGATCCACGACTGCACATATATATTCAAGGTCACCTAATCATGGATTGACATTCCCTTAGCAGCTCCCAAAGGCCTTGAAAATAGCTTTGAAATTGACCCTTGACCTCAAAATCACCTTGACCCATGAACCTTGAACTTAAGTCACCTAATCATGGATTGCCAAGGGCATAGCCCCTAGTACCTAAAACGTCAAATACTTATCTATTGACCTTGGATTATAGTAACCTTGATCCATAAAGCTGACCTTGACCTCAGGTCACCTATCCATGGGTTGTCAAGGGTCAAATCACCACCCAAGAGTCTTAAAAAGCCAAACACCTAAATATTGAGCGTTGACTTGGAATGACCATGACCTCTGTAGAATCCCTATTGACCCATTTAGTATGGTGACCAAGTATAATGATCTAAGGTCAAACTGTATTGAGATATCCTGATGGAGAGACAGACAAACAGCAGTGCTTTATGAGAAGAAGATAATCCTTCTCAACAAATGTGTTTTACGGTGCATTATACTTAAAACGATGGGTGCACATACAGTAAAACCTGTATACTGTATCTGAACTCCTAACTTATTTGAACACCTTCTAATCCAGACACTCATTACAGTCCCACTTTTCCTTCCAATGTCTCCTATGTTAAAAACTGGGTGAACCTCCTAGTTTGGACATTAAACACTCATATTCAAAAAATTAAAATGTTCTCTTAAAATTGTTCAAAATTTTTTAATTCAACGAACATATAGGCCCACTGAGCATTTATTTAGCACAGGGCCTTTATTAGAAAGAACTCATTTTTCCAAGGGGACAGACATTTATTAAGAGGGAAAATAGCTTTCCCAAGCCAATGGGTGTTTATTTCGAGGCATATTATCAATCGAAAAGTTGACACATGGCCTTCATATACTCATGCAATTGTATCTATCATCTCTGATTGCACACTTCTGTTTTTCTGGGATGTTTCCTCTTTCCAAGAAAGGCCCATGGGCCTTTGGGGAGAAACATTGGTAGGCCTTTCAAGCATTCGATTTGGATTTTGGAATGTCATAAAGCTATGCGGTCAAAAGTAATCTTAATACTTTTTAGTGAAAATGCATTCATATTTTTAAAATGCAGAATCTTGCGGATGCAAAAACCTCAAAATCTTATCACCTCCAAATCTGAATGTTTTTTTAACTAGTCGTGTTGGCATTTGGATTAGACAGATATTACTGTCTAAGTATTAGACAGATATTACTGTATAAGTATAATAGTATTACTGGAATTCAAAAAAATCATAACGCCTACAATGCTAGTAATATTAAGTGAAAATGCATTCATATTTTTTTTCAAAATCAAGAATCTTTCGGATGCAAAAACCTCGAAATCAGAACACGTTTAAATCTAAATGTTTTTAATTGGTAGCGGTGGCATTTGGATTAGACAGGTTTTACTCTATAAGTATTCAGATAAAATGATGTTGACAGTATTGTTTGTCAAACTCTATCATTAAATTTCTGAACTTTTATTTACAGATTAGTAAGTCCACCAATATAAATATAGGTGGCAGAATTTCAAACAATGGAGACGCTTGTTGCCATAGCAATCAGTATACTGACAGCTATATTTGTGGCTGCGTTGGTTGGACTTATGATGATATGCAGGCACAAACATTGCAGAAAATCGGACCATATTTCGTCACAGCTTAGAGAAAACAGGTACCCTCATATTGGCAAAATAATACATTTATGTATTGTTGAACTATATTGTATGGTAATATATCTCATGTCGTATAACCATAGAAATAAAACCATGCTTTTATTACATATAAGGGTTTACGGTAGAGTCCATATAGCCAAGTAGAAAAGTTTAATAATATTGTCCAATAGTTATATATGGCAAAATATATGCTTCTTTCAGAATTTCTACAAATGGTAAATTGAGCATTGTTGTTGCTAACTGTAAATATCAGGGAGTTTGATCTGGCGATTTCACCCTTTAGTTAGGAAATTTTGATTTGAAAAAATATTTTATTTTGTATGCACTTGTGTTTTAGGCCAGAAAATCAACTTATTACCAACATGGAAGTTGATCATCCCACAACTGATTTGGAATTGGATGATGTAACACCAAATCTCGACAGCATCCTGAATGACAACAATTGGGTCGACGATGTCTCGTAAGTTTAAATTCAATTCTTAAATTCAAATGGGAATTTTGCAATGGAAATCAAAAGTCAATGCAAGCAACTTTTCTCAATTGCACCTAAACTCATTCTGAGCATCATGTCAGATCAAGCCTAATGTGAATGATACAACCTTATTGCCACGGTGATAGAAAAAGAACATTGATTATCAAATTTCAAATAAATATTTGTAAAAATTGTACCTGGATTGACTTATGAGTAGATGCAGAAATTAAGTGACACTTTTGATATTACTCTTTATTACAGAGGTCTGGCACCACACTGTCTCGAGATACTTCGCACTTGCCACCTATTGACTGAAAAACTGGTTGGCATGACAATGGGGAGAAATCAGTTTCCAGAAACTATGACAGATGTTGTTGTCGCAGCTAAGAGGATCTCCCCTCGTGTTGACGAGGTTGTCAGAGCAACATATCCTCCCTTGGATCCACGGCTACTAGAGGCAAGGTACAAACATTGAGTGTTTATACAATTAAAATCAAACTCCTGTTGAGTAGGGAAGGAAAAGATTTTATTTCGCCCTATTGTGCTTTATTGTTCCCAATTTAGGGCAGATGTTCCAAAATCATCTTTCTACGCATTTCAGGGAAACCCATTCAGGAATTGTCTTGAAATTTTATGGGTGGTAAATTTCAGGGCAGCCTTTTTTAATTAACCATCTTTGAAATTTGTCTTGAAGTCTTGTCTTCACACCTTCTCAACCAAACCATTTCGTGGATTGATCTGAAATTTTCAGGGACAGCCATTTTGGATTTTCTTTTCATTTTTCACTTAAAGACTCTGTAATATTCTGTATTTGTAAACAAACAATAGATATGGTAGCTTTGTAATGTAACTGTAGTCTGTAACATTAATCAAATTGCAAAAAACTGACCAAAGCCTTGATATTCATAATGGTTTCTTCATTTTAGATGCACTGCCCTTGTGTTGTCTGTCAGCCATCTTGTTTTAATCGTGAAGAACGCATGCCGATTGTCTGGTGTCTTAGATTGGATTGACCAATCACTGGCTGACGTGGAAGACCATCTTAAGGTATATGCATGTATATCGTATAGAATATAGAAAACTTGTCATCATTTTTGGGGTTGGTGGCAGGTGGGTGGAGATCCTGATTAACCTTGTCTTCACATTTCCAGGCTAATTTTTTTTATTTTGTGCATTAACCCTTAAACGATCAAAACCAATAAAAAGTTTCAGATTTTCTTTAAAAAATGTGTTTGTCCGTGTGTAAATTGATATAGAATCCTATAGAGCATCAGAAAGCTCATGAAACTATATATTTTCTGAATGCTCGAGCCATCAACTATTCAGAAATGACATAAAATTGTACATTAGAGAGCTGGTATGGGTATGGTAGCTCATCAAATCAAATTGAAAAACGAAAAATATACCTGATTTTGCTGTGTCACAAAATAATCTGTAACACCTTGTGTAACCCCTTGTAATTGCATGTCAGCTACGATAAATTGGTCTATAAATTTGTAAACTCACCTACTACTTGTTACTATTGAAGTCTGAATCATCACTTTTTCCCGGCACATCCCTTATAATATGCAATGCTTCTTCAACATACACTCGTCGACATCCATTAGACACCATTTCGTTACTCAAAATCTGTCTTTGAGTGCAAAATTGTTGAAATAATTGATGAAAAACGAACTATTTTCGAAATAAACTCCATTTTTACTTCCTGAATGGAAAGTTTAAGGTCACATCTCAGAACGAGGCTAGGATAGGGGAACCCGCGACTTTTCTTATGTCTGCTTATTACAAATGGAAACAGGTATGGAAAGCGCGCCTTGAAAGCGCGGTTGATCATTTAAGGGTTAACAGTATAAACTTAATACTATACATTGTATTTCATTGTATCAAATTTGTGTTCAGGTACTACGTGCTGCCAGTGAAGCATATGAACAGAGCAACCGTAGTGGACAAGGGAGCCCAAGTAATGGCACCAGCACCTTATCAGCCGCACCACCAACTACAACAGAGCCCTCCTCCCCAAGCATGTCTGCAATCTCATCTCCCCAACATAGCCAGCAACTTCAACAGGGCATCTATGAGCAGAATGTATCACCTTTGAACATTGAGACATCACCTGGTTCCGTACCACACAGCCCTCCACAGTTGAATTCCCCTGATATCATGCCATTGAATTCAATTACAAATAATAATAATAACAACCCAGATGTAACATGTTAAAAACCAAATTAATTCCAAGTAAACAACTGCCTCAAGCAGGCGTTTTCCTGACATACTCCACCTTACAATGGTTTTGAGGACTTGTCTCTGTTGGCCAAATAGACTTCTACGCAGTTGGAATTCGATGTAACAAAATAGCATTCCATGTTATCAGCTTTATAGGTGTGTATTGTAAAATGCTAAAGATTCGATGCATATATCAGCCATGCATATTTTTCCTCTCATCCATGTTTAACTCTTTTCTGCCCAACTGGTGTGATTGTTGTGTTTACTGCAATGTCTTGGCTTGAATATCTCTATTTTTGCTGTAATTTTGGCTTTTAATTCAAAAGAATTGAATGTATTTCCATATATATATATATGTATCAATGACAAAAGTGCTTATTGTAATGAAACATTTCCTATAATTCTGGGCAGGAAAGAGTTAAAAGCTATATCGCCTAAATGAGTGTCTGCAATAAGAGTCCTCATAATCACAATAGTGATTTTACAGAGTACTATAAGTAACACTAAAACTTATGTTGATATTTACAGCTATATGTTAAAGGTACATGACATACAATGAGAGGGATATGTGAAACTATCTTAAAATGAGAGCATTTTTATCAGAATATGTGGATCGCCCCTTGTATAAGTGAATTGAAATTATGTGTTTATGAAGGAAGTCAAATCAAGATAGCATTTACCATTATATACAAAGATAATGTTATGTGTAAGTGTGTATATGATATAAGTAAACATTTATGTAAGTGATATGAGATAAGCCATTGTGTAGCACATTGTATAATTATATTCAATGTATCATAATCTATATGTACAATGCTGTATGTTGTAGCTTTCTAGGAGGCTATGGTACATGTCTTCATAATATTTTGCTTTAAATAACAGTAATGATAATGCAAATTCTTCAGCATAAATGAACAATGCATAACATAAAAGTAAAACTTATTAAAGAAATATTATTCATAATGCTTCTTATGCTTTTAAATGTTTCTTATGGTACTGTCCTGTAGAATATGTACGAGATTATCAATCTGCAAAAGCCTGATATTTGCATCATTTGTAAAGTTATCAGAGGCTTATTATTAAAACATTATATTCCGGCTAAATAGTGTCCTGTTGGTGTGGATTTAGCCAAAAGGAGAGGAAATTGTTTTTTCCTTCCTACATTAAATGAATGATACATCATTTATTAGGTTATAAGGGGATGGTTTTATTAAATTGTACACTTTGTGTTATTTGATTACACCTGAAAATAGTCAAATTATATAAGATCTGAATGGAATGCTTCCATATTAGTTGTAGCTTTTGTATATACTATAGTGTTAAGTTTAAGAGCCACATGTTCAGTTGACTTTGTCTAAAATGTTTTTATTTTTATCGCACTTGAAAAGTGACATATTGTCGTGTATTGAGCTGGTGGCTGATTGGCAAAAGAAATCTTGTAGAGATAACAAGAAATCTGTTTGTCTGTTTAACTTGATATTTTTCAGATGTAAGTGCGGTCTAATTAGAATTTGGACGTGCTAAGAAATTTTAAAGATGGCTCTTGTGTTTCAAGTGTGATATTTATCACTCTGTGTCATATATTTGTAAATATATGTGCTAAATGACTATATGACTCAGGGCTCTCGCCAGGCTTTTAGACTGTGGCGCAGCACCACTCTCTATTCTAAGCTCCCTCCACACCCTATTGGCAAATCATGACTGTTTCAACAGTGTAAACTTGACTGAATATCCAATAATAGCATGTAAAAAGAATAAAATATAACATAAATATGATTAATCACGATTGAATGGTTATTCTGAAGATGTTAGCACCACACCCTAAATATTTCCTGGTGAGAGCCCTGTGACTAGTTGTATAATATCATTAGCTTTGTAGAGAACTTAAAAATATTATAGAAAACATATAATGTAGCTTTAGATGCCAATTACTTTTTTGATGCCATTTATATCATGTAGATGCCAATTAGATGTTTATATATGTATTTTGACTTATAAATTGACTGACTTCGAGATAGTTTAGAAATGGAGCATAGTGTATATATGTCTGGAGTGGTCTTGTTCTTATATAGTAATGAAAGGTAACTGGTCAACTCGTACCCAAGACAAGTCGTACCTAAGACAACTCGTACCCAAGACAACTCTGGAGTGGCCTTGTTCTTATATAGTAATGAAATGATTAGAAAGCAATAATAAAGGTGCTTATAACCATATAAAATTGGGCAAATTTTGATATACAGTAAAACCCGTCTTATCTTAACGCCACTGGGACAAATGAAAGTGTTCCAATTTAGCATGTGTTTACATTTCAAGGTTTTTTAACATGGGAGTCAAATGAAATAGAAATTATAAAATTTGAGCCAAGAGAAAGTGTTCACATTGAGAGGTGTTCAGATAAGAGAGGTGTTCCGACTTTGGTTTTACTTTACTGTAATTAATGCAATTGTAAAAGTATATATTAAAGAATGGTGCAAATATTAATTCAAGTTTTTGAATTGAATTTGAATTTTTAATTTTAATGATTATGCAATATGTGCCTTGTATATTTTATAATGTGTTGATTTTAAACTTGATTATTATAAGATGGAATCACTTGTTAAATTCGCAATATATTTTTATATCTGCTGATCGTGTAATTATTCATAAGATACTTGATTATTTTTATAACAAATTATATGCTGATTTTAGACTAATAGCAAACTGACTGTAGACTAGATATATAGCCTATACATTCCATGTAATGAATGAATGTGTCTGAATTTATCAAATTCTGCTCCATGTTGTTACACTGTCAAACTGCATACCTGTAGAATTTAAATATATAGAAATGCTAGAAATCAAGGAAATTGTTTGTTGGACTTATTATGTAAAGATGGCATTTCATTTGGAGGCCATTTTGGATATTCCTTCTTGAATAGGACTGTAGACCTATTAATAAAGCATATTTATTTATTTATCCATATTATAGAAAAGCTTATCATTCATCTCTTTAAAGGCAAATACCTCATGCCATAGGCCCCTTGCTTGAGAAGGGTTTATATGTCACCACCACAAGTGGGGACATATTGTTATTATAGCCTACAACTTTTTGTGGATGGTATGGCAGGTGGTGACATTTTTTTAATGCCACGTTTAATATGGTCAACCAATTCAAAGATGACAGCAATTTTCTGTTTGTGCCAATTGCTGTTTTCTTCTGGTTATCGTCTGTATGCCCTGTTGGTAAAGCAATATTCACTTTCTAGTAAAATTGTAAAATTTTAAAGAAAATGGAGCCATTTAAAAAAATACTTGAGCTAAGGTTGTATTAGGTATTTGCCTATAATACTATTTGAACAGATGGCTTCTCTACATTCCATATTCAAACTTGTTGGTTAATAGAGTTGTTGGGTGATGATTTAAATAAATGATAATAATAACGATTCTTTGGGGGAGGAGTATTATCTAGCTGAGGGGCTTCTCTCTCCCTTAGGAGTCAATTGTGCATAATTGGCTTGGGATCACCATAGAAACACAAAACAACTAAACACAAAATAATGCTTTTTCTCAATACAAGATCTGTATTTTTTCATTTGCATTATACATTTGTATTACACTGTGTTATTTTGATCACTAGATTTGAATAACACAAATGATCAGATGATTACAATCTTAAAACGCATCTCACATTTTGCACAGGATTCTACACATAATCAATTTATACTTAGGTAGGTAATTTGAAAGACCATTTTTCTTTGTTAACATAAATTAGTGAATTTATTTTTAAAATAATTCATCAAGGTGTAGCAATTAATGAAATGAATATGTTGATTAAGTGCAAATGTTTTGAGACACTTATAATTTTTTACACATAAATCCATCTTGATTATGAACATAGTCTAACTCGATCATTTATATTTACAAATAAAATAATCTGAATAATAACAATATAACAAGATTTGCTACTGTTTATATTATATATATCTTTCAGTGGTACTACAACTCAACAAATGACTGACTTTGTGAAAAGTTAACAATTTGATGAATGCTACGTTTTACTGATATATTGGAATGTGGTCATCTCGGAAATGTAATCATATCTTTTTCAAAATCGAAAATGATATGTTTAAAAGTCAAAGCATTTATCTAGAATAATATACATGTAGATTATATCTATGTCATAGACTTACTTGCATATAGTGGTATATATGCATAGTTATCTACTCTGTCAGGTATAGAAAATATAATTTATCAATAAATATTTGATACACAATGGTTCCTTATTTGCTGACTATGCAAATATGAAAATATATTCTATACTATTAAAATTGATAGGCACTTGACAATATAACATCAAACAATAACAGCGTTATAACATATTACAGCATCAACATATTTGGAAAATTAATAAAGGTCCCTCTTTGTCATATATTAAAACAAGTACAGGGTGTCCCATAAAATCTCTACACAGACTTAGTATTGTTATTGTAAAGATACTTTATAGGCACCCTGTATATCCTTCGGTGGTTCATAGAGTAATAATCATTTGAAACACTTTAAAAATGAAAATCTGAATTTTTGAAAAATACAGTTTTAAATGATTCGAGGACCTTTAAAATGAGTAATACTCCTATATATAAATTGCTTAACAATGAAGAATTAATATAATAAAAACCTAGTAAATAAACTAAAATCTAAAGCTGTCATTCATATAATACATGTGCAAAGAAACACACTGCTCCAATACTTAATATATCTGTAAATACTACCAAATATATAATGAATAAAATACACAACTTGAAGTTAGCTTCAATAAATACTCATTCTTTACAAATCACATTTGTGAAGAGAAAAACTTACAAAGAGTGCTTTTAAATTGTAAATAAATTACATTCACATTAAAGTAGAGAAGAGAACATCTCAAGTTTCGTACATGTCTACTTGTTTTGAATACATGAAAGCAATGAACTGAGACAGGCGTATATGACTAGACTAAGAAGCATTGCGGTATAAATGACTCACTTCAATATTGTCATTCCATTGTACAGTTGTATATTATGTGAACTAACTAAATAACAATATTCCTTAAAGTCTTGCATTATGCCTTATGTGAATAGAGACTCGATGCAAGACTGATTTTGTGCGACAATCCTGTTTGAGACAATCATTTAATCAGGTCCTATTTGAAATGAAAGGCAGGTGACTATCTTCATTTTAATAAATTATATGTTTTCATCGTGGAATGAAATTCTCACAAACTATTGTAGGAGAAGAACACAATACAGGAGCATAGCCAGGATGCAGAAAGAGGTGAGGCAAATCTAAATAGTTGAGGCAAATCTTAATAGTTGAGGCAAATCTAAATAGTTAAGGCAAATCTAAATAGTTGAGGCAAATCTAAATAGTTGAGGCAAATCTAAATAGTTGAGGCAAATCTAAATAGTTGAGGCAAATCTAAATAGTTGAGGCAAATCTAAATAGTTGAGGCAAATCTAAATAGTTGAGGCAAATCTAAATAGTTGAGGCAAATCTTAATAGTTGAGGCAAATCTAAATAGTTGAGGCAAATCTAAATAGTTGAGGCAAATCTAAATAGTTGAGGCAAATCTAAATAGTTGAGACAAATCTAAATAGTTGAGGCAAATCTAAATAGTTGAGGCAAATCTAAATAGTTGAGGCAAATCTAAATAGTTGAGGCAAATCTAAATAGTTGAGACAAATCTAAATAGTTGAGGCAAATCTAAATAGTTGAGGCAAATCTAAATAGTTGAGGCAAATCTAAATAGTTGAGACAAATCTAAATAGATGAGGCAAATCTAAATAGTTGAGGCAAATTTAAATAGTTGAGGCAAATATAAATAGTTGAGGCAAATATAAATAGTTGAGGCAAATATAAATAGTTGAGGCAAATCTAAATAGTTGAGGCAAATATAAATAGTTGAGGCAAATCTAAATAGTTGAGGCAAATCTAAATAGTTGAGGCAAATCTAAATAGTTGAGGCAAATCTTAATAGATGAGGCAAATTTAGGCTAACTGAATTATAATACTACCATTGAACTTCATTTCCAGTTTCTGTTTGAAAAAACATCTGATTTGATATAATTCTGTTAAACTTTGTTTGGGGCATTGCCTCATCTGCCTCTTGTGTGACTACACTCGTGCAATATGTTTTATGGCATTTGGAGGTAAATAGTGATAATAAACAATCAATATCACAACATTTCAAACTATAATTAAATAATTAAACATTAAATAATTCAAGAAATACATATACTCACATCCTGATTCTAGCAACTAATTTAAATATGGCAACTTTATGCATTTGCTATGATAAATAACATATTCAGGCCCGTAGCCAGGGAGTGGGGGGGGGAGCGGAGGGAGCGGCCGCTCCCCATCCCCCTTGGTGAGAAATTCATTCAAAATCATGCAGTTTTTCACCATTCTAAGAACTTTTTCGCATGATGTCAAAAAGCTTCCCCCTTGGCAAAAAAATGACAAAAACTCCCCCCTTCGTAAAAGCGCTCCCCCCAGGTAAATCCTGGCTACGGGCCTGATATTAACTTTGGAAACAAAATAAAAGGTGTATTGTGGGAAGCCATTTCATTTTTCTTTCACAAAACTGTTTTGAAAGATGTGTCATGGCCTATTCATTTGCTAAGAAGGCCCAAAAGTAACAGGTTTGGTGCAGGGGGACACCCTGTATATTACAGGTAATGTATAAAGAAGATTAGTACATGTACTTTTTTCTAATTTATGTTCAAAATTTTTGTAGTTTAAAATGAAAACAACAATTTCCAATTTGTCTTGTGAAAATTATAAGCAAATTTGAATAATCATTTCCATAATTATAATAAATAATGTAGCTTTTTTACTATCAATAATTGAAACTTCTTCCTTGCCAGTAATTGAATTTAAGTGGTAGGCTACAATATTAACATTGGAGATAACAAAACAGTCTCAATAACTATATTCCATAAACATCTATTTCCTATGTAAATAATAAAGGAATAAAAATCATATTGACTGGGAAAAAATTGTATTGGATCAAATTGACTGGTTTTGGTTCCCAAGAAATTCTGAAGGTGAATTATTTTTAATTCTGGTCAAAATTAAATATTGTTTTTATCCTCTCATAGAATTGACCATTTGGTATGATATAATGCCCAGATTGTCCCAAAGAATAAAATCCATATCCAATCCCTCTCTTGTATTATCCCATTATTATAATAATTGTGGAATAGCATCATGGATATACATGTTATATTAGTATCATTTTTCAAGAATTAATAAACTCATATCACAACCATATGTGGGCTAGAAAATAACACTGAATTACACTCTGTTGATATTGAAATCAACGAATACAAAAGATATTACTCAGTCATATGAAATCATATACTTATGATATTATATGAATGAAGAATATTAATTGAGACATTATTACTTTCATGTCCCTTACAATATATCTAAAATATTATGCATAGTTTTACACTGCATTATATGTACAAAGAAATGTAAGTTATCGGTTGTTTAAAAATTTGGCAGACATTTTACTTCTACACAGTACATTAGAACAAAAAATCTGATGGAAATTTTGAGATATCTTGGATTGAAATAAGCCAAAACATTGTCAATATTAACACTACGGACCATTTCAAAGCTTTATTAAAACATAATTGGTAGGTTTAGATGGAAAGCTGCCCTGCAAAATGTTTTTACCCTCCAAGTATGGAGCAAAAGAATGTCCTCTTAAAATCATAATTTCTCCTTATATGGTCCTGAAAACCTTATATGGAACTACCATGTGACATTGAAAATGGCATATGGATGTACATGTTTTTGATTTTCTTGGCCGATGATCGTTGTACTGCTTTCAACTCAATGTGAGGATACACCAAGGAACTAACCCGCCAATGTAATGGTTGACCAGGTTGCCATATACTGCCCGTAGACTCATTTTGAAGCCACAGGTGTGTCTTAGATAACACAAAAGACCATCAGAAACAGAAAAACATGCACATCTCAAAATATACATATTATTTACAACTGCCAATCATTTTTGAATGTCTTGAATATAATAATAAATAGTTACACCTAACAACATGTCGTACATTTTATTATAAGATCATACCTTATCAAATTCTGTAAGTTCATGCTTAGGATAGCCTAACATTTTATGTACATTTATTGTGAATGTGTTTCTCTTTCATTCCGCCGTAACATGCTTTTTAAGCCGATTCTCTTCCCCATTCAAGGTGCGTTTTTTCAAAACATCCCTAAAGTCTACTTGGGGTACTTCACGCTCTGGTTCCGGTAATTTTCTTAGAGTTTTGTTGGGATTATAGTTTGTTTTCTTTAAGACAGATCTAAAGTCGAACAAGACACGTGACTCATCTTCCTCTTCTTTCTTATAATCATCATCACTGATAAATCTGTTTGGTTTATTTGACCTGGAACTAAGATGATATTGAGGGTTGAGGAGAGACCATGCAGGGATCGTACTGCGCTCCAAATGAAAGTAATTGATTACAGCTATAAATACACTAAAGGTGACATAAAAGTTCACATACATGTACATGTAATAGTCCATGATATATATATATCCCCTCAGGTATAAAAATAATACAGTAAAACCCTATCTAAACTGAACACCATGAACCAGCCAAAAGAGTTCCGATTTGCAGGTTTACATTTCGAGGTTTTAACATGGATATCATGTGATTAAAGACATCGAAATGAAGCATTCACTTTGAGAGGTGTTCAGATTAAAGAGATGTTCGGATATACACATTTTACTGTACATAGAATGGATCATCATATAACCTGGGGTTAATTAAGTGACACTTTCATGATCCTACGTCCATTTTTCTCTTACTATGATGTCATTATTTCCATGGTTATAGACAACTTGATTTATGAATTCCTTACAATTGATTGATGAATTCTTAACTTTATGAATTTTCTGATAATGACCTCCTGATATAGTTTTGCTTCAAGACCCCCCGCCGCTCGACTTCAACAACAGGTTGTTGTTGAATTAGATAAGGGGGTCCAGGGTCTTGACGCAAGACTACTCCTGATATATATAGTAGTATCTCACCTGTCGTCACTTTGAATGTTACTATTGGGGTCTGGGGTGAGCTTCCTACTCTTGATCCCCTGCATTATAATCTGCTGCATTGTACCTTTCTTTGAACCTGGTGGCCAAATACAGCAGCAAATATACAGCAAATATTTCAACAAAAAAAACAGAGCATTTAAACTGTAAATCAGTAACATGTAATATAAGGAAAGAAAGCTATTTGTAGGGAATTTATAATTTACAAGACAGACTATTTTCTGTATAGACAATAAAATCATTTTTAAATGATGTATATTTTAGAAAATGTACAGGAACCATTGACAGAATATATATATAAAATATATATTGGAACATTTCAATTACATGTAAAAGGTAGATTATTTCATCAGAGTTTTATACATTTCAAAACTAATATGATAATGAGAAGCAAAATTGAAATACAAAAATGTGATCAGCAATAAATAATCGTGAAAATAAAATTTTGCCATAACCAATTAGAAAGATCGTGAACTTTCTAGAAAGCTAATAGAAAGACACCATAAGTCCTAATAATGTCATAAAATAATAAAAAGAGCTAATTTGTTTCAATACAAGTCTAATAAGATCTAAGGGCTATTGATACAAGTACAACAGATACCCTGTCTAAAACTGTAAGTGTCTAGGAGAATTACTAAAACCTCATGCAACAGAAATGATAACAAAAACAATGGAAATGATAACAACAATGAAAATGATAACAACAACAATGAAAATGATAACAAAAACAATGGAAATATTAACAACAACAATGAAAATGATAACAACAACAATGTAAATGAAAACAACAACAATGATTATAAAGACTCTATCAACAATGTTTATTCAAAAAGGTACATCATTTAAAGGGTCACGAGACAAGAAAATGAACTTTACTATCAACGATTTGGGAGTATCTGAAACCAATTTAATAGTGGTAAAACAACATTGATGATCAATTAAGGAGGTTACACTTTACATTTTTTAAGAGAATTTGTTTGTGATTGTGTAATGTTATTATGCCCAGGGATGACTATCTCCCTTGATTTTTCCAGGGATCTAAGTACAACGATTGAGGAGCTGAAAATGTGCAATCTAAGTAAAAGTATCTAAGGCAAAAGAAAACATGCCTCGTGAATGCCAACCTGGACTTCATCCTCAAGGCAGTATCGCTGTATGATAGGATAACACCATGCACAATAGGATAACATCATTGCACAATATGAATACACCATTGCACAATAGGATAACACCATTGTACAATAGGATAACATCATTGCACAATAGGATAACACCGTTGCATAATAGGATAACGCCATTTCACATTAGGATAAAACCATTGTACAAAAGGATAACACCATTGTACAATAGGATAACATCATTGCACAATAGGATAACACCATTGCATAATAGGATAACGCCATTTCACATTAGGATAAAACCATTGTACAAAAGGATAATACCATTGCACAATTGGATAACCCCATTGCAAAATAGGATAACACCATTGCATAATAGGATAACACCATTGCACAATTGGATAACCCCATTGCAAAATAGGATAACACCATTGCATAATATGATAACACCATTGCACAATTGGATAACCCCATTGCAAAATAGGATAACACCATTGCATAATAGGATAACACCATTGCACAATTGGATAACCCCATTGCAAAATAGGATAACACCATTGCATAATAGGATAAAACCATTGCACAATTGGATAACATCATTGAAAAATAGGATAACACCATTGTACAATCAATGGACACCAAAAACATACATTAAGTCTCAATCACAAAATCACATGATAGCATATTTAGAAATGAAATATGTACTCACACACAAAATGTGTTAAGATATAAAGTACAAATATGCACCTACACAACACACATGAAATACAAGTACTCTCAAAACAAAAAGAAAGAAGAGAATTCAGAGGAAAGTGACAACAGCCTAGACACAAACAAGTTTTAGAGAAAACATCTGTTATACATACCAAAGAGACTGCTTAGAGCGTTTGCTGTATTATCACTCAAACTAACTTCATTTTCTTTGGCGAATTGTAAAAATCTTGATAACAGCGCATTCTTGTTCTGCAACTCAAGTGATTTTAGCATTGACCACTTACTCTCCCTTGTCTCCTCAATTATCTCATCCTTTGCTGCAGGTAGGTCCTCTTCTATCTCGTTACTGTCTGAACCTTGGCTTATTATGCTACCACTGCAATGTTAAAAGATACACACAATTACAAATGTGTCTTATGGTCTGAAGCTGTATGATAAAGTGTCACAATAAAGTAGACACATTAACATATGTTACAGTGTACTCTTCCGGCTTGTTATCCAAAGATCTTCATATGATCATTTTACAATATGGATTTATACAATTATATCATAAAATATCCAACCTAGATTATAAGATATTAAAATAAAAACAAACAAGATTTATTTTCAACTTCAAGAAGTTCAATTAAAACAATTCAATTATTTTTGATAATTCCAGCAGCATGGATAAATATACATACAAATACAAATCTAAAATGTGCAACAAATATTATGTATTATTATGTAATTTGAATTACTTGGTCTACCCACCACAAACATGAAGCAATTGGTGTCAATGTCTCATCACATTTGTACATGAGACTCTCTAAATTAAATTCAGAATGAATCTACTAAATCAGCTATAAAGGTTAGTCACATCTCAGTTGTCTTGTCTCCAAATGATTAGTTTCTATGGGGTCTATGCTATTCATTATTATTCCAAGTGATATGTATTAAACTAAAATGATATTTTCCGAAACAAATTTTTCAATGGATACCAGTCCCTTCTTTCTGCAGTAAGATGTCTCCAAAGAATTTTTATGCAGGTATAATGAGTGATTACTATAAATACGAGGGGTGATTTAAAAGTAATAGAAATTTTTTATAGGCAGACTTAAAGTTGGGCAATCAGTCTAATTTTTCACACAATATGTGATACTGTAAATAAACTGAAAAATTGAACCAGTTTCATTCAAAATGTACTTTCTTGACCAGTAGAAAAGAAAAGTACATGCATATGTAAATCATTGAAGAAGGAATTTTAATCTGCATTTTAAAAATAGAATCAGATTTAAAGCAGGTAAATAACATTAAGAAAAATTTTTCCATATAACAACAACTTCATTTTCATTTTCGAAAAAATAACATCTGAATAAATATTTTTTCTGATAACTTTTTGGCACGACAACTTTCAACGATGAGCTAAGCCCCTTGCATTGGTTGGTAAATCATAGATATAAGTTGTCTCTGATTCTAATTTGAAACGCAAATATTGACATAATATGTCTCAATTCTCGACAGAAAAATGTTACGACTGTCACTATAACATTTAGAAGAGAATAAAATGTTGATTTCCAAACAGAAGCCCTAGACCAATCGATACATCTTTGTCATAAAGTCTGGTATAATGAAATGGGAAAGAAATCAACCAGATAAATGAATAGCTCTGTGATCAAAAAAGAAATGCCAATTCAATGCAATTTCAACTCAAATGAAAAAATTTTTTCCTATTAATCAAAATAAAACTAAAACCCAGGGGCTTTTCTAAAGCAGAATAAAGCAATAGAAAGTAAAACATGTAAACAGACTTCAGTGTCTAGATAGCCACTCCCCAGGCTACAATATATTGCAGATATTAAGAATGAGAAGAAATGTTAGTATGGTGTGTCATCAGAAGCATAGCCAGGATCAAAAATGAGGTGAGGCAAATGTAAATAGGTGAGGTAAATTGAGGCAAAATTTTGGTGAGGCATTTGCCTCCCCTGCCTCATGCCTGGCTATGCCTATACAGTAGTAGTTAATTGCAGTTCTGTAAAATTTCTGGAAAGCAAAGTATTCAAGCATATTCAATATTCAAGCATTAACCCTTTCATGTGTATCAAAAAATTAGCCCAAATTATTCATAATGGACAAGACAAAAAGGGTTAAGGATTTAGACGTCACAGCAATTTTCAAAAGCAATCAATGTTATAGCTGCGGTGAATGTTAGTTTCTGGTTAGTCTCTGTAGCAGCTGTCTGTCAATCATACCCATTAATGATGTCAGCCTCCCCTGATTGGAACTGTACTTTTTTCCTATTGGATGGGGATATCTCATTGAGTGGGGGTGGGGGAGGGGGTTGAGAAACAATCTGTCTTGAATGAATGGCAGATGCGATCGATTCCGCATTCATCATTTGGGGTTGGCCATTCATGACAGGGGGAGATATGGTATTTGAATCAACTGAATTTCTATTAAGAAGAAAACTGTTTGGTTGAGCTGAAGGCTTTGAGTTTTTTATAAATCCTTGGGGTGCAACGAAGCTTTGGTAGTTTGAATATGCAGGGGGAGGGGGTGGAATAGGTTTTGCTGACAGAAGAGGGGGAGGAGGAGTCAAGTCATCCCCATTGAAATTTGCATTCCCATTAAGAGGGGGAGCTTGAGTAGAAGTGGGTGAAAAACTCTGAGAATGCTTACGATTTTTGAAAACTGACTGAAGTTCTTCATTTATTGATGCATTGGGTTTTCTAGTCAATGGTGGAGATTTCAATGCTCGCTGCGAGAAAGGAGCAATCAACGGAGGAGGGGATGAAGGGGGTGGAGGAGGAAATGAAAAATGTAGCTTTTCAGGGAGCATCCTTTTACTAGGAGGATCATCAATTGCATCTCCATTTTTAGAACTTTCCCGTAAATCTGATATTTCGAGGGATGGATCTATAACAGTTGGAATGGCAGATGTTATTTTAGGGGGTGGTGACTGTACTCTAGGGGGTGTAATGATCTCATACTTGAGACCAGGGGACAGGGGCTCCTCTACTGGAGGAGTGTCTGGTATTGATGTGGAATATGACAATTGTCTCTCAACATGGGGATTGGTCTGTATGGTAGGATGTACAGTCATTCCTGGGGCAACATCAACAATCCTCACAAATCTGAAATATAACAAGAATGAAAACTTTGATTTGTAGCAATATTTAACTATAGTGATGATTTCCCAACTATAGTATATAGCTAGGATACAGGGTGTCCAATAAATAAGGTGAAAGATATTGTAACTTTCTTAATATTGTACCAATCTTGATAAAACTTTCAGAGTTTGTAGCCCAAACCTTTTTACCTTTATTCTTTGAATTTAAAGTGTCTTCTATTTGATTGGCCAGAGTTGTGGTTGCTATAGCAACCGAAACAACAAAAAGGCGGGGCAAGTTTGTTTACATCACAACTTTCCAATCTTTTTGATAGCTTTATTCATACTTCCAGGACTATTACTACCACAAATACAATATAAAAAAACAGTCTTAAAGTCCCATTGTTATGAAAATAAGCTATTCAACATAATGTGCATCTCTTGCGATACACTTCTCATGCCTCGCCTATTCACCCACTCTCTAAACACACTTTTCTATTCTTGCCCATTTCCTGAAGTCTTGCTAAGACATGTGATCTGAGTTCACACACAGCAATGCTCACCAGTGAAACTATTGGGGTACTGAGGCTATCTCTACTTGCACACCCTCCATATTCCCCAGACCTTGCACTCAATGACTTTTACTTATATGCAGAACTCAAGAGGACTTGAGAGGACTGAAATAAATTTAGAAGCACTTATTAACTCAGATCACATGTCTTAGCAAGACTTCAAGAAATGGGCAAGAATGGGTTTGAAAGTGTGTTTAGAGAGTGGGTGAATAGGCATGAGAAGTGTATAGATAGCAATGGATATTATGTTGAATAGCTTATTTTCATAACAATGGGACTTTAGGACTGTTTTTACATTGTATTTGCGGTAGTTTTAGACCTGGGAGTATGAATAAAGGTATCAGAAAGAATGAATATGTTTTGGAAAGTTGTGACGTAAACAAACTTGCCCCGCCTTTTTGTTGTTTAGGTTGCTATAGCAACCACAACTCTGGCCAATCAAATAGAAGACGCTTTAAATTCACGGAATAAAGGTAAAAAGGTTTGGGCTACAAACTCTGAAAATTTCATCAAGATTGGTGCAATATTAAGAAAGTTACAATATCTTTCACCTTATTTATTGGACACCCTGTATATAGTATATATGACACACATTCATTTCAGTAAAGGTGTGCCTCATGTAAAACATCAATAACAACAAAACAAACAAAGACATGCTGATCACAACACCTACATTACACATCAAATTCTTTGACCACTTTTTTGAACACACTTCAAGTGGGTTTGGCTAGCACATTGATAAACATTATACTACCACAAAGAACATGCACAACAAAACATATTTTACATTTTGTTGAACGAAACTCTTTACTAAATGGGCTTCAGAAAAAAGCTCAGTTTACCTAACACTGCCTAATATAATAAAATAACAGGAAAATATTTTAGACTCGTATACATCATATTGAAGTACAGTAAAAACCTGTATAATCTGAATGCCACTCGAGCCAATCCAAAGTGTTTAGATTAGCAGGTGTTCACATTTTAGGGTTTTCTTAATATGTGAGTCTATATGTGAGATAACAAAATTGGGACCAAGAAAAAGTGTTCTTATTGAGAGGTTTTCAGATTAGAAAGGTGTTCAGATTAGAAAGGTGTTCAGATAAGAAAGGTGTTCAGATTAGAAAGGTGTTCAGATTAGAAAGGTGTTCAGAGTAGAAAGATGTTCAGATTAGAAAGGTGTTCAGAGTAGAAAGATGTTCAGATAAGAAAGGTGTTCAGATTAGAAAGGTGTTCAGAGTAGAAAGATGTTCAGATTAGAAAGGTGTTCAGAGTAGAAAGATGTTCAGATTAGAAAGGTGTTCAGAGTAGAAAGATGTTCAGATTAGAAAGGTGTTCAGATTTGAAAGGTGTTCAGTCTTACAGGTGTCACTGTATATCACTTTATATTAAATTCCCCTGATAAGCAATAATAGAACCTTTATACACACTTGTAGATGCATCAGCTATAAATTCATGAGAGTACTACAGAATTATCCACTTGCAGTGCCCTGTGTTCGAAGTGCCACTATGCTTATCAACTTATTTAACATAATGTTCCCAGTAAAACTTTAATAACCACCTTTCTATTGAGATTTCCTTTACAATCAGGGGATATTAAGTTATGTATATTTGCTCTATATTGAAAGTCAAGTTGTTTTCTTCTTCAATGTCATATGCGTGTTTTGTGAAAATAACAAGGGTAGAATATGAACTTGTAGAACACAAGTATTCTATTAGGCTTGCAATGAAAGCTATGTTTTGTCACGTTAGCATCATGAAAAATTGGCGCAGATCCCACTGTGCCCGATGAAATTAATTCAGTAATATCCATCGAGATGCTTTCTATTTGGAAAAGTTTTCATTGTCATTTACAATGCAAAACAGTGGAAATATGTGGAAATAACAAGAACTAGATGCAGGAAATTGTTTAATTTCAGACTCCAGATACCAGATTTTTCAGAATCTTCGATTTACCCTATAAACCTAGACAGTGAACATGGAGTTTCTCAATTTTCTGATGATAAAAGGCTAAGACTATAAGCACCCAGACTCCAGATTTTCAATTAACATAGAGTCAAATAAGCATTGTTATGTTGTAATAAAATATCACAACATGATATTGTGTTGTAATAAAATATCACAACAAGATATTATGTTGTAATAAAATATCACAGCAAGATATAATGTTGTAAAAAATATCACAACAAGTTACATAGTAATTGTGAGTCAAAAGTATGTTTATGTGACTATTACAGTTCTTATTTCAACTACATTTGTACTTCTCAAGTTATTTCATATTTCTGGTATTAATATCATTAACAGTAAATGACGATGAAATCTGACTTTAATTTCACTTAATAATAAATGATAAAATGTAACTGTTTGCAATTCCAAAAGTGTAACCATTTACACATACAGTTATGCCAAATGCTAAAATAGTGGCTGAGACGACAGGGTGACAGAATTTTGTATGAGGAGCTGATATATTATTTGATCAAGTAAATATTCACTTAAAGAATGTGGCAGTCTTAAACATATAGACAGGTTCTCCATAGAAGACATTAACATCAATTGATTTCTAACCTCTCACTTCAGCAAAGACAATATCAAACAAAAAGCCAGCATATTTTGCCAAAGCCTTCCATACAAGGCCAAACATCAGAAAATATGCTTAGAATGCTGTCAATGGTGATCGACAAGCTTTTTTGCACAATTCTATGAAGAAAACAAAAGATTATGTAATTAGAGGTTATGTCACTATCGTGGCATATATGCCCGAGGTCTCAGTGATATATGGCCCGACCTTGGGAGGGACATTGATCTCTGAGAACCGAGGGCATATGTGCCACGATAGTGACATAAACGATTTATAACATACCTATGATGATGTAGACTGGTCAGAGAGTACCGTTTTCTTATAGAATTGACAAACAAATGGTTTGAAAATGATTGAAATGAGTTTATAAAAATTGCTCGCGCAGTTTTATCTTCGATTGATTGGTTATGACGTCAGCGCCTTGACCAATCAGAAAGTTAGCGGGCGCGGGCTTTTCAAAACTTATATTGGCCCGCTGTCTTGTGTACACTTTGCACTATACATCATCATAGGTATGTTATAAATATACTTACAGACCAGCGTAGCATGCATTACACTGTTCAATAATAACAACAACAAAAACACATTTACAACAACGAACATATAAACCACACATGGAATCTAGACAACATAGAACCAGTTACCACAAAACCAATATAGTACAAAACATTCATGCAAGTAACAAATTGCACCTGATAGATTCTGTATCATCCTTAGATACTATGATCACTTCTTTCTCTAAGGCTGGAATCTTTTCACTTTCTTCTCTTATGGTATCCAGGTTTGGAGCCTGTGCATATCTGTCATCGGCATCATCCTGCTGAGCCTCATCATTCATATTTCCATTAGTGTCTGTATCATTGTTAACCTGGTTCTCATCACTTGCATTAATATCCAAATCATTATTGTCATCTTTTGGCGTGATTGTTCCAGAATTTTCTGACGATTGGTCATTTGGCTTAAGTGTTGCTGAGGAATCCTGGGACACATCCGTAGATGACGCCACCAGAGAGTCCAAATCTTGCGAAGATGGATTTTTCGATGAGTCTGATTCCATATTTGTTGCGCTTGCTAATTGTTCTAGTCTAGCCCGTTCTAAAGCATCGTCCCATAATAAACTCTTATCACTGTCTGTTTGCTTTAATGAAGTAGCAGCAGAGCTTGGTTTACTGAAACAGCCAGCGCATACGTCAATATTCAATTAGTGAGCAATGGCAGCGTAGAATTGATATCATCCTCAGCCCTTATAATGATTTCAAAACAATCCCATCTCAGTATTATTGTTGAATGAAATGTATATGTGTTAATATACAAGTAACCTAGCAATCCTTATTAAAGTTAATTCATAATTTCCCTTCTTATATGATTGGACTATGAGCTGAAATGGGATTATGTAATTTACTGCCCCTACCAAGATGGATTTCCACCTATCCATCCACCATACAGGGTCTGATTTTAATTTCTATTTTTTATTTCTAATTTTTAATTTCTCTTCCATGATTATCACGAGAAACTATTGACCCCAGGAAATATAACTGGGGCAATTTTATCATTTATCCAATGGGTAGGGGTAGGTAGGTATAGGCGGTAAATTACATAATCCCGGCTGAGACCAAACCCAGGACCCCCTTTAAACCACTTCTATGAAACTATACATGTACTATCAAATGTTGCTAATATTATTGTTACCAACTAACTTAATTTTCTGTAATACCATGAGCATTATAGATACTGATACAGTAAGTGAAACAATGAATAATTTAAATAAAATATATATACAGGTGCATGTCCAGGAAAATATGGGCTAAGAACAATACACAAACTACCTGTAATAACAGCCAAATTGATATGGAAATGTCTGCTTTGCATATGTGAAAATTGTTGTAATTTTTAATAAAATAGTACTGTATTTATTTACATTTCCAAGTATACAATACATCACCGTGATGACAACATAATTCTCCATAATAATATGATCAGCATCATGATGAAATGCTTGCAAGATAAAAGAGATCTGCAAAATGACAGTTCGCCAAACAAACGACCATATTTAATAATATAAATCAATTGAATAATACTGTAAACAGATCAAGCTAATTTTGCAGTAAATCATGACCATGCATCCTAAGAATGATTTTGTATTGTTTTTTGGCCCACCCTGTACATGAATGATAATATTAACATTATGTTACATGCCTTATGATTTCTTATACCAGCTTGTTTGGGTGAGTACATTTAAAAAAGAATATAAGATGATATAAAAGGTAGTTATACACCAGAGGTCTAAAATTATTTAATGATAAAGAAGTACATATTATAATGTTTCTGATTAATATCTTGTTTTTTAATCAAATAGCAAAATGCAACAAAACATTAAAGTGTCATTATTGTGTAAGATTCATTGAATCTAACCAAATAATACATTTATTTAAAAAACTGTTTTCAGTTGAGTTATATTACATCTTTTCCAGGTGTATGACTCCCTTAATATTAAATCATGCACCATGATTTTCAATCTAAATAAAACATTAAAGTCAGAATACAGTGATTCAGAATAAGATACCGTACTATATTAAACAGAATTAAAGTAAAGTTTCAGTTAACATATCATTATAGTGGTTTTAAAGTATAATAGAAAAATAACACAAATTGATATATTATATTGAAATGAATAACAAGTACAAAAAATTTCAAACAAAACATACTCTCATGTATGTATTATATGTATATGTATATAAAATCATAGATGTACAACATCAAGAAACATATCAATTAAGGTAGTTATCCACCTTGAGGGCGAAACATTTTAAGAAGAGATAGAGTGAAATTTGAAATTTTTTACTATTTTACACATGTCTATTTTCTAAAAGGTCTAACAGTTTTGATGTATTTTATAGCAGATTAAAACAAAATTACATGTTTTTTAGGTTTTTCAAATTCAATAAAATGTACATTAAAGTGATATTACTAAGCATAAATCCTTGCATCCTTCTGAATGTACTGAATGTAAACAAAAATCTGATTTTTTCGAGAGTGACATCACATCACATGTATGGCCTAACACTGGATGCTCATCATGACATTGCATGGTACCATATTTTATGAGTGTATAACTACCTTAAATACAAGAACTAAAACTGCACAGCTTGAGGATTAAATAAAACAATACATTGCTACAACATCAAGACTAACTTTGCTATGAAAGCCTCAGCAGCCCTATTTGCTAAAACTGCTCTAAAAATATCATCCACTGCTACAATTGTTTGCGGTGTTGGCGTTTCAGAGCTCGGTGTTGATGATGGTCCTGGAGAGGTCGCTCCGTGCTCAGCACTTCACGATAAATCAGAAATTCACATTAATGCACTACAGAACTATGGAAATCCATTAACTGGCTATAAATCTGGCAGTGGTTTTGAGAATAACTCAGAAATCATTTCTGTATATAACAATACAGTAAAAGCTGTCTACGTGGAACATCTATGGTTCCTCTAAAAAGTGTTCCACTTGGGAGGTGTTTTACTTATAGAGGTTCGTTTAACATAAGTCAGTTAGTCTTGGTACTCTGGAAAGTGTTCCACTTACAGAGGTGTTCCACTTCTAGAGGTGTTCCACATTACAGATTTCTCTGTACATTTATCAAAAAATCATCTTATAATAAAACCCAACAACATTTTCAGCTTGAAAGAAACCAGTAAAATAAAGCATTTAAATATATTTTCATTCAAACAAATACATTGATATAAAACTTATTAGTTTTACTACACATAATTCATGAAAGAATTTGATGCACTTAGCACTTATAATGAGAAATGAGATAATAACCCCTCATGTTACATGGCATTCCAATCATCATTATGTCTAACAAAACAGCTAAAAGCAAATACCTGGGTACAAAATATTACACTATTCATGCATTTCCCAAAAATCTCCATAATATGTCATATTCCTGATGAATTTGTCTACAGTTCAGGATTTATACTTCATGCCTCTTTATTAACTATCCAAGTATATTTCACATATTTCCGGTCTATTGAGAACTTTCAAACACGATAACAGTAATATTTTCATCATGGTAAAAACTGGTTTTTACCAGGATGCCTCTACCAATTAGGCCACAACCCTACCAATTAGGACACAAAGAACATTAGAGATTTCTAAACAGGCTTTCATAATAGACCTGAGGAACCACAGAGATCCATACACAGGCTCCCAAGAGAGACATAACGTAGAACTTCAATAAAACAAAAACAAAAAATGGACCAAAACTTCATAATGAATATATGTTGAACACCTCAAAAATCCCTTTACACAGCTTTTTTGTCAAAATGCTTCGTGAAAAAGCAATTAAACCAGATCTAGCCAATGTTAAGTACAATAGTGTGGACATACCCATAGAATCAGCATGACCAAAATGAACGAAGCAAAAGATGAGGAACTTCACACACACAAAAAATCATAGTTATCTCCAAATCAGAACTCAAACCATACATAAATAGTTTTTCTGGGTTGCCACAACATTTTCAAATATATGCAGTCGTAAATCCTAATTAAGTGAGACAAAATAAAAAGCTAAATAAAGCAGAATTCCTGAAATGTAAAATATTTAAATTAATGAGCCCTCCCACAAAAATTCATTCTACAAAACACTATCAGATTTCCAATCTAGAAAATGAACTCATATGGGGTTTTATTTGGCTATTTACAAAACCCTTCAAATAAACCAGTATGTTGTCCAAACTATTGTATCAGAACATACATAATATTATATGCATAATGAGTTAAAATACCCCAAAGTTAAATCAATCAACTTTGTTGAATTTTCTTTGTATGATATTGCATTTTATGATTTATGAGCTTGAAATAAAAATGATTAATAAAAAATACCCCAAAAGTATTTCAAATAATTCATGACTAGATAACAGGATAATGGCAAAGCTAACTTCATTATACTATGGGATAATACTATGCAACTTGCATCTTCAAGGCCAGAACTTATAGACACTGCCTGTGATTATAATGTGCAACAAATTAAAGTTGTACTTACTGTGCAGCTAGTACTTGGTCCTGCGCCATCTTTAGTGGTTTATCCCAACCAGAGGTATCATTTTTACGGCTCATCCTAGAATACATATTTCCATTTTGATTTACTGATGAATCCATATTTGTAAAGCTCTGAATATTATGGTTATTGATGGCACATGCCAAATATAAGTCAGTGGTGTTTGTATTTCAGTTTAAAATTGAAATATGTGCCAAGGTGGCAAATACCTTCCTTATAGAATAAAAAGAAAGTTGAGCTTACTCATAATAGAGTCTTAAAAAATTCAATATGAATATTCTATATACAATATCTTAAGAACTAGAGTGTGCCTTTATATTAACATACAAAACACTTTCAATACATCTACTTTAAGTGTATTTTTTACATAAAACTACTTAAATGACAATTCATTTACTCAGTGGTGAATGATATATTGAATATAAGGCCCCTTAAACATACATGCAAAAAGTGGTTTCTTACAACAAGCACATTCAATAAGTTTCTAACAAGGTAAATGCACAATCTGTAAGGGAGTGTCCAATTCATCATTTTTTGACATAATGGGTTACTTTGACTGTTTTCTAGGCATTGTTCTTTTTAAATAACATAGTGGTAGAAATAGAGAAGTCAGTTATTACTGTATTCAATATTTGGACCTTACCAGTACTTGAAAAAAATAATATGAAATGAAACCACAAAAATTGTAACTTTAAATCGTATGTCTTTGACAATTACTATCTAGTTTGTAGAAGCATTCAGTTTTGTCATTATCAAAAATTATCAAAATGTCATTATCAAAATTGCAAGTCTTGTACAAGATCTAGTTACATACAAATAGAGTTTTACATCAATCCATTGGAAATCTTTGATAAATTGAATAAATAAAAAAAACATTTGTCAGTTTTCTCTTAAAACATTTCTTGCTCAACCAAAACTACAACAGCCATCTATATAACTGATGAGAGAGCAAGTCCTTAACTGAATCAGACAACTGGTATTTAAGTTATTGCCTTGACAGACATACCAGGTGAAAAAGCATCATATTACCTAGTGTTCTCAAGCATCATATTAATGAGTGTTCTCTTAATGTGCTTTGTATCTATTCCTATAGCATGGAAAAGCAGTTTATGGTGAAAATAATTACTATAAATATGCATACTACAAAATGTGCAGCAAGCACTGTGCAGATACAAGTTGAAGACATCATCAAGACAGAATATGACATGGTTACATAGATGCATGGTGAGATTCTACATAAGTGCAGCCTTATAACCTCACAATATGAGGTTGGAACAGTAAATTGACATTTCTGGTATAATAAAGTAAAGTTCAATGTTTCCTCTACTTGAGAGAGAAACCAGGTCTTTTCAGAATAGAATTTACAATCAGATGCTAATGGAAATACTGTATATTTGAATGGAACTAGTCCTTCTGGGAAATCAGGCAGAAATAAAACAACAACAACACACAAAGGAATGAATGTCAAAAGGGTATGGAAAGCAAGCATTTTATGTGCAGTTAATTTAGAATTATGGCCAGGAAGTTTTCTAGGTTAACGACTTATTAATGCCTCAGTCACATTTGGTCTTAGTGATAGTATGGTGAAGTTCCTTGAGACAGAGAAATATGACAGGTTCTCAGTCTCCCCAAAATACACCATACAACAGCCGCAAAAGATGTGACTGATAACATATGTGACTGTAGAAAGACTTATGGTGGCCGTAGGATTGTGATGTGCTGTAGAAATATAAGACAATACAGTTGTCGTAATGAATGCGACTGAGGCATTAGTTACAGCGAACTGTAGACACTACTAACTTTTTTGGTTTTGGTTTCAGTTCAGTCATCACATTTCCACAGATGTCTTGTGACAAGGTCTGACTAAAATCATCTACCATTTGATTACCAGTGAAAGAACCTGTAGAATTTTCCCTAACCCGATCAGCAGAAGTCTCAATGACTGGGTCATTCGCAAAAGATACTAATTTTGGAGTACTTGGAAAGGAGTGGCCAATATGATGTCTTATATTACTAGAAAAAAGAGATAACTGGCTCTAAAACAACATAGACTTATATAGCTATTAATATTACTATTTTAATTTAAGGGGAAGTTGTTTTCATAAAATGTCATTTTGGTGTTGTTTTCCTGAATTATTTTCTGTAATACATTAAATACAACAATGCCGTTTCTATTCACAATTAAAGGGATGCTTGTGTAAGAAGTAGAATGAGTCTTGCCTAAAATAACAGTTATACAAGTAGTTACTGCATGCATAAACAAAGCATTAACATGACAAAATGTCACCACCTAGTTGCTCACAATATTATGAGTTCAATCTTAAGTCAGATTTGAATTTCTGAGAACATGTTTGTTTGAACTTGTAATTTTGAAAAAACTAATTGGTCAACTTGAAGCAAGTTGAAATAAAAACTTTTTTACCCCGAGAAGGCCATTGATGGTGAAATCTCAAATCTCAAGTCAGATGTGAACTTCTGAGAACTTGTAGATGATTTTGCAAAAAAGGTCAATTTGAAGTAAGATGAGAAGGTCACTGAAGGTCAAATCTTTTTTGATCTTGAGAATGTCATTGAAGGTCAAATCTATAGCCAGATTTGAACTTCTGAGAACTTGAAGATGATTTTGAAAAAAGATTGGTCAATTTGAAGCAAGTTGAAAAAATAACTTTTTACCTTTTTTGACCTTGAGAAGGTCATCGAAGGTCAAATCCAAAATCAGATTTCTGATAACTTCTGATAACTTGTAGATGATTTTGAAAAAAATTGGAAGTCAGTCTAAACAGTATTTGTTTAAAGTTATTGGAAGTTGTAAGAATTTGTTACAAATGCCGACCGCCAATGGTAAAAAGTTGCACATTTGGATTTAGGTTAAAAGATTACATCTACTAAGCATCTCTTTAAATAAAACACTAATAAGTTACATTTATTCAACTTAACAACCAAAATGAAATTTTTGTCAAAGAAACTCAAAATAAAAAGCAAGTATCAAATCAAATCTTATAATGGAATTAAATTAGCCTCCTAAATAAATATAATAAAAAGGGAATAAATCAATACTGAATAAATATGTACAGAACTAAATATTTAGGCCTATATAAAATTACTTAAATGGAGACTTAATAATCAATTAGCAATATTGTGACCATGACCAGGTACAAAAAAATGAGGCAAAAAATATGTTGAAAACATGTTGACCTTTCTACCTATCTATTATATAGTAAATAAAAAATAGATAGAAAGGTATCAACTTCTCTTTTACCTCTATACTTTTCTTACTCTGGCCATGGCCTAAGGTTGATTCTTTACATCATGGTCATGTCCAACCATCATTCTTTTTTAAATGACAACTTACATACTTAAATCATAATTTATGACCATTTAAAAAAGACCCTTTATTATAGTGTTAGTACTAACTCTGTATAGATGTCCTGAAGCACCTCTGTGATAATAAATTCAGAGAAAAGTTCACCAAAGATCCCCATGTTAATCATGCTATGGTTGCTAAAAGTAAAAAGAGTGATATAAGAAGAATATGCAAAGATGTCTACAAAGCAAAACTCAAAAGAAGAAACACTAAAGATAATTAAGAGGATTTGTAGTTTGCAACAAGTACCTCTTCATCCTCTTATTCTTTTTTTAAACAGAGGATATTCTTTTTTTAATCAGAGGATATTCTTTTTTTAAACAGAGGATATTCTTTTTTAAACAGAGGATATTCTTTTTATCCGATGGATACTGAATATATATCGGAATAAAACCACAAGATAATTTTGATATGTGCCATTAAGATCATATCCTGCTCATATGACATCCTAAAAATTGTATCCGACTCATATGTTGTCTTAAAAATAGTAAACGTCGGATACGATTTATTAGTTTTGGATTTGGGGACAAATTTCCATTAGTTTTGATTTTTGGTGGTTTTCATTTTTATCCACTCTTGGATATTGCAGATCTCCACTCATTTGCTGCGCTTATTCATGGAGATGGGTGATATCCACACATGGATAAAAATGGTATCCCTCAAAAATCATAGGATATCCTCTATTTAAACAGTGAACAGAAGAGGAACATTCACTTAATGCTATAAATATAATTGGTAAGATTTAAAAAAGAAACAAAGAAGCAATGAAAAAATACAAAATGGGTGAGCTAAAAATATGACTTGATTCCCAAAGAGTAAGAGCCAAATAATTTCAGACAATGACTATAACGTGCATCATGACTTTTTCCTGACCATGACAGAAGGTATATATTTATTATCAATCCATTATCTCCGAGAAAAGTAAGTATCAAAACAATAATACTTAAGGTGATAGGATTCCAGATAGCGAAGGGACAAACCATCAACAATCATACTTCATGATCATGAATTTGTCGTCATTTTCACCATAAGGGGTCGACTTGGTCTTCTTTCAGTATCTTGAAAATCACTGGATGCACGTCTCCAAGCATATTCAATTTTGCATCAAATATTATATAGCCCATACTTTCTTACACAGGTAGGTATATATACCACAATGCAACTCCATCCCACAACATAAATAATACATTCCCACAATACCACACTTTCTTACACAGGCAGGTGTATATATACCACAATGCAACTCTATCCCACAACATAAATAATACAATCCCACAATGCCACACTTTCTTACACAGGCAGGTGTATATATACCACAATGCAACTCTATCCCACAACATAAACAATACAATCCCACAATGCCACACTTTCTCACACAGGTAGGTGTATATATACCACAATGCAACTCCATCCCACAACATAAACAATACGATCCCACAATGCCACACTTTCTTACACAGGCAGGTGTATATATACCACAATGCAACTCTATCCCACAACATAAACAATACATTCCCACAATGCCACACTTTCTTACACAGGCAGGTGTATATATACCACAATGCAACTCCATCCCACAACATAAATAATACAAAACAAATCCCACAGTGCCATGCTTTTTTACACAGGAAGGTGTATATATCCCACAATGCCAGGGTACAATCACATCAAAGGGAAATAAGGTTTTTGATAATATATTCTAAATTCACTTATAATTCTACAAACCTGCCATCTCTCACAACCGTTTCATAATATAATTTATTCTTGCCCGTCACTAATTCCTTCAGTTTGCTTATAAAAGATATAAAAAATAAAACAAAAATAAAAATCAAAGCTATATGAAGGACACGATGCAATCAAAATCATTATCTAAAAGACTACTCAAAAATCAAATCTATAAGCTTATTATGAAATGACCCAAATATGTTAGTATAAGTCTACCTTATTTTCTTTGCTGGTCGTGTTTCCTCTTGTATCTGCAAGAAAAATAAAATGTTTACAAAATATTCAAAATATTTATAGTTATTCAGTAAAGGGCCAATAATTTCAGATAGAAGACTACATTGTATTTCAATTAATGATAAGTGATATTGGAGTGGTTTATTATATATGATTAATATTTTATGTCTATGGCTACCTATGCGAGACACTTGCAAGTAAGATTTGATCTAAAATAGGCTGAATATTATTTTGTATATATTTTTATTTTATTTCATATATTATAACATTTAGTATCATATTATGTATATCAACTGTTATTGGTTGATGTGACAACACAAACTGTCCTTAATGCCCTTATTCACAGCCAAAATAATGCAAAGATGACAAGCAGACCCTACCTTACTGTAGTAAGCATCATCTTCTTTGGTCCATGGCACTTTCTTGTCACCTAGTCTCTGTATTTGTTTGACTCTCTCATCACTAAGTCCTGTGTGTGCTTCACCATTTGTTACTAAGACCTCCTCTGTAAGTGTCTCACCAGTCTCATTCTGGATTAAAGGACTGTGGGAGTCTTCAGCCTCCTGTGCAAATGCAGTTGGTTCTGGGGTCTATAATACAGTGATAAACATTTTTAGATTTTGTGTGTAAGTAGGGCCACTATAAAGAGACTAATGATGGCCTCACCCTCTCAAGGAAGCAGTTCTTCCTATGCCTGCTGTGTTCAACACAACAAGATATACCAATTATGTCATCACAAATTCTTTCTCTGTGAGTAAAAGAATTCTAGTCTACCCTATATATGGAGCCTGTATGGACTAGTGGTGCAACTCGAATGCCAGTACTCGCCACTCACTCGTTGAACCTGTCCAAGATAGTTACTCGAGTACGTTTTTTCAAACTCGAGTAGGCATGTTTTATTATGAAGTGTTTTAAACCCCGGGAATGATCATTTTTGGATGCACTGAACGAAACAAAGTATCGATTCCGGAAACAAAATGAAAATATTTAAAAACAAACAAACAAACACAATTATGGCATGAATAACTACATTTATTCTCACTAAATTGATACAAACTATATATAACATCAATAACATATAGAAGAAACAAAGAAATTGTATCTATTTGGTCTTCAAACAGTCGACTAGGTGAGCTTTTTATTTTTTTTAAATTTTTCCCTCATTTTTGCGAGTGGTACTCGATTACAGTGGAATTTTCACACTTTCTACTCGAGTAGCATTTTTCTTGCGAGTTGCACCACTAGTATGGACTGGAACTTGCTAGAGACAACATTACTTCAAAGGCTATACAGACAGTAGTATGCTGTTTTGATTGTATGAGTTTTTATCATGTAATGCTAACACTATATACAAAGTACAAAGTTTGTCATTAGACAAATTGGTGCAATACCTCCTTCTGTTAATGTTATTATGGCTTATTCATGCCATGCATTTTCTTGAACAACTGATGCATCTTCAAATCATGGCACATCTAGATTCACCTTCATGCTTATCAAATCAGACTTAAGTTAAGATTGTTGTTCTGTTTTTAATACTTGGCTTTGGGGCACACATTCCAAAAACCTAAGCTGCGTGCGCATGTTAGTAAAATTCCAAAGCCCTGCTTATTTTAAGCAAATAATCAAACAGGCTTGCTTGATGTAAAGTAAGAAATCAGAAAAGCTTGCATGATATAAGTAAGCATTCCATCACAGGTGAACATGTTAAAAGTAAGTATTCAAAAAGGTTTGCATGTTGTAAGTAAGCATTTCGAAAGGTTAACATGTTAAATAAAGTATTCCAAAAGTTGTGCACATCATAAGTGATCATTCCATAAGGCTTGCATGTTAAAGAAAGCATTCCAAAAGGATTGCAGATTATAAGTAAGCATACCAAAAGGCTTGTGTGTTTTAGGAAATCATTCCAAAAGGCTTGTATGTTATAAGTAAGCATTCCAAAAGGTTTGCATGTTAAAGAAAGCATTCCAAAAGGCTTGTGTATTTTAAGTAAGCATTCCAACGGCTTGTATGTTATAAGTAAGCATTCAAAAAGGTTTGCATGTTAAAGTAAGCATTCTGACGGCTTGCATGTTAAGTAACCATTCCCAAAGACATATGCTACTTACATCTACCAGTAAACCATTAGCCTGTTGTTCTATCATATGAGGCAAGACTTGTGTGTTAGTTTTGAGCAATGAGGACCTGGCCTCATTGTTATAGTGCTCCGCCTGAATGAAATGTATGATATTAGCTAAGAATATGAGTATGAAGAGATCTATAAAAAGAAGAATTTAAGGAATCGATTATTTTATACAGAATATAAATTATCATTCTGTCAAGAATTGAAACAATCATTATCTCATGATGAGTTTAAATGATCCTTCAATCGTGAATTTAAATGACAGTTGATATCAAGAATACCAGACAAATGATGAAGCAATTTTTTTTAAAATCCAGATAAAAAATTAGATGACAGATTGCAGGAATACCAACTCTCAAGTCAGTGGCAATTTACGTAAGCCTAAAATGTAGATGAATGATGGTAAGAATCAAAGAGCAGACTTAAATTTTTATTTTCAACACCATAAGTATATAAAAATGCTAAATGCTTATCTATTCTATGCTGCCTATTGAAGTGCAACATAGACATTGAGCATCTTTGTTATACTTAAATAGTACAGGGAACACTGAGAAAATATAACAAACAAAATTTTTTAAAAAATTTTAAAAATCAAAAAGATGGCCTCAAGATGGCTCTTGACACACCAAACTACACTTTTATATTAAATTTCAGAGCAGGCTGGTTAATAAATTGGTAAAAAATTTAATTACAATTTTAGACATCTAATTGAGCGAAGATAAAACTAAGAGAGAACTACATTTTTGTACATTTTTTTGTACATTTTTGTGATAAGTATGTGGGTAAGATGTTGAAAACTGACAATACCTGCTGTGAGAAGTATATCAGCTGTGTTTCCTTTTGAGATTGGTATGATTTTAGTGCCTTATAGCTGTTTTGTTGACTCCAACGTCTGACATGTTTCTGTATCGTTGTAGCTGCCTGGTCGACCCGTGTTAAACGTCGTTGTTTCATAGCTTGCATTCTGGCTCGTACCAGAAACCCTCTTATCACTAAGGAAGGAAATTTGAGAATTAATGCATTATCACACCAACAATTGAAAATTTCTTGTACTGGTACAAGAACAATTTAAGAACTCAAGTAGCATTAAAACAAGATCTAGAAATTGGTGATTACACACCCAGAGTAGCAAATACCACCTAAAAAATGTTTTGCTGGTAAATAGTGTTTGGAGATGACACAATATTATGACGTGATAATAATGAGCGAAAAGGTTAACAAAACGTTGAATAATAGTGTTCAACTTATATGTTGGAGTATGCTCGCCTGATTGTATTTTTTCTTCAGACTAACAAAAAAAGTATGAACCTTTGTTGACAGTCAAATTTACATCCTTCCACTATAGACCTTTGGTTAAAGCTTTCAAAGTTGGGAATTAATTTAAATATCAATAAATGTCACATAGATTCCCAAAAAGGTTTTGTTCCTGACATTAAATGATCATACATTGTTCTTTCCATAAAAATTCTTCTACAAAACAATCCTACAAAGTACTGCAAATCCCTTTTAAATAAAAATGATTAGATTTAAAACCTCCCAAATTGACTCATATTGGATAGATAATAATGCTTTGAAAGGTAAATTTCTCTATAAATACATGTTTATTTAGAAAAACAAAGATAGATTCAATACATTTTAGCAAAAATTCTGTTTTTAAAATCTCTTAGATAGTGACCAGATCAGCTTGACCTTGGATTTTTAACACAGGCCATCAATTTCACTCCCAAATATGGAAGGCACAGAAATAGAGCTGTCAATCAAAAAGTAAACTGTGTCAAAGGGAAAGTTATATTTAACTTTGATTGTTGGTCAGATATGTGTTAAGTATTTTCAGACTCAGAATTGAGGTTTCATTAATAAGCTCAAAATTGAACTTATAAAAAACTAAATGTGTACAGGTCATTGTGACCTATTTATAATAAGATTTTAAAATATCCATTGATTTTTGATCAACTGACTTATAAAATGCTAATTTTTATTTATATGTCTTGTACTTGAATATTTTGTGAAAATGTTTCAGGAATACATTTTTATCATAAATCATTCCCCACACCGCATATAATTTTGCTGATTTCAAATATCTTGCTACCTTTTTAAAAGATTGTAAAATTCCATGACTATTTTTGCAATTATTGAGAAAATAAATGAAAGAAACACTCGATAATGAATCTTCTAAGAATAAGGGCATGGTTTAAAAGAGAAAAATGTTTATATTATTTTAATTTGGATATTGAGTAAGCATCAGGCTTTTGGGTATATTATGTGGAAATGATGCTAAGGTGTAGCAATTTTTTGTACCATTATCAATAATATGATTATTTTACACAGGACTTGTAGTCTATTGAGTGTATATGTCATTTGGAGAAAAAAGCATATGTATTCTATCTATCAACTTACAGGCTTGCAGTCGAACTATTTTGTATAGTTTACTATGCTGAGCTTTTTTGTAGCTTTTTCTTTGGAAGTAACCTCTTAGATTTGCCTGGATTATGACGGCAGATTTATGTCGCTTTTCTATGACTGGTTGATATTTCTGTCTTGTCAGATAGCCTCGAATACCTGTAATAAATAAATATTAGAAGAGTGAATTAAATAATTAAATAGCAACAAAAGATTTAGAATGAAAAACTTTATTTTCAGCAAACATTAAGAGAAAGCTGCTCTGGGTTACCATCATCCTTATAAATCATAATAATATTCCTAGCCAGTATTAAAACATACAAATTGCCTATAAGCTTTACATTTAATGTCAACTTGATCTTTCGTAATAATGGAGACTATGGCATTTGTATTAATATTTTTTTGAACAACCCTCGTCAACCCTCATAAATATTACAATCTAAATCCATCCCTTGAATAAGGTATGAACAGATGAGCCATCATATTTTGAATGTGTTATATATCATCTGATTCTAACATATTATCTGATTCTATCGTTATATTAACTAATTCTACCATTGTATTATCTGATTCTACCATTATATTAACTGATTCTAGCAGTAGGTTAAGATATTACACTTTTTACTAATTCTTAAGTACATTTGTAAGTTTATACTTATAGGTCTGTAGTTACTCTGAAACATATCCACTAAATTAAAGAATAAATTAAAGAAAAAACCTGTAACACTGTATTACAAACTATATGTCATCAGTAGGTTTAATTAATCCTAAACTTACCAAAAGTTCAAAGACTATTTGTAGACTGTCATATACACAAGAAGTCTATGAATTACATTATATAATATTGCTCCATGCAATGTTTGGTGCTATTTAAAAACTTTCACCAAAAAGAATTTATACTAATGTCTACCAAGGTTACATTTTACAACACATGTTACTGTGTCCTTTATACTTAACTACACGTAATTTCAAAGGCGACATTTATAACCTAATCTAGATTAGTGATGAATTAATTTATTATTAACTACTCGTAAGATGATCTAGTCGTAAGTATATTTTAGAAGTGGAGTGAATTAATAAATTTTATACTAAATATACTTTTAAATTCTCAATTGACAGTTTAGCTGCTTGATAAGTTAAACTTGTTTATTTTAAGATAACATTCTTGAAAATCTATCAACCTTAATTGTGCTGTATTGAGTTTAGGTAAATCAGTATTGTTAATAATTAAACTTAATTACAGTAAGTCATGGGGAGTTCTGGACAAGCAAAACATAGGTAAGTTCTGGACTAGTAAGTCCTGATGAGTTTTGGACTAGTAAGTCCTTATGAGTTCTGAACTAGTCAAGTTTTGGACTTGTAAGTCCTGGGGAGTTTTGGACTATTAAGTCCTAATGAGTTCTGAACTAGTCAAATCCAAGAGTTTTGGACTAGTAAGTCCTTGTGAGTTATGGACTAATAAGTAGTGGGGAGTTTTGAACTAGTGATCTGAACGTAGTACTAGTACATGTATCAAATTTATATTATTTTTTCACATCTTATGTCTGTTCTTGAGCGTAAAATATTAGAGTGCTAAGTTATTTCCCCTTTCAAAGATCCAACAATATTAAGTGGCTTTTAATTCAAATCTTAGTACATACATGTTTGAATGACTGTTGCAGCTACTTTTCTCTTCTTGGTACTTCTCATATAAATCTTCCTTGCTACATAGCCTCTTAGGAATGATTGTAAAATAACAGCACTGTGTTGACGTTTAGCTACAAGTTTCTTGAATCTTTGCTTCTGGAGCCACATCCTCATCACTGACTGTGCCAGTACAATCTTCTGCTGGTGTTCCTCAAACTTCCTCGATAGCTCCTCAATGTGGTAATACTTCAAGAATACCTAAATCAAAGAGATAGTAATACTTCAAGAATACCTAAAGTACAGAGATGTGGTAGTAATTCAAGGTTTGAAAGGTGCAGAATGGTCTTATAGTACCTGAAGCACAGAAAGTATGGCTTGAGGATAATGGCCTTACCCAGTTTACTCCAACATACTGTATAAGTGGTATTTAATCCGAGCGGTTAATTTGCCGAATGGTCAAATTTTATCAATTTCCTAATTTTAATTTTCCTAATGACAAGAAACTTCCCATTTGATAACATTATGAAGGCAATATTTCCGACATTTAATTTTCTGAGCCTGTTAAAAATTAGGCAATAGGCAAATTAAATGATTAGGCAAAATTACCACTTATACAGTATTTGTTTGCACTCACTGAGGTCTATGTATAATAACACAAGAACACTTGATAACAACTTTTATGAAGAAAATATTAATGATCATTTTTCATTAAAATACATGCTTTGCTAAATTGCCACATAATCATGAGGTTGTTCTTAAAATCATTGATGGTTGTTCTCACCTTTGTCTTCCCAATAGCCCAGTCCTTAAGACCAATCCTTGTAAGCAGTGTTCTACAGCTGTCCTTGGAAACGACCACCTTCTCAAGCCAGTTAAAAGCAAGCACATAATACCTGAAATAAAACAATTCTACATGTGTATAAAGAATACAATGCATAAACTCAAAATGAAAAAGCAGCTCTGTGATCATATTGCAAATGAGAAACAGAACTGAAAAAGGAAGTGTGTGCAACTAAGTATGATGTGTAGTCTTCTATAGATAATGTCTTTTAAATGAGCTCAAAATTTAACATTAATGTTCTTAATATTCAAAAGCTATATCTATTCTGTTGAGTAGCCAATGCATCTGATCTTACCTCTTGAGGAACTCTGATATAGGGACCCTATGTGAGTATCCCATACGCCTGATCTTGGTGGTTTCCAACACCCCAGTGTAGCGCAATTGAAGTAAGACTTTGTCAGTGTCATACAACCCTGCAGCATTCTCAACATTGGGTCTGATACACCTGCAAAAGTCAATTACAAATAATATACAAGAAATCAATATGCAAAATGGCACCACCTGCCAGTTGTTACAGACACCAGACTCCAAACGCTGAACACCAACCACCGAACGCCATCCACAAAAAAGTTGGAGACTATAATAATATGTCACCACTTCTGGAGCATGTTAAACTAGCAGTGCACCCATTGATGGGTGTCAAATCCTTGATGTACAATTTCTGAATTTATAGACCTTCATGGGAATTTTTGTTCCCATAAGGTTTAATATCCTTTAAAACTAATACTTTAAGAATCATCTATATTCTAAGATAATATAATTGATCTTTGAGCCTGAAGTCTCGTATATTGAACTTTAAGGGCACTCTGGTATTTTACCTAAATCTATCAAAACATCAATATACCTTTTGATGACAATTCAGGTCAATGATATGTTTAGGATTCTCAATAGCTGATCTATATCACATTGTATTAAATACCTACCTAACAAAATGAGGAGTACCAGCCACCATCTTTGAGAGGAGGTCCATAAGTGAATAGCGGAAATATGTCGCCACTGTTTGCTGAGACCTTGTTTGACTTGCATTGGCAGATCCACCCTGCAATTACAAGATGAAACTATTACTCGCCAGACATGATAAATTTACGATAAAGGCATCACAATCTTTGAACAAATGAGTGTTTTTTATTCTTTCATTTGACTTTCATTTGGTTAATCTTTATAGCGTGGAAATGTTTATTCGAAATCCTCAAAAGAATCATAACCAATATGCAACAATTAGTGTGAGTATTGAATGCAGTATTTGATTTGTTGGTAATTCTCAACATTTATTACTAACTTATACCCATACCTTGCTCCCATGGGCACTCCTGATAGAGAAGGTAGAACCCGTTGAACTGTTTGGTGAGTTGATTGTACTAGATGGCGTACTTGTACTTCCCCAGGCCAGGGCACCTAAATACATTACAATAATACAGGGTGTCCAAAAAAAACAGGACCGTAAGAAAGTTGAATAACTCGGTCAATTGTGCATATTTTGCCTTGAAATTTTAGAATTATTTAGGTCATTCAATGTGAATTTTGTTCTGAAAGTTTGATGATAATCTGTTTATTGTGTCAAAAACTAGTCCTTTACAAAACATACTCAAAGGGCACTTCTCATCTCTATGCACAAACGAATCCTGCGAACAAAGTTGTTAATGACCCTGACCTATTCACATAAATGCGGATGGTAATAATTAGGGTAGTTATTGCCCTCTTAAGATTGTTAGGGGTTTGTCAGTATTCACACTGGCTTTGAGAAATCCTCAAAGATAAAAGTTTGGGGGATTTAGATCTAGCGAATGAGCTGCCCATATGGTTTTCGTTCTGCAACTGATTTGCTAACCACCAAAGCATTGCCTAAACCATATCAGCATATCATTTGCAGTCTCGGTATGGTATTGGCTTGTTGAAACCACTGCTTAATTATCTCCTTAGATGTCCCTTCTGGTGTTTAGTGACCTCCAAAACTTGGTGAGAACTTACTGGTCCTTGTTCATGGTGATAGCACGTCCTCAGTCACCTTAGAACCAAAAGGGACCGATGATTCCATGTTTCCTCATTGCCACCCAGGCAGTGCATTGTTCAGAATGCAATGGATGCTGCAACACTTCATCAGGAGGATGTAAGCCCCAGTAACAATTGTTCTTGGAACAAACGTGTCCATTCAGATAGACATGTGTGTAGGAGGATCATCAACAACTTCGTTCGCCAGATTGAATTATGCATAGAGATGAAAGGTGCACATTTGGGGCATGTTTTGTAAGGAGCTGTAGTTTTTGACTCAATCGGTAGATTGTTATCAAACTTTGACAACAAAATTCACATTGAATGAAAGAAATAAGGCAAAGTATGCAAAATTGACCGAGTTATTCAACTTTTTTACGGTCCTGTTTTTTTTTGGACACCCTGTATTACAGCAAAACCTGTGAAGTGAAACACTCTAGAAATGGAACACCTCTGCAAGTGGAACACTTTTCAGAGTTCCAAGATGAATCTCTATAAGTGGAACATCTCACATGTTGAACACTTCTTGGAGGTACTATTACACACATTCACTTGTTATTCCTGTACCTAAATTATTTGAAATAGGGGTTATTTACTATTACAAACACTGTTACAGGCAAGGACGTTTCATTTTTACATTTAGAGTACAGTGTATATCTTGTACCGAATTACATATCAACTGATATTGTAACAAGAACAATAGATACAATAATATAATTGTTTGATCAACCCCATAGTACAAACAGGACATTCACCATTCAAGCATAACTATAATTATTACATTTTATATTCAAAATATGTGCATATGTACATGTATGTGCGTTCCGTTAAAAAATAAGAAAAATAAGAAAAAGTATAAAAGTTATCAGTGTAAGTTGTTAATAAATGCAGTAATGGAATCGAAGAGTAAAAAACTTTGGCATCAGATTACAAATCGTTGAACAATCCAACAAATAAAACATTAGCACGTAATATGCACTTCTTCAAGTCGAGTCCATCCAGTTTTTCAACATTCCAAGCACTTTTCCAGTAATTAAGGACCAAAGTTGTCGTAGTGATCCCCCTGGAATATTTTGAATTAAAACTAAACCGCCCCACTCCCCCCCTCCCTTAGCAAAAGTTGGCTATGGGCCTGTGGCTGCTTGATTTCTCTGATTTGAAGATTTAATACACACTTTACTGTCAGTTTACTTGGTAGAATGATTGCACCCATTTTTAAATACAAGAATATGTGTATAAGCATATAACAGTATTGTTTACAATATCACACCAAGTACATGATAGTTTAATGTACACTGCGTTGACATCTAAATTCTACAGTAGGAATCCCATGATACATTGTGATTATCTAAGAATGTGATATGTGCGTTATAACTAGAGACAACTGCCCTAACTAGAGACAACTAACAAATTACATGGCGTTCCAACTTCGTTTCCAAGCATACTAATGATTAAGACATAAGACATTATATAGAGCACACAGTAAAACCTGTATTATCTAACACCCGAACCTACTCCCATATAATTAGTAGATTCTCCAATTGCTAGGCACAAGGCACATCAGGTTTCACTGTGAGAGCAGATTTTATGACATGCTCACACTTAACACACAGAACGAACTTCACAAAATGAACATCTAATTTACCAAGAGTATAGTATTCTTTTCTCAATGCTAATCCCCCTGTATGAGATAAAATGAATACCATGTAATTATGATACAAAATACAAGTACGAAAGGCTGTAAGTGGAACACCTCTGTAAAAACAATACATCTGTATATGGAACACTTCAAAGTCCAATGACCTCTGTAAGGGGAACACCTCCCAGGTGGAACACTTTTTAGAGGTACCAAAGGTGTTTCACTTAAACAGATTTTATTGTATACAGCTTCATACTTGAGCTAAAACTATGTGAGCAGTCAGGGGAACAACAGTGAGGATAGTGTTAATGACTATAATTGTAAATTGCTGTAAAAAAGGTAGAAAAAAAATATGACTGCATATCTAATGTAAACAGAAATAATTATTTTAAGTCTTTTGAATTAAGAGACAACAGTACGCTAAGAAAAAATCTTAAAAAATATCTAAAAAATATCAAAAAAGTTGAAAGTGACAAAATGTTGGAAAAAAAGTTGCTAGAAATAGTTCCAAAAATGTGAAAATTTAATACAGATGCCAAATGCTAATGCTGCCTGTCAAATATCAGTGAAAAAATGGTGGTAACATAAATATGAACACTTTGACGATCATATAAATATGATACTTAACTAGAGGCTTACTAAACATAACACTTTTAAGTACAAAATAAACCTCAATCACAATAAAACATTAAAATAATCTATAGGTAGTAATGTCCTTAGTAACAAGTAACTAGTAACGTGACATGGCACTAGACTCATGTTTAATTCAAACACAATCATCCATATATGTGTGGGGCGCTTACCTGTTTTGGTGAGGGGATTCTGGAAAAGTGTGCGTACGAGTGAGATTTCTGACATACGGAGAAGATTCACAATTTCTGGAGGTAGGCGATCTCGATTTTTCTCAAGGAATTTCACAGCATCATATTCAACCTGCATGTACAGTACATTGAAATTCGAGAGTTATTATTGCAATATATGGACAAATATTTCGGTTAAAGATCTTAGATCACAAGAATGAACTGTTGGCTGTTAATTTGGAATCTGCTATTTCTAGGAATTATGATCTGACATTCGAACATGACTGTATTCACGCCTTCTATAATCTGTAAAAAAAGTCAACATTTCACCCGGGGTATATTGGCGAACAATGCCCCTGGTAATACGAGTAATGTGTGACGTCATAACGGCGGGCCATAGTAATGGTGGACCATAATGAATATTCGAAACATTTTGGTGAATTTTCATTTTCGAATCGTAATATAGACCCCAGAGCAGGTGTAATATCGTCAAATACACCTCTTAGGGCTAGGCACAAAAGCTTTCGAAAACTTTTGTGCCTAGCCCTGCGGGGTGTATTCGACGACATTACCCCTACTCTTCGGTCTATATTTCTTAATTCTATCACTATGACAACTTCTTAATTGTGACATAATAAGCATAGTACATACCCGCCCTGCATAATGTTCAACCTTGAAGCTTAGTGAACCATCCCCTTTAGCTGGGGTGTAATAAGGAGACCTGATGTTGTTAGAAAACTTGTCTGAAAACAAGTAAAATGACAATATAGGATGGGGCAATGCATCCATACAAAATAATTGAATGTGCAACAGGTAATTGGTATTGCATGGAATAATTCGTTTAATGATATCATTGCTAGGCATTGACTTTGATCAGAATCCAAGAACACAGGCAATACCGAGTGCAACATGACTTTTATCCTATGCCAAGTAGAGTTTTAGTGATATAAGTTGGTAAGATATATCCTGTATCCTGATTTTGAGGTTTCTATATCCAGAACCTCCATATCTCCCGCTTTGGTGCATATCTTCCCGCCTCCGGTGCATATCTTCACACTCCCGGTAATGCAATAAAATGACTTTGCATCTGACTGATTTGTTTATTTTTACACCTTGTACTATTGAAATGGCCATATGCCCCTGAAAACTCTACTTGGTATTGGATAACGCAATTATGTACGGTTGGTTTGGATATTGGGTTCATCCCTCGTGATATATCCTATGGTCCCTCAGGTAGATACGCATATCTCCCTCTGGATAAACCCCATATCCAAAACCTCACAGTACATAACCCTTATTTGTCGATTCAAAAGTTGAGAGGTGTGAAATATATACATACTGGGATTCTAGCTATGCTGTAATAATTGTATGTACTATTTTAAGCTTGATCAATATTTCATCTTCAGGAGTGAGCGCATACATACTTCATGGTTTCACATAATGGTCATAAAACATACCTATCAGGGATTGATCTGTGGCTTTAGGGAAATGGCTTTCCTCATCAAGTAAAGCTAGCAGCCCGACTGGTTTAGTAAGAAACATATCAAGCACTGGTCTATTATCAATGAATTCCACATCAGTGGCTTCTATGCCCTCATTCTTGTATTCTTGCTGGAATGCGCAATTAATTAGAGGTTATGTCACTATCGTGGCATATATGCCCGAGGTCTCAGTGATATATGGCCCGACCTTGGGAGGGACATTGATCTCTGAGAACCGAGGGCATATGTGCCACGATAGTGACATAAACGATTTATAACATACCTATGATGATGTAGACTGGTCAGAGAGTACCGTTTTCTTATAGAATTGACAAACAAATGGTTTGAAAACGATTGAAATGAGTTTAGAAAAATTGCTCGCGCAGTTTTATCTTCGATTGATTGGTTGTGACGTCAGCGCCTTGACCAATCAGAAAGTTAGCGGGCGCGGGCTTTTCAAAACTTATATTGGCCCGCTGTCTTGTGTACACTTTGCACTATACATCATCATAGGTATGTTATAATATAAGTTATAACATACCTCTGATGATGTATAGTGCAAAGTGTACACAAGACAGCGGGCCAATATAAGTTTTGAAAAGCCCGCGCCCGCTAACTTTCTGATTGGTCAAGGCGCTGACGTCATAACCAATCAATCGAAGATAAAACTGCACGAGCAATTTTTTTAAACTCATTTTAATCATGTTCAAACCATTTGTTTGTCAATTCTATAAGAAAACGGTACTCTCTGACCAGTCTACATCATCATAGGTATGTTATAAATCGTTTATGTCACTATCGTGGCACATATGCCCTCGGTTCTCAGAGATCAATGTCCCTCCCAAGGTCGGGCCATATACCACTGAGACCTCGGGCATATATGCCACGATAGTGACATAACCTCTAATTATTGAATGATTTGAAGTGCAATACAGGATATATTCTTCTCGAGAAATTCTGTATTGGAACAAGACGAAGTGTGATCGCGTGATCTTAGGCCAATGCATTTTACTAAGGAAATAATCCCTAAGAAATATTCTGTATTCTCTGTATTGTTACTGAGATTGTCCCCTCCGTACCAATATTTTCTTTATTGCTATTGAGATGAACACTGGGGATAATCTCAGAAGCAATACAGATTGGTACAGCACAAAAACTGACCAATCAGAGGGCTTCATTTTACACATCATACGATAAATAAAAATATAACATGTTAGTTAGTTCATCATCATAATGCAGTACAGCAGAATCTGTATATCTCAGCAGCTCTCTAACTCGGTTTAACTCCACTTGATATGAACACTATGTTTCTGAACAAGCAACGTTGGAGCCCCAGTCCCAAATTAGAAAGGTTTTATTTCAAGTTAAAATGAAAAACATTTATCACTCACCATTTCCCAGGCAAAAATGTGCTGGTTGAAGTAATACTGGATCTGCTCATTGGCAATGTTAATGCACAACTGTTCAAATGAGTTGGTGCTAAAGTTCTCAAATCCAAATATATCCAGAATGCCTATGACTTGGGAGTCAGTTGGGCTGCAAGTAGAATGTAGCAATTATAACTTCAAGTTGCCATGGCAATGGGGATCCTAGTATAAGACGTATGGAGGGCAGAGTGAAGAACCTGACATACTTAGCTTTAATTTGGTATACAAATGGTGAATTATTGATAGGTGGGTCATTTTTTGGGTCGTGTTCCATTACTACTTACTACTTACTCTTATCTTGTGCATAAAATTCATTTAGCAAAATGAACAGAAATTAGTAAAGAGAAACGACACTAGCTCATTAGTATGGGTAAGGATCCATGTTTAAATTTTCACATTTTTACATTCTTGGTTTTTTACCCCATTTAGATTTTCAAATGTAAGTAAGAATATGTATACCTGTCAGTTGCCTTCTTTGGCTTCAGCAATGCATTGATTTTATTGACAATCCAACTGAAGAGTCGTCCATATAAGACTTTAGCCATAGAATCCCTTGCATCTACTGCCTCCTCTACTTTGTTGTTGCGTATGATGGTCTCCCCTCTAGCAACCATGCCCATTGTGGTTAATGACTCATTCAGCTCCTTGGAGTTAATTCCAAGCATACTGGCAACTGAAATGTTGTAGGTATATGTAGGTATATTCAGGACTTCATTCGGGAATATACTGGTACATTTCAGTGTTCATTAACTGCTATCAATGTGTACTAGTCAGAGAATTACATGTGGCCGTTACCTCTGCTTGATACTGACCAGTGATACAGCCAACTATTGTTTTGGACTAAGAAGCCACAATATCTTCACACACAAAGGTGTGCTGCAAAGGTGTACTACAGACACCCCTTGTCAATGTCGCATGAATGACTTACAAACAGATTTTTAATCTGGAGTCTGATAAAAACTTTCAAAAATACATACCAATTTTTAGCAGTTCAGGATTGGCTACAGAACAGGACTGTTCATACTTCATCTCTCGTTCTTTGAAATTGATATTTCCAATATGGAGTATAGATGAGAGAATCTTATAAACAGATTCTACTTCCTGGAAAATTAAAATGAACATATAAATTCTGTGATTTGTAGGTACGGTGAAACCTGTAAAGTGGAACACCTCTGTTAGTTGAACACTTCAGATTCCCAAGACCAGTATATCTTAACACCTTTTGAATCTGAACACCTTTCAATGGAAATGCTTTTTTGTCATTTCAGACCACAGGTTTTACTTATTTTTATCCTTTGATTTATTGATTTGATAATCTATGTATGATACACTGTAATATATACGTATTTTGACTTTACCTGTGATTTGAACCCTATCATTTCGAAGCAATGTTGAACAGCTCGGAACTTGACCCGGTTGATTGAGACAGAGGAGACATCTATAATGTCTTTGTTGTAACTATTCATGTATCTAAAATGACAAAGGTATGTTCTTGCTGTACACACTGTTTGTGGAAGATTTCAATTAATAGATATTTATATAGATCTAAATGTAGATACATAAAATAAATGTACCCAAATTGCATTGAATAAAAAGTGGAACATGTTTTAAACAGTTAGACTACAAAATAACAGTGGTCACATGACCCTTTTATTTACTCATTGCTCAAATTGCATATTTTACTTGTTGTTCTCCAGTTCCCTGACTTAGCAAATTCACCAACAATTGAATACCTGAAATCTTTCTTGACATCCAAGTGATATTTCCCATCCTTATCGTCATGTGCTAACCCATCATAGATGTAGTAGAATATGTGGAAGTTCTCTTCTTTCCTACAAAAAAAGCAAAAGTAAGTTACAATTCTTATTTCATTAATAGGACAATGCATGTTAGTTGGAATTGATCAAAGATACAAAATTATGTTTGTTATATAGTGGCTATTTGTTTCAATATGTATGCATGTAACCTATACACTTACTGGTTTTGGTGGATTACTCTTGATTTCTCCAGTAAATATTCTGACATTTTGGCTGAAAATAAGCAATATACAGTTTAAGACAATAGGTTAGGGCAGTATGATATTAGCTGTCCTGTAGTAGATTTGAACTATATCCCTTGCACTTTTTTGGGAAATGGTCTTAGACAGAACTATTGTGAAAATCAGTCAAGATTACATAAGGCTCCTGGTCATTAGCTCAGGAATGTATACATTCAGTTATTGTAGAGAAGTATGACTGAACATACAGTCATTCATTATAAACCATGTTCATTTAAACTAACCAATCTAATCTATAATCCACTTAAATAACGAGCACATACCTCCCGTGACCTTGCCATATGGTGTGAAGGTCATTTCTAGATATTTGCCAAAACGGCTACTATTATCATTGATCACAGTCTTTGCATTGCCAAATGCCTCTATAAGAGGGTTCACTTGCAAGATTCTATCCTCTAATGTCCTATTGGGAGCCTGAAATGAATAAGTCATCATTAAAAACACATAAAGCTTATTTTTACAGATTCAGTGTTTATAATTTAGGATTTTATTATTCTCAACTTATAACCAAGGTATGCATAGACCCTAATTAACAAAAAATTGTCTTCAAATTTAATATCTCTTTCAAAACCATCTACTACCGTCAAGTCCATTTATCATTAATTCCAGCTCTGATGTGAAAATCATTACAACAGCTTATTTCTGCAGATTCAATGTTCCTAATTTTGGTTTTATTGAGCTCGACTTATCTAATTGATTTATATCCAACTTTTATCAATTTGCCTTACTTCAAAGGCTCATTATAATAACATAAATAATTTCAATTAAAGGACTCGTCTTTGACACATTCCTTCAGATCATGTCTCACGCAGATCTTGCTTCTCTTCAAAACGGCCTCATATAAAGTTTAAAAGTACATTACTAAAGTGTAAAACAAAAATTAGTGCAGCAAAGAGAAAACAAGCAAAATGTGGTCTTTTTTTAAATATGCATGTGTAATAGTACGAGCATCTAAAAAGTCAAGCTTTAAACTGAATATGGCACAATAATATGCTAAAGACACTTTGATGTAATTACTGTACTACTACTGCAGTATACATTCCAAACTCACTCTTGCAGGTCTTCAATTTTCTGCTGTATCTTGGTGATTTTCACAATATCACATTGTCACTTACCATCATGGTCTCATACCTTCCAACCCTGTTTGTTAAAGTATGGGTGACAGATCATAAGGCCCATTTTGTGAGACTAATTGTTTCAGTCGTCCTAATGTAAAAGGGAGCAGATACTCGCACAGCCTAACACAAAACCCTCCCTAGCAATGTTATTTATTGCACTAGGGCTAGTTGTTGCACTAGGAATATATACTCACCCTCCCTAGCAGGGTTAGTTATTGCACTATGAATGTACACTCACCCAGCCTCACTATCTATCAGGATTACTTGTAAAAGAATGAACATATACTCACCCTCCCTAACAGGGTTAGTTGTTGCACTAGAAAATTAGCACTTTCTGTTTTGCCAGCTCCACTCTCGCCAGAGATGACTATACACTAAAACACACAACAGAGAGAAAAGAGCGTTAGAATTACTGTAAGCAACGTGCAATTTCCCAAGCCATTGTGCATTATGTTAAAGCTAAAGGGAGTGCAAATTCCCAGGTGTATACACTATTAGAAAAATCCATCTTGGCATGTCTCGAAAATTGAGGATCATCGCCTTCATATTGTTGACTTTAGTGGGACAGTGGATTCAACACTTAATAGCCTATATAGCAGGTCAAGGATACACTTGCTAATATTAAAGAAAAAAATGATATTAGAGACAGAATTCAGCCACCGTTCAGAAGATGCGTTTCACAGAATCAGGAGTAACACTATCCACAATCAAATGTGTCAACAAAATAAAGCTTAAAACAAATACATGGTTTGAAGTAAAACTCTGTTCAAAGCAGTTTTTAAAAGCATTTTTGTCCTATATGTCAACATGTTTTGGATAACATTTAATTGTGTCGTCCTGTATAATGCAAGCTCACATAAGATACAGATACAATATTAACAATACAGGGTGGTCACAAATGGGGGCTACCTTCCCAAGGAACATAAACTGCTGAACTAGAAAAGCAGCTGTCATTGTTTTGCCAGAGCCGGACTCTCCACTTATCACTACAGTCTAAAAATCAATAAAAACAAGTTAGCATACATTAGTACATGTACCTGTAAAAAACTATTAACCTCTTGACTACCTGGAGTGACAAGATTTCTCGTCACCTCAGAAATGACCCTGAAACCCAGTGACGAGAAAATCTGTCACAAAATTTATCACTAAAATTGCTCTTATTTGAACAATTTTCATCCAATTAACACAAAAATTGTTTTAAAATGTGTAGATATGATCTCTGTCGTCTAATTTTCCTAAGTTGAGCATCTGAAGTTGTATAAGTATGTAGTATAATGTCAAAAGGTGGCAAAAATGAAAAAATCTCTGGTTTCAACTGATTTTAGAGCCTGGGATTCAAGAGGTTAAGAAGAACACCTCTGTAAGCGGAACACCTACATTAGTGGAAGACATTTTAGAGTCCAAGGACTGACATTCTTGTTAAATACACCTCTGTAAGTACAGCACCTCTCATGTGGAACAAGAGGTACCAAATGTATTCCATTTACACAGGTTTTACAGTATGTTGATTTTGTATTTATGATGAAACTATTTCATAGTACATGTATGAAAACTTCGTATAATATTGATACATATTAAACTACATGTAGTTAATGAATTGGTGGTAAAATCAAATCAAAATCCTTGGATATTGTTTAATCATCCAAATATTTGCTTACTAAAAATTGTTTGAGCAAATTTTGAAAAAGGTGGAATTCTATATGACAGATCAAGTTATACCATTAACCATTAATTTTCATTTATTTTATGCATATTTTATACAATTTTATTATTTTTTTAAATTTCTGATCAAGTTAAACCATATATGTAACATTTGTACCTGATTATGTTTGTGATGCATCATCATTTGGAAACTTTGGTCTGCTATTGCAAATATATGTGGTGGATGGTCTGGCTTGCCACAATTGCTGTAAAGCTTGCTATACTGTAAATTAAAAAATATGACAAATATATATCATATACTGTTAATGGAAATATGGCAAGTTTTATTACATGCACAGATTATGTTTCCAGCATACATTTTTATCCAATACTTGAACGAGTTTGAGGTAAACCAATCAGGTACATAAAATGATGTATTTTCAACAGCAGGTAGAATAAAGCTTTATGACCCGGCAAAGTAGACGGATAAAATTATTTTTGGATATAAATATTCATTGGAAAAAATAAATAAAAGAGAACATAGTACTGAAACACATTAGCCTAGGATGATAGGATAAACAGTAGCAGATAGATCATCCTATATTCGGTTCAGAATAATGGGATTACCCTTGTATTGGGCATATATATTACCCTTGTATTGGCCATATAATATATTAAGAATGACAAACATTCCACTGAGATAATAAATCCCAAGATACAATTCATAAATGATATAACTACCTCATCACTGTATATAGAGAGAGGAGTGAAGGGGTTTACAGCAAGTAGTATATCTCCAATATATGTGTAGATCTGCCCCTTCATGTATCGCTGAAACAGGTGGGTGACGATCCCTTCCTGGAAATATGCCAAAAAATCTAACTTGAGCATAGGCTTGATATACACAATGTCAAGTGTCTTTTCATATATGAACTACTCCAAATGTTCACATGTAGATGGCATGTGTGAATGGACTTGTGAATGGAATATAGACCTTATTGTAAATAGCCTTTATTTAAGAAAAATACTTCACGATCATGCCTCTTAGCTCATGGATTTGGGAAATATCATTAGGCCGTAAGAAGATTCTTTGTTTTGCGTCCCCTTGCTTGCATGATTTTGAGTAAATCAGAAAAAAACAAACACATCCAGATAGCAACCACAAGGGTTTGAAAGTAACATCGCATTTCGTTCAATCAGATTCAGACGAAATGGCGGATAAATTGATGTGCATCAAAATTGACAGTGTTATTGATTACTTTGGCATACATTGTGTGTTTTCTTATTTTTACCCTTGAATAACACCTATATTTAAATATATTGTATAAAATGTATAGATCTGTGTTTGCATCACTGCAAATTGGTATGTCATCCCTTTTAATGCCCATAAAATGTATACATTTCTAAGCAAACAAGTTTGTGTTTTTTCTTGAGTTTGTGTTTGTTTTCCTTGTACCCTTGCATGATTTGGATTTTGCCAGGACACAAAACAAAGAATCTAATTCTTATAGCAGCTTACACTTCTTTGTCATATGTCCCACTGATAATCCCCTCAAAACAGTGTTTCCAACTGAACATTTCAAACTAAACATTTCCTACTGAACATTCCCTTCTTCTACATGTTACATTCATACCAAGATCACTTTAAGATTTAATCATATAGCTCGATGTTATATCCAACCTCACTGAGATCCTCAAGGAGGGCCAAATCATCATATGAATCAATTGCTTCATGACGTGACTTCCTCAGCTTGCCATGTTTGGTCGTCACCTCTGGCTCATGTATCACCTTCCCCATGGCTTTCACCAGGTTCTGGAGCTGCCTCTTGATCTACAAATAAGATTATATCAAAAACAGGGTGTCCCAAAAGAAACAGTATGCTGCTGACATGTTGTAAATTCTGCACCAATTGTTTTCGATTTTTTAAAACAAGGTGTTGGATGCTTCAAATACATCAATTAAATACATGTATACACAAAGACAAAGAATACTCAGGCTCTACAGAACAAAGCTACATTACTGATATAAGACACTCATCCTAGTATGCTGTGATTCTGCACTGCTAAAGAAAAATTGCAGAATTTTGGATTTCCAAATTTTTGCAGAATTTGATTTTTGGGACAGAATTTTGGGGAAAACATGATTTTTCCAGTCAATCATCTCATCTCTCATGTGTCACTCACCAAGACACCTAATGCCAGAAGTTTGTCGTGCAAAATTTGGGGTGGAATATCAGATTTCATACAGAATTTGGTGCAGAATTTGCATTTTTCTCATCAATAAAACTAGGATGTGTGTGATAATATATATATATATATATATGTACATAGTACTATATATATACAAATTGTTGAACATAAAAGACAGACATAAATATCTCAGATAATTAATCTAAACATAAGACATTTAATTATATTGCATTTAATGAATGATTCTCCACCTACAGTAGTATCCTTTAAACCAATCACAGCAAATAATGATAAAACATGCTTGTCATATTTCTGAAACATTTGTGTTAATTGATGCTATATTTCTGAAAAATCCGTGTTAAATGATGCTATATTTCCCGAAACATTCGTGTTAAATGATGCTATATTTCTGAAACATTCTTGTTAAATGATGCTATATTTCTGAAACATTCTTGTTAAATGATGATATATTTTAGAAACATTCTTGTTAAATGATGCTACATTTCTGAAACATTCGTGTTAAATGATGCTATATTTCTGAAACATTCGTGTTAAATGATGCTATATTTCTGAAACATTCGTGTTAAATGATGCTATATTTCTGAAACATTAGTGTTAAATGATGCTATATTTTTGAAACATTCTTGTTAACATCCTCCTATCCAGAATCCGTACCTCCTTCTTCCCCCTGCTATAACCAATTTGGAACCGCCCGATTAAACTAAATCACGTGATCTAATTATGCGCACTGACTTATACAGGATTTCTGTCGCAGTGTTGCGACAGCCAATCAGATTGCGAGTTCTTAATCGGGGGAATGCTGACTGCTTATCGCAGGGTGCAAAGAAGGAAGAATATATTCTGGATTTTGAAGCCCTGTGGTCGGAGGATGTCTTGTTAAATGATTTTCATACAAGAATAAACGAAAGAAAAAAGTGAAAATCCCAAAGATGAGCAATTACTGTTAATTTGTAGAATGACAACACCTTAAACAACTTGTTTATTTCAATCAGATTCATCATAGACATAAACATATTTGAATCAATCTTAGAGTTAAAAGTAAACAAAAGCACTCATATTTTATTAGATAAAGTAGAATTAGTGTCTTATATTAAGAAAAGAGATTCCTGGTTATGCTAAATCCATAGATCACATATCACAAGTAAAAGCCTGTATTATCTGTTGAAACCCCTATAAAACATATTAGCTCATGCTCGCGTCTTGTTATGCATAATGTTATTCCTATGTATGTTATTTCTTATTATTGAAATATCCCTGCTTACATCCATTTTGTGGCGTCTTTATTATCGTCCTGGTGCACTAAAAATTGATGTAAATGTTTGCTTGTTAGGTCATTTAACCCTTGGGTGTCTAGGAAATATATCCTTCACTAATTTTCTCTTTTTATGAATGGACATGTTGATTTTATACACAAAACATACAGATATGTTAAACAAATACTCAACCTAAACTCATCCATTGAATTTGTAAATTAATTCATTATTTCATTATTAAATTGCTAACTTCACCTCTGGAAGTGAAAGGGTTAAAGCTATATATTTAATAGCTGTCTCTCCTTAGTAAAGCTAAGTTTCAACACGTCCTGAGGCAATTTGACATGAAAAGATGGATTTACCATATGTATATACTGATACATGTTCATTGTTTGGTCTGTAAGTCCCCAAAACAGTCCTAAAACCCATATGGAATTATCACAAGGCCTTTTTCTGAAATACTGTGCATTGTTAATGTTTAGTTCGATATCAGAAAACCCATGTGGAACGGCTTTTCTGAAACACTGTACAAATGCTTGCTTCTCAATAAGGGAGAGACAATTGAGTTGTCATTTATTCATAATAATAATTCCATAGAATTTTCAGTTGATGGGCTATTTCCTGAAAACCATTAAGTCCTATCATGGTTGATATATTTCAGTAAATACAACATTAATATTCAGCTGTCAGGTTGCAACCAACTCAGAAATTAGCTACCCTCGTGATATTTACAGTCATAAAAAGTCCAAATAGCTAAATCAACCAGCTACTGATATTTCTACAAATTATGCAAATAACTGTGATGTCTGTTTATCTTATTCTTTGCTAATTGAACTCTTTTTAGCACTCTCATTACAAGATTTTCCACTTAGAAGTTTAAGTTAAGGTTGGAGTTGAGGTTTCATTTGAGGTTTAAGTTGAGGTTGGAGTTGCGGTTTCATTTGAGTTACGGCAACTCATTCAACTCACCTCTGTAGTATCTTCGGGGACTTGAGTAATGAATGGGTGTGACAGAAGACTAGACACAAATGGACGACTTTCAAAATCTTTCACCAAGCACCTGAAAGTAGATAAAATATAAAATATTAGGGAGTTTAAGCTTGCATATAAAATCGAAACGCCAACCTATACGTATGACCAATCACCCATACAAATGCATCGCTTAAATATTTTCCATTCACGTTTAGGTTGTTAAAAACTCTCTATTGTATTGTATTGTATTCTTTATTTACCTCTAATATAAGAGAGTTACAATTGTACATTAATTGTGAATTAATACATAAATAAGAAAGTAGATAAATTATTTGCTCATGTTTATATATTTTGAAAATCGCCCATCCAAATTTATCGCTTAAATATTTTCCATTCACGTTAAGGTTGTTAAAAACTCTCTATTGTTTTCCTCAAATATGAGACCAGTATGAATGTATAAGTGTGCTCATGAGGAGGAAAAGTAAAATATGATATGAATTTAAAACTGGAAACTGAAAGACCCAACATTCAATAACTTCAATAAGTGAACAATATAAACATATGAACAATAATACTTCATCATAATATTAAAAAAATGCAAAAACTGCATGAGGTTGAATAATATAATCAACAGAACATGTATTTCTTTATGTTTTCAAACTACTGGAGGACTGTTTAGTAGGGGAACCTTGGGACTAGAAAATGTCAATGCAAAACCTTAAAACTAATTTAGATGGTCGGTGTGTTTTTAGACAGCATTTACTAGATGCACACTCATCAAGTGTAACTTGTTAAAATTTCAATAATAGAAGCATTAATAAAAGTACATGTAACTTACAAAGTGTGTCAAATGGCTTACATGTATGTACCCCCCCCCCCCACAGTATGAACTAGAGTGGGTAACTCTACATGAATTATATCATTAGAAAGAACTTTCAATTCTGACCACAGATTCCCATTGACATTCTTTTAATTTACTCATATTTGAAGAATACAGGTAAATGTCATGTTTAATACTGCAAGTATCGTTACATAAAATACAAATGTGACCTCCATCTAAAATACAAACATATAATTTTACGCAACAAACCTCCTATAAGACTATTACTCAAGTAAGGAAAATAGTCCAAACCGGATTTCCTAGAAGTACCACTCTTGTAGAAGAAACACGGAACTACATTATACTGCCATATAACCAAATATTGCAATAGAGTAGTTTTGGGTGTTTTCTAAAATTTGTCAGACATGAGTAATAATGTGTAGACTGTTATACCATATAAACATATCTCTGAAAGTTATAACAATAGTAATAAAACTCATTCAGACATCATTTGTATATTCAAATCCCAAAGGCACATAATACAGAATATATAATAAATCTAAATAAAACAAATATTGACATACCTATGAACTGAATCTCTCTGATTTAGCTAGACTAAATGATCATCATGACAAAATAATAACACAATATAAGATAAAAGACCTTGCATAATTTAAATGGCCTTCCAAAGTAAATCATTTCTTGTGTTGATCATTTCAAATAGTACCAAAAAATTCTGCAATAAACACAAGATCACCTTTCACACCAAAATGATTAAATGCACATTTTTATGCTAATTACCTAAAATTAATGTATCATTCTAAGAAAAATATACATAAATCATGAATTTTTGAAAGGGTTGGGATGAGAGATTTCACCAGGCAACATGAGTGCAAAACTTTGAGTTTTTTAATATTCTTATCAAAGTACATTGTTTAATTTGGTACTTTGATCTTGTCAAGTGAGTCATTTGACATACATGCTCAATGCTGAAATACATAGAATTCAAAGATACCTACAAGTATGCGGTCTATACTTTCATAACTGGTGTTTTTGTATGTTTATATACTGTATTATACAGAACACATGTAAAAACATGTATAGTGACCCATATGTCGGAGTCGGAGAGACAGATATGATTATGAGTCAATAATAGATATTTAGACTGCCATGTTATGCTTATCAAGAATATAGTAGCATGTTCAAGCAATTGCAATTTTAGATACTGTAAATTTTCAAGGTTCCCTAATTTTCACTATATTCGCTGAAGAGGCTAGACAGTGAAATTAAAGGCATAGTGAATATTTGATTTAACATTGAATTCAATTGAATATTTCTTCAAACAGTCAAATTAAATGCCCATGAAACATTTCAGACTGATAAAATAGTGAATTTTTTTGTCAGTGAAAATTTGGGCTTTTACAGTATTAAAGATAGATGGTTTAAGTTAGCTAGTTTAAGTTGACTAACCTCAATTCATCTTCCTTCCTCTATATGAAATTCATATAAATTAGGATATTTCGTTGAATTTTTGAATATAATGAATTTTATGACTTCAAAATATCAGTTAATTTATTTTTATAGGTATACTTATTTCCGATCTCTCGACCTCTTAGAATTACATTGAAATAAACCCTAATAGTAATAATCTACATACCTAAATAATAAAATGTTTCCTAATACCTTCAATCATTGTACTGACTGTATACTCTTAGTCTTATAATGCATATAGGGTCTAAGGTAAGGTCCTACAAGTTAGACCATGGGAAGGAAGTATGTGTACAGTGTTGTAGGAGTATTGACATAAGATGGAAACTTTATACACTTTAAATAGTAAAATCAACAAGCTCAACAGGTTTACGAGTCAGGTACAATCAACTGCATAACAAATCGTGATTTCAATTTTCACATATTTCTACATTTTTTTTCACATACTAGTACAGGGCGTTCAATAAGTATTGCTAATTTTGCTATAACTTTTGTTCTATTTCTTTTTTCTACGTGAAACTTTCACAACATAAGGTACATATATCTGACTTTATCCTATGAAAGTTTCAAGACAATCAAATCAGTATTAACAAGGTTATGGTTACTAAGGTAACCAATATCATGGTTATGCGGGGCAAATTCTTGACGTCACTTTGGACGACATTTTGAGTGTTGAAACCAGTATCATTTAATGCCGTTTAACTCTTGGGATATGCAGTGCAGTTATAAACTAGATAATGGCAACTCCGCGGAGTAGCAAATCCCAACGAACAAAATATCAATTACCGAATTCCAATCAATTATACTCATTATTACTTTGGTTAAAATTGAAAAATTTAGATTTTAGAATTGCGAATTCCTGCAAAGCAGCCATTTTGAATTTCCTGAGGTACAAATTTGAGTATTATATAGCCATACGTTGAAGGGATCGAAAAATTATTGCGAAATCGTACATTAGATGGCCATTTTGAATTTTACGAGGCTCGAATAAGAAAAAAGATACAATATTTGCAATCTACTCTTAATTGCCTTTCATTTGAGTATAATAAACCTATACTTCAGAAAGATCTACAAATTAGCGAAAATTTCTGTTTTCCTGACCCCCCATACACAGCCCCTGGGGGTCAGGATGAAAAACACAGAATATATGTGAAATAGATAGATGTTGCAAATATACTACCAAAATTTCAAAAAATAATATTAAATGCTTTGGTTTAGAATGGAAAATTTATGATTTTTGTGAAAAAGTCCCGTCATTTTTAAAGCGGCGGCCATCTTGAAAAAATCCATTTTGAATTTTCTGAGGTACAAATCTGAAAAATAATACCATAATTGTTATCTACTCCAAAATTCCTTCAATTTGAGTATTATATAGCCATACTTTGAAGGGATCGAAAAATCATTGCGAAATCGTACATTAGACGGCCATTTTGAATTTAACGAGGCTCGAATCAGAAAAAAGATACAATATTTGCAATCTACTCTTAATTGCCTTTCATTTGAGTATAATAAAGCTATACTTCAGAAAGATCTAAAAATTATCGAAAATTTCTGTTTTCCTGACCGGCCCCTGGGGGTCAGGATGAAAAACAAGGAATATATGTGAAATAGATAGATGTTGTGAATATACTACTAAAATTTCAAACAATAATATTAATTACTTTGGTTTCGAATGAAAAATTTATGATTTTTGCGAAAAAGTCCTGTCATTTTTAAAGTGGCGGCCATCTTGAAAAAATTTTTTTTGTGTAAAACTTTTCATCAATATACATCTTTCCACCAAATATGAAGAAAATCTGTCTACTAATATTTGAGTTATCTTCCGGACGGACGGACGGACGGACGGACGGATGGACGGACGGACGGAGGGCTTCACTATATCCCTACCGAACTTCGTTCGTTGGGATAATAATCCTTTCCAGAGTCACTTCATGATCCACATTAACTTCATGAGGTGCTCAGAATAGGCAGGCACCCTTATCATCAATGCACATTTGCTGTCTTGTGACCCACTGTGATACACATTTTTGAAGCCACCCTTAAAGTTTGTGGCTAGGGAGGTGTTCACTGTAGACATCAGCTGGTTGAGATTTTGGTGCGATATTCCTCTCAGATCCCTTTTCACTGGGGCAAATACAACAAAATCAAGCGAGGCTTCAACTGGAAAATATGCTCTGGAGGGCAATGCTTCCATGCCAATCTCTGTTATTGTATTTAGGAGAATAGAGGATCTGTGAGCAGGGGCGTTATCCTGGTGGACCGTATAGGTCAATATTGCTCTTTGAGGACGTTGAAGTGTGTGGCTAGGGATGTACAGTGTTCACTGCAGACATCCGCTGATTGAGATTCTAGTGCCATATTCCTCTCAGATCTCTTCACCGCTGTTAGATAATTCATATAATTCAAACTGACAACATCAAGATTTGACCATATCAACAGTTTTTATTCATCAGAGTGTTTATTTGATGTATAACAATAATTCATCATGTAAACCCTTAAGGTTGCCCCGTGTATCCGTGACAATGGTTACCCTAGAGACTATAAGACTATTACTCAAGTAAGGAAAATAGTCCAAACCGGATTTCCTAAAGTACCACTCTTGTAGAAGAAACACGGAACTACATTATACTGCCATATAACCAAATATTGCAATAGAGTAGTTTTGGGTGTTTTCTAAAATTTGTCAGACATGAGTAATAATGTGTAGACTGTTATACCATATAAACATATCTCTGAAAGTTATAACAATAATAATAAAACTCATTCAGACATCATTTGTA